GAGCCTTCGGTGGCTCGCTGTACTCAGGGGCCTTTGGCGGCTCTGGGCCGTACCCGGGAGCCTTCGGTGGCTCGCTGTACTCAGGGGCCTTTGGCGGCTCTGGGCCGTACCCGGGAGCCTTCGGTGGCTCGCTGGACTCAGGGGCCTTTGGTGGCTCGCTGTACTCAGGAGCCTTTGGCGGCTCTGGGCCGTACCCGGGAGCTTTCGGTGGCTCGCTGTACTCAGGGGCCTTTGGCGGCTCGCTGTACTCAGGGGCCTTTGGTGGCTCTGGGCCGTACCCGGGAGCCTTCGGTGGCTCACTGTACTCAGGAGCCTTCGGTGGCTCGCTGTACTCAGGGGCCTTTGGTGGCTCTGGCCCGTACTCGGGAGCCTTCGGCGGCTCCTTTGGATCTTCTGCAAGACATTAGGACATGCAGACCTCGATTTATTGACAAGAAAAGGCTTACCTGGGTGCTCTGGAACTGGTGGGCCATAATGTCTGAAGAGAAACGCTTCCGGTCAGTGAATGTGTGACAATAGGTTCATGTTTGAAGCTCCCGCGCTTGGCTAGCGCAAAAGAGCCAATTGACATCAGAAGATCAGAGAATGCCTTGCGGTGGCTTTGAGACTTACGGTGGCTTGGGGCCCTTGGCTGTTGCACGAGTTAGCATTGCTTCTAAAGCCGAATGTGAATCACTGTTAACATACCTGGACAAGCTTTTGGCTTTGGCTTTGGTTTACCTATTGAACAAGTTAGTGACATTACATTCAAGATGTCTTGCTACTAGTGATTGCAGTGAGTCTTACCCTTTGGCTCATAGCCCGTCGGCTTTGGGTCGTGCACTGATGGCTTTGGAGCCTCGCTCGCATAAGTAGGATGAGGTGGTGCGGTGCTGGTCTCGTTCTGCGAGACTGTCAGTCATGTGTTTGGTAGGTAGCTTTCATTGGTCGCTGCGAAGAGAAAGAAGAAGAAGACGTGATTTCTGAGCTCGTCACATCCAGTGGGTTCGAAGAGTGCAAAGAGATACATACCTTGTAGTAAGGAACAGACGAGTACACTGGTGCGGGCGGTGCGTATGCCGGAGGAGCTGGTGGCAGATAGCCTGCCGGCTCAGCAGCATACACTGCAGTCGCAGCGGCTACGACGACAACGAGTTGGTAACGCATAGTTGCTCGAGTATTAGTAGTAGTAAAGAGTGGAGACAATATTCAATTATTCCTGTTGCTGGTGCAGGTGCAGGGGGGGGCGGTGGTATGTGTTGTGAAGAAGCAAGACAGACTCGCGGGACTCCTCTCTCAAAACGAATGTGGTGGTTTGCGTGAAGAAAAAGCAGACTGAATAGCAGGAGCCGACCTGTTTGTATATGACTCCCTACCTTTATTACATATACCTGAGGTAGGGGTACATGTTGACAGGACAGGTACACACGTTGGAAGACTTTCTGGTTCATCTCAGTACCTGCATGAAGCCAAGACTTGTGCCCGCTGATCAACTACATGTATCGCACTAAAGGGCGTTCGGATTCTGTGGTGCCACGGCTGCCATGTGGATGGATGTAGGATCACATCTTCCTGTTGTAGACGCTCAGGGCAGCGGCTGTCCAATGAGATGGGGGGTTTGCGCCACTCAATCTGTGTTGCCTCTTGATATCTCGACGCGCCAAGCTTTGTGGATTGATATGCTGAAGACTAGCTTCCGTGTTGTTTCGTCTCCTCTATTCAATGTGGCATTGCCGAGTTTACTTGAGGCTATTATAGGGTGCTGTCGGGAAGAACAATAGCGCAGCCAAGCAGGAGGGCCGCGGAGTTGTGCTGCACGGGCTGCAATAGCCCCAGGCGCAATTGATAGACAAACCGAGAGTGCCTTAGCAACGGTTTCAACGTTATCTCAGCAGTAACAAGGAAATGGTAATTGCCCATTGTTGTAATGAACATCCCAATATCCTCTGCAATCAAGTGCCCACTTGCTACCGAGTCCTTTTGATATCCGGCAGCGATGACCGCGAGGGCTGCCATGACACAAGCAAAGTTATCCCATCATGCAAGTGGTGTTTGCTGTTCACCAGTTTTGGTGCCGTCGGGAATGTCTGAAGAAATGCCTGAAGGACTGCTGCAAGACTGCAAGACTGCTGCAAGACTGCAAGACTGCTGCAAGACTGGTCGCGAAGAGAAGAGAAACTTCGGCTCTGTCAAGATTGTGGGCGTTGTCAGAACCAAAATTTGGCAGCCCACCAGCCAATCGGGATATGGACCCGCCTTCCGATACGTGACTTAAAAGGGATACACATTTTCCTGTCGTTTGTCGACAGAGGAAAGAAATTGCAGTCTATCCGGTGTGTCTCATCGACGCTGTGCGTCGCTGTCTTCGCACGATTGCTGGGACGATGTCCGGACTATGCAGATCTCCAACCAAAACCCATCTTTAGCGAGCAGGATGTCGCACTCGTAAGTCGTGAAAAGAATGCGGATGGCGTGAACAACTCACTGCTTTGCGATGCTATACTGAAGCTCGGATTAGACGAATTGCTCGGGTTCTGTCGCTGTGACGAGCACCCATACCATGCGGATCTCGATCGCCTCGTCCCATCGACAGCAATCATCCGAAGTGGCACTGCTGGACGGTGATTCGCAAACATCGCGTATGAAGTAATGAATCAGCTGTATACAGTGAAGAATGGATCTCTATGCCGTGTAGCTACGCGTGTTGCCTGATGAAAAGCCACGCTATTGTCTGTTTCCACGACCACGAGATTTCGAGCAGCTTCGCGTGTGTTGAGCAGTAGAAAGTCTCATGGCACCTCGAAGTAGGTCGTCATAACCGGCGGGTCGACCTTACCCACATTCAAAGCCTTCAAAGCACCATGAGCTGGGCACTCATTATCGTAGAACTTCATATCTTCGAGGTCTTTGAACTTGGACATGCTGACGAAATTGTAGCCTTGATTGCGAGCATCAGGAATGGGTTGGTATCCACTGATTTCGAGAATGTAAGGCTTGCCATCCTATGTTCCACGTCAGCGCAGATGTAAGCATGCACAGAGGGCGCGTAAGATCGGGACCTTTTGATTGTCCTTCTTCAAGGTACGATAGGCGTCGAACAGGGTCGCAAAATGGCCATCGTCGATCACTTTGAAGTATGTGATTCGTTGGATAGGCATCTTTGAGTAAGCCACACGCACTCTTGATGGTTTTCGAGACACTGCGGTGTAGGAGGAGGGGAGGCAGTAATTCGGCTTGTCGAGAATCGAGCAGGAGGAAGACGCGGATGTCGCTGAGATGGTGGACCCTGCAGTGGTTGCTTGCTTGCGCGACCGGGTCGTAGGAGGTAATGTGATGTGACGTGATGAAGAGTCAGGGGTCAGGTAAGAGAAGTGAAGAGAACATCCCGACAGCAACCGAAAAGCCCCATGGCCAACCTCTCGAGCACGCAATTGACTATCTCCTACTAGCTAGCTAAACGAGCCCCAATGAGCTCTTCCCGGTCTGTCTAGCTCACCGCCAGCAAAGTGGAGCAGAAATGAGTAAGGCAGTATGTACGTAGTAGGAATGGGTGTGGGTGTGGGTATGGGTGTTGCTTGGAGAGCTTGGAGAGCTTGGAGAGAGAGAGGGAGAGAGAGATAGAGAGAGAGCCGTCGCACCGAGCACCGCGCCGAGAGATGGTGCCGTAAAGACGCGTGCTTTGCGTCGTGGTGGTGGTGGTGGTAGTGGTGGTCGTGGTGGTGGTGATGGAGGTAGTGGTACCTCTTCCCCCTTACGTAGCAAAACCTGTCTACCCGTTTCATCCTCTCGGTGCTGTGGGTGCCTCAGGAGGTGTCTCAGCAGCTGTCTCAGCAGGTGTCGGTGTCGCTCTCGCTTCGAGGTCGGGCAGAATGGGATCATTGGGATGGGGACTGCCCGCCTCAGACTCGGCACCAAAATGGGCGAGCGTATTGGTACTTTGGCACTCCAGGATCTCGTTCTACAGTAGCCCGAGCGTGAGAATTGCCTGACCACCTGGCATCGTTGATGTCCCCAACTATTTTACCCCAACATCCAAATTGGTACGTCTTGTCCATACTCCATACGCTCCCACATGCCATATACTGCCTGATATCCATGATTCCATCTCCCAGACGGTTGGCCTGCGACCTTGCAGAGCAAACAGGTGCTATAGAACTACCTCCATGTCGGGCAAGCTCAGGGCTGGAAACTACTTCGAGCTGTGCTGAGGGCAGAGCGGAACTCACCGCCTCACCGTGCATGACACCGGGGTGCACGACGCACCTCGGAACAGCGGTATAGGCGCCTCAAGCGACGGATGCTCAATCACAAACAAACATCCGTGATCATCAGGCCACCACAGACCGATGGAAGCGCGGGCGACTGATCGCCACCGTGACCATACGGCATGTTATGATGGAGCGCTGCTGCTGCGAATGGAGGGGAGGTGGGAGGTAGGACCGGAGGAGGCATGATGATCGCGACGTGCCTCCTCTACACCTGTCATCCAACGCCATCTTTTCGTGCCATCTTTGCGTAAGAGTCCTGCGAAAAGACACGACCCGCCGCATCGCACAGCCTCTCATTCTTCCATCACCAACTGGAGAGTGATGATGGATTCTGATCATTCTCGCTCCGCGCTGATCGAGCGCTTCGCGTTGACGTGCATTTCCAGCCGCGAGCCTTGCAGTAAGTCGAACTAGCAGTCGGCCAGCGAATAAGCGCATGCCACAAAGCCGCAAAGTTCATGCACCAGCAAGCATTGACTTGTTGCAGCGACAGGAATCACAGGATCCAGTATGCCTGGCGACGCATCGCGGCCCACTCGCTCAGTGCTGTTAGTGTGAGGTGGTCGAGCTGACCCTGCTTTCGACAGCATTCACCAGGTAAAACTATCACGGTTGTTATTATTGTTACTGTGGTGCTGCTGGGGCGCTGCTGCCAAAAGGCCGAACCCCGTCGTGGAACACAAATCTGCATGGCTTCTCGTGGTCGTGCCGCTCGCCATGGTTGTGGCGCTCGTCGTGCTACAGTACCTCTATCAGCCGTAGTCGCGGGACCGCTGCACAGAGGCGCTGCTACTGCTTGTCCCAACCTCAATGGCGCCGCATTCACAGCAGCATCGGTTCGTCTTGCATGGGGGCGATGATCAAGCTTTGAGATATCACTCCAGCACCCTTTGGCACGTCGGGCTCTGGTCGTTTTAGTAGATGGCAGCTGGCTGCAGCTCCAACAAGAATCATGACGGGAGCTATGGTACCCAAGTGACAACACATCGACCGCCGCGGTTCCCCAATAATCGAGCAGGCCCCATTATTCGGCTCCACAAGACTGCCTGCACGCAGGTCTCGGCACGCATGTGTCTAGTTGCACGGCCTGCAGCTAGCATCTGGCCCACGCCATCATCATCATCAGCAGCAGCAGCAGCAGCAGCATCTCTCCCCTTCTCTTCTCCCCTCCCTGCCTGAGGCTGTTTTGCAGCCTTTTATACGCCGCAATTCTAGCCACTAGGGTTTCTGCCTCCCATGGTCCGATGTGTGGAGTGCCCTGGGGAGACTGCTACAGTATCAGCATGAGCTTGAGGGCGCTGGAAGAGAGGCCTCGTCCTTGGTGCTTCCTCCTCCTGCTTCCTTCCTATAGGTCTCCCGGATCAACAGCCTGGAACAGACACAGTCAGTGCACGGCGTGGATGGCACCAGGATCTACAGTTTCGACGGGGGCACGCTCTGCAGTAGTGGGCTCGTTGCCGTGCTTCGCGATCCTGGACCTCGCGCGCGCTGGCGCTATCGAATGCGTGGTAGTTCTAGCTGTGCGCCTTTCTTCATCAGCATGCACGACATAATGGCATGTCCTTCAGATTCTCATTGCATTGCCTTGTCCATCACGAGCTGCTCTCTCTCACACACACTCTCATTCCTGGTCATTCATCCGGCCGTACCTGACGCATGGACAACCCAATGGTCCGTGCATTCGATCTGCACGTAGATGTCGCTGTTGCTGTGTACTTGCCGAGCTCATGCTCTCCGCGCGGTCGATGGTCAGAATCCTCTGGTCAAAAGGTACGCCAGCACATCAGTTATGGGTCCTGGGCTTCCGGGTAGCCTTCGAGCAGCATTGCAGCTGTTCATCTCGCCTGCTGGCCATGTCCGCATTCTTGGGCTGCGTGGTTCCTCTTTACCGGTACCGATTGTCGTCCGTCAGGTGGGCTATTACCTCCTAGTAGGTACTACTACTCTTTTCTTTCTATTTATCTTTCACGTTTCATATCGTTGTGCGCGCGCACAGAGAAAGAGAGGGAGAAAGAGGGAGAGGGAGCAGCGCAAGCATATATGCACACCCACGTTTCTTGATCAATTATCGTGCATGTGTATGCTTTTGGCCACTCACATAATAAAGGATCTTCTTCACTTTCTACTTCTCTAGCCCTACCCACCACCACCACCATCACCACCACCACATCAACAGGGCCCCCCTCCCCCTCCCTCCCCCAACTATACCGCTTGTCATCACTCCTACCGTGGCTCGCGCTGGCGTTTCTTCATTGTACCGGATCTCCGACTGTAGTGCGACCATAGAAAGAGTGAACAGCAGCAGCAGAAGAACGCTTTAAGCATCTTGCCGCCTGCCGTCCGCCTAGAACAAGTCGAACATCCCGCCGAAACCAGTCAACACTAGTACCGAATCCCTACCGCCACGCGAAGCCGTAATCGTTCCCCTTCTGATTGGAGCCAACCAAACATGTTTTACACTATGTACCTGTCGAGTAAGTCCATGTGTGTGTGTTTGTGTGTGAAAGTGATATGCCATTTTGGGAGGGAAGTGCATAAACGAGGCATGATGTCGTTGGCCCTTTCCCCCATATGGAAGGAACGCAAGAAAGAAAATATATCGATATATATTAAATGAACTCATTGAAAGAAAAGAAAGAAAGAAGAATCAAAACTAACAACACCTTCCCCCTCATCTCTAGGTGTCTGCCAACGCCGTCAATGGCCCGAACCTCACTACGAACCCTACCGCACCCGCACCGGCTGGCACTGCAAAGTCCGCGTCAACAACCGCGAATACTCGACCGAAGTCCCCTACGCCTCGGAGAATCTCGCGCGCGACGGCGCTGCGCAAAAGGGCTACATGATCTGTCGCAACTTCTCCGTCAACGACGGCATGGGACCGGGTCAACGTCCGGGCTCATCGGTGCAAGGCCTTCCCGTGGCAATTGGGACGGGAAGAAGAGGCGGTGGCGGTGGCAGCAGCGGTGGCAGCAGCGGCGGGAAACGAGGCTCGGCGGCGAGTTATGATACGATTAGTAGTGGTGGCACGGCGATGACGACGACGACGGATGATGATGGGACGTTGAGTAGTAGTGGAGGAAATAGTCCGAGAAGTGTGGATAGTGGATTTGAAGTGCAGATGAGGTTGGTCACGCAGCAGTGTCCGAAACCATTGGTGAGGCAACTCGGTGGTGGTGGTGGCGGTGGTGGTGGGCGTCGGTCCAAGGCATCTTTGAATCATAATAATAATAATATTATGGTCAAGAATAACGGGAATGGCTGCGCTAACAATAATAACCACCATCACCATCATCATCATGATAGTTATGTGTGTTATTGTCAGCGAGGGACTGTGAGGGCTTATGGGCGTTGTGGATGGTGTTTGAGCGAAGCGGGTTGGCAATAGCGAAAGAAAAAAAGAGAGAAAAAGAGAGAAACAAAAACAAGGGAAAAGAACGAATTGACGATATGATGATGATGAGAGAATTCTTGGGGATTTTGGGGTTGGGATTTCCATTTTATTCTATTTCTTTGCTTATTCGAACCATTGGAAAGAGGAACGAGAGAAGAGAAGAGAAGAGAAATCTGAGGCGTGACGGGAAAGGGAGAGGACAGCAAAGACCTGCATCGCCGCGAGGCATTTCTCCACGAGGATATATTTTTTTTTTATTTTATTATTATGACTGGGAAATTGACGATGACTTTTTCACTTGTTTCCCATCAACGGTCTTGGATAGGGCGCGGCGCTTGCCATTTTTCTTTCCCTTTTCCTTTTTCCTTTTTCCTTTTTCCCTTTCCTTTTTCCCTTTTCTATTTTCAGGAGGAATTTCTATTATTATGATTATGATCATTACTACTATTTTTATGGCTATGGCTATATACCAATCTGAACGAAAAATGGAAAATGGCAGCAGCAGCAGCAGCAGTAGCAGTAGCAGCAAAAATGTTCTGACATTTTGCTTCTGCTTCTGCTTCTGCTTTTTGCTTCTGCTACTGGATTGCAGAACACAAACACAACGTAGCGACCAATTTTTTATTATGTTCTAACTAGCTTGGTGTAACACGAGGATGTACAGTATATATACTGTCGTTTTCAGCGCAATTTTGCAATTTTCTATTGGGGATGAAAAAGACAATTAATCCATCTGGGAATAAATGAAGAAATGCTGGAGGGAGGGGACAAGTTTTTGTAAATTGAATGATTTCCAGAATTTGTTTCTTTTTTTTCTCTTTCTTTTGGCCCTCTTTTCGATTCATTATCGTTCACGTGCTCATGCTGCAAGAGCTCCATCGTTATCATATCCATCGAAGTCTACCGAGAAATGTGTAGTGAGTACATGTAATGTGCAGGTAGGTATTGACCGTATTGTTGATGATGATGATGACAATGACAGAGGTAGGTACCTAAGGTACCTGTAGGTCCAACGGTGCCCCTACACGGCATGCTCGAGGAGATGCCTGCCATCACACACTCAAAACAGCACCATCTGACCAATAAATGATCAGAAAAGACACTTTCCAACCCTACTAAACTCACAACCGACTACTCTGCCGGTTTACCCCAACAGCTGGGAAGATGCTATGAAGGATAAAAAGTTCAGACTCTACGTGGCTTGTACCCAATCGCTGCACCAGATGATGGTGTAAAGTCACTCGTAGCAGCGATATCCCGGGAACTGCTTCCCACCCCCACGGTAATGCTTTCATCAGTGGAAATGGCCCACTGCTGCGCTTCGACGCTCCAGTGGCTAATGTCACGACGTGTGAGTTCAAACGTCACCTCCTGGGTCTGGCCGGGTTGGAGAGTGACTTTCTCAAATCCGCGAAGAACGCGTGGGGGAGTGATGGCCGAGTTGGCGATTTGTGGCAAGCCGAGATAGAGCTGGGGAACGGTTGCACCAGCGAGAGTTCCTGTGTTGCTAACGGAGGTGGTGACGGAGTAGAGCTTTTCGAATAATGCTGGGTTGCCGCCGGGAGCGATCTTCTCGTCTGCTGGTAAGGCGGAAATGGGGCCGTCAACAAGTTTGGTGACCTCGGCGCCCGTGATGTTGAAGGTCGTGTAGGATAGGCCGAATCCGAATTCGTACTGGACTGACATGTTGTACTGGTCAAAGTGGTGGTAGTCAATGAGTAGACGTTCCTCAAAATCGTCTTGCCACGCGTTGGCGTCCTCGGTCTCAAGCAGCTCCGTGCTGTTGACGATCGGTACAAAATCATAGTCATTGATATCTTTGGCAATCGTGTATGGCAATTTTCCGCTGTAGATTCGTTAGTACATATAGTTGTCATCCGGCCGTATTGTCGACGAGTCTCGTCGTATCGGTCTTGTGATGGACTTACCTTGGGTTCACCTCTCCCCATAGTACGTCAACGATGGAGTTGCCGACTTCTTGTCCACTCAAATGTGCGGCCAAAATCGCAGTAACGTTCGGGTGATCTGCGAAAGGAAGAATATTCAGACCACTCGAGTGTGTGATAACGACAGTGTTGGCACATTCTGCTGCTATAGCGTCAACAACAGCAGTCCCATTGAAGTCGACGAGAAGGCTGGTCCTGTCGGATCCTTCGGATGCCCAGGTCTTGAGGAATACAAGACACACATCAGGTGGCGAAGGGAGCAACTTATCGGAAGCGCCACCCGATGCGATCAACTCATTGTTCAGAACGTACTGCACCAGAGCAGAGTCGCCAACCTTGGCCTTGATAGCTTCAAGAGGAGAGACAGTATATGTGAGTCTGCCAGTGCCAGAGCCCCCGGCGACAGGCAGGACCCCAAGCTCAAAGCCTTCGACTGAGAAGAGATTTGAAAAGTACAGACCATCCGTGATGTCGGCGGCATCATTTCCGAACACGCCAATGTTCTTGGGTGATTTCAGCGGCAGCGCCCCTTCGTTCTTTAACAATACTGTCCCAGCAGCGCCGAGTTGACGGATGAGCTTCTTATGGTCTGCTCGAACATCGACGTTCGATTCGCCGTACGTGTAGTTGTATCGATACGTGCTCTCGGGCCAGGTCTTCTGCGTAGATGGAGTGCTGGCGTCAATAGCTGGGAAGTCCTGGTCCTGGCCGAGGTAAAAGTACGGTGTCATGATGCGGTGAGCCATATCATCGAGGCGGCTGAGAGTGAAGCTCCCGTTGTTGACCGAAGTCGTGAGATTGGCGCCCCAGAGAGAAGGCTCCGATTGTCTGAATTCGATACCTCCGGGCATGTTCATGTCCAGACCCGCATCGGCAGCGTGGTATCCTGCATGTGTGGCCATCCAGTCTGACATGACATATCCTTGGAATCCCAACTGCTCTTTCAGGTGGCCGTTCAACGACTCGCTATTCTGACAGGCGTAGCTCCCGTTCAAACGATTGTACGAGCACATGACCGCTGCAACACCAGCGCGCACTGCATCTTGGAAAGGCCAGAGGTACAACTCGTGTAGAGTACGATCGTCGATGTTGGCCGAGAGAGCCTCGATAGTCTGGTTGTTTGGACTCCTGCCTGGATTGCGCTGCGTTTCCTGTTCATTGCCGATGTAGTGCCTGCGGAAGATCGGTCAGCGTCGCCTCCCGCACGCTGGACTGGTTTAACGGCAATGGAAAGGAGAGATATCTTCGCACGACTTACTTGGCACATGCTTGAACACCAACGTCTTGATGGCCTTTGATGGTTTCCGACATGAACACACCAGTCAAGTAAGGGTCGGGGCTGAAGCCCTCCCCTGCAAGTGTCTGTCAGCACTCGTTTCTCGAACATGCTGCCGTGGATTTCTCACAATTCCTTCCTCCCAAACCACTGCGGCCTAAAGGACCTGAGACTGGTCCCAGAATGACGTGAGATCCTTTGCCCTTGTATTCCTCGCCGATCTGATTGCCTCTAATGTATGCGAGTTCTCGGTCCCAGGAAGCTGCAACTGTCAAGCCTGCTGGGAAGACGGAAGCATAGGTAGCTTGTCGAATAGCCAGGGGGCCATCTTGGAGGCAGATACCAGTGAAGTTCAGGCGAGAGATTGGAGCTATGTTGCCAACGCAAGGACCTTCGGTACCAGTAACAAGTAAAGACTTCTCTTCTGTGCTGAGTTGTGCAACCCATGCTTTGGCTTTCTCCAATGCGTTTTCCCAGCCTGTTCCAGTGATGTTTGCTTTGGCCGCGTTAGAATGTATACAAGGGGAGTTGTACAACACTTACGAGACGGGTACACTGGAGGACTCGTCGTGTAATCTTCGTGGTTCCAGACGGGGTTCTGGCCATTGACCAGCGCAAGTGATGCCAAGAAGGCAGCTGCGATGCGCAGCTTCTCTGATGATAAAACCATATCTTCTGATCGAGGTAATGATGCACTAGGATGGATATCAGCTCACGTCGTGCAGAGGCTCTCACAGCGGGCGAGCTTGCGGTTAAATACTTCCTCACTGCTGCTCGCCAGTCCCGCGTAAATCTCGCGAGGACACTCAATGGCATGACTACACACGTCTCCATCATGCGATGCAACCCTTCAGCCCGACCCGACTCCATTGTAAATCGTCAACTTTTGACCGAACGCCGCCTTGGCAGACAAGTTCTTGAGCTTGCAGGCCAGCTGTGACTGCCGTGATTTGCATCGTCGTCGTGGGGCACGTGCCGCTTCGAAGCAGGCGACGCCGTCGACGGCTCTTGGTGGGCCGCGATGGTGTGCAAAAGCCCAAGCCACGTCTGGAATGGACACGAGACTCGTGGAGCTCAAGCGACGTCTAGAATGAACACGAGACTCGCGATGCTCAACCAGAAGTGGATACATATCAAGCCACTGGCCGTTTTGACCGAAAGGATCGAGTTGGATCCAGAAGGAGGTATTTCCAGTGGCTACCCGACTTCTGTGTACATGCAATTCTTTCGATCGTACCTGATGTAGTAACGTCAGTAGCAACGGCTCAACAGCTGGCATATTCGGATTTGTTCTATATCTTCAGTGATAAAACGACATGTGAGCATTGGGTGTCGCAAGGCGCACCAGAAGGTTGCAGTTCCCTGTTCCGTACTCCCTCGTGGCCCTCCACTGTAAGCGAGAGCCTCTCCATATTTTCTCCAACATTCATCAAAACCCCACATGGAGCATGCATGAAGAATTGTTGGGGCTGAGCTCGCCTATCCTCGCGGTCGGTAGAAAGAGTCCCGCAGCGCAAAGATTCAAGATGGACAGGCTAGAGAATTACTCATCCGATACTACCATACGACTGGCAGGCCCACTCAGAAATATACCGTGTATATCTTCGCCTCCTGACTGAGGCCGGAACTCTGCAAAGAAGTACTGCCGCCAGATCCGAGGTCTGAGGCATGGCAAGTGGGCGCAGCGGCTGCAGCACAAGTGATGGACGGAAAAAGACCTCTGGTCTCCAAGTGGATAGCTTCTTGGTGGACAGCCAACACCACCACTGCATTTCGTGTCGCTGACGTGGCTGCACGAGGGGCCGAGACACCGGCACGGTCAGTCGGTCACTCATTGTGAGCCTCACAACCCGAACGCCGAAGGATCGAAGGAGTAGTACATGAGGCAGACAAGATGCCGAGCACTGGAGAGCGGCTAATGAGATGGCATGTTGCCGTAGCCTTCGTCCGCCCTCTCGTTCTCTCGTTCACACGAGAGCGGCCCCCTGAAGTTCGTGGTGCTTGAGTAGTCCTAATGGCATGCTCAAGAGAGCCTTGGATGCGTATTCTGTTCACTTGCTGTTTGGCAGAGTCACGTGCCCTTTCAGTCCACAAGTACATGTATGTAGGGTACACGTATGTCCATTTCGAGAAAGACGTGTGCAGTGCACGAGATGTCACACAGACACACACAGAGGTCCTTGTTCGGAGGGAGTACAGATCGCGTCATGGAGAGCGGGACATTTTTGCTTTTGGGCCAAGACTTGGACCCCGCGGGCCTGCCCGGCTAGAGCTTCTCCTACCAAAGTCTCACTCTCTGTTGCACGTCCACCACATCGCAGGATTGAACATTCGATCGAATATCGGCAGCAATGGCTGGTACAGTACCCGATCGAAGACACTTGCTCACCTTGCCGGGGGAGATTAGGGAAGAAGTGTATCGACTCCTCCTCAGTCCCGCTGCGAGCCGTATTGACCATGCCGATGAATACACGACCTACGATTACAACCCTGCTCTCCAGCTCCTCCTGACAAGCCGTCAGATCTATCTCGAAGCTCGGAAGATCTTCCGTGATCTCAACGTCTTCGTTCGCATCGAAACGCCATGGCCAGAAGCGCAATCACATGTACAGCTCGAGGGGCACGTTCCAGTCTTGGTGTCGAGGGAGAGAGCGGGGGACTTTCGTGGGCACAGTCTCAATATCAGTATCGATGCGCCTGGGCACTCAAGCCTGGGCTGGGAGACGCAGAAATTCGTCATCTTGGCTGATGATCTGGACAAGTTCACGACCATGTGGTAAGATGGCGGAGGATCATGATGCTATCGATCTGAGAATCATGGGCTGACGTCTGTGTTCTGTGCTGGCAGGTTCTATTCGGATCTCTCACATTCGGGATTGAACGAGCATCTGCGCATGAGGCTGGAGTTGAGAGATCCCTTTGCCCCTGACCACGATCAGAAACGAATGCCGAAGGCGTTACAGAGAAAGTTGCTTCTCCCTTTCGCTCAGATTAAGAACTTGAACCGAGCGTCATGCCAGGAGGGCACCACATTTGTAGGAGAACTCAAGCCATATCCGAGCATAGAGCAGGAGATGAGAAAGCTGCAGGCCGAGCCGCATCAGACCGCCGAGCACTGCTTGCGGGAAGCTACGAGGCTGAAGTTCGAGGGCAATGCTGAGCTGGCAAAGGAGAACTATCAGAGCGCGCTTGATCTGTATCATGACGCCTGGAAGGCCATGCATGTTGTGATCAAGGGGCGAAAGCGATACATTCATGCTGATGCATTCTTCGCACGAAGTTTGCGCGAGGAGCCGTACATTGGGAAGAACGGACAGACCGAACGCCTCTTGTTAAGAGTACAACTCGTCGCAAACACCTGTGCGGTATACTTGAAGCAGAAAGAATGGGAACTGTGCCGTCACTGGGGCATGCGAAGCATCGACATGCTGAGAGAAGCCATGGGCATCGATGACAGGATGGATCTTGCGCCTGAAGAGGAGGCCGTTCCAGCTTTCCCTGCAGCTACCCAGATTGGTAAGATATACTACCGAACTGCAGTAGCGTGCAGAGAACTGAACGACGACGCCCAAGCTCGAAGGTTGCTCAGAGTGGCGAGGATATATTTGCCGAATGACGAGTCCGTCAAGAAAGAGGTAGCAGCTACGGCATTGCAAATAGGAGGATGAAGATGCGCATGCTTAAGACCACATCATTGGAACTTCGCATGGAAGTTGCGATAATGACCATTCACGGAATCGCACCCTATTACCGATTCCACCTTTACGTGTATGCACTCGTGTTCATAGGTAAGTAAGGTGCTGAAGTGAAAACTCCCCTTCACTTGACGCTAGTGCAAACCCCACTGCCCAACCGAAGACTTCCTTCCTGCCTTTGGTGCCCTCAACACTACAATACATCGACATCGCTACAAGGAGAACAAGCAACGCGATGCCGCGCAGAACAAAAGCTTGCCGACAGTGGCCAAGTGAGGGACTATGGCCGCGGACTGCGCCTTTCGGACTCGACGTAACACGCGCGCGATCTCGTAATGCGCTGTCGACATCCTCATTTACCAGCACCACCTTCAGTTCGACCGTCAAGCAGGCCCTCCACCCTCAAGGCTCCTGCACCGACCTTGAGCTGCGGCAATTTCTCAACAGGTCCTCCGCCCATCGTCGACGCACAACGGCAGTGACGAATGAAGTAGAATACGACGCTCTTCACTTCTGCATCTCACCCGTTCCGATCATCGCTCCGCAAGGATACGATAAAATCATTCTCCGAAACACGTTCCACCACGACCTGCTCTTTGCAGTGCAGAAGCAAAACCGGGCCGAAGCAGAACTGAGAAATAATGGGTTTGTGATCAACTACGCTGTTGCCGACGCGCACCTTCTCGTCATTCTCGATTATCTCCGCAAGGACTCGAAGACAATTCATGGTAGTGAAGGCCTCGGTGGGAGTTATGATGTCTATCATGATTTGAATGATCGGGCGGGAATCACAACACAATACTATCACGCGCCCTCGCAAGCTCTGCCACAGCCAGATTCGGACACTACGGAGCATTTGCTCCCGGATTATGAGCGTCTGCAAGAGGTAGGCTTTTTAGCAGTTCGAGGTGCTATATTCAGACACGCTTGCGGACCTGTGACTGACTCGCCTTGGTAGAGATATCAGAGACCATATTTTGTGCGTCGCGTCGAGTGCTTATCGGTCATCAAGGCTTGGGAGAGCTTAACCAAAGACGAGTACAGTAAGTCAAATGGGGTACGCGCATGTGTGCCCCAAATGTGCTGAAATTCAGGTGTTGCTCGCAAAAGGGTGCGCATTAAGGAGATATGTACTAATTTATTGTCCTCTGCCTACTTCTAGTGATGTGGCACGTGCGCACGCTGCAAGACAACAAGCCAGTCTGGGTCACCGCATTTTTCTATGACAAGGTGGAGGCAGATGGACAGTTAGGGTTCGACATGGAGATCCATTACCAGGAGCTACCATTGACTAGTGATTCTCATGGGGTGTGCGAAGGTTCAGCGAAAGGGCTGTGGAGAGAGGACGAGGGCGCGCAGATGGTGACCGAAGGGCCAATGATGCCATCTCAAGCAGGCCCGCACATTGGTGGTGGGTTGTAGGGGTGAAGTGGCCGATTCCGCTGAACGGACGTGTGTCCGTACGCATGGGTTCTTGCAAGTTTGCTTTGCAGAGCCGCCAGAGCATACGATATCAAAAGCGAAAGCACGGGTATTCCCTCGCTATACCTCCTACTGTATACACTAGACTAGGTAGGGATGGACTCGCAAAAAGTTGCATGTGAAAGTCGACGCCACAGCAGTAAAGTTTGCGCCACGTCACGCCACGCCACGTACGGCAAAAGGGCTCCCGAGAATGCCTGTTGCTCCAACTCTCACCCACAATATGTGGAGTCCCACATCATTCCAGTACCACGTCACCGTCACTGGAGCGCGTCACACGCATTGAACATGGACGGCCCCATCAGCGATGAAGGCCGAATTATACAAGACGCACAATCTCGCACAGCGCATGGAGGAGAGAGCACGTGCTCGCGCTGCACGGTGATGGCAGAGTTGGAGAAGGCGCTTTTGGCGCTGGTGTACGAGGGCCAGATACTGTAGAACGGAAAAAGCTGCAGTGAACCCCAACGGATCCTTGGATTGTTGAGGCACGGCTGACCATTTCCATGGTTGTGAGCGTCGGTGCCTCGATGACAATGACACTGACTGCCACCAGCACAACGGGACTGGTACCTTAACTGGGCAAGTAAGGTAGGCAAGAAGCAGGACCTGTCTTGACTGACTACAATACTTACCTCAGGTACCTACCTGACCTACATACCTACCCTACACCTAGCTGGTCCCCTCGCTGCGTCCATCTCCCCACTGCCTGCTCTTGCCAAGTTCAACACTCGTACCATCCACCACTGGCGAGGCAAGACCGACTGACCGATCAACCGCAACGTCCCCATCAGGCCTTCGAAGCTCTGCCGTGTGAATCCGCTACTGCTCGCGTGATATCTCCCACAACCACAGTAAGGCAGGTAGGTACGTGAGCCATTCATTGATCACGATAACGGCATGACATGTCATCGACATCGACCCCTTCAACGTTCAAGAAGCAAACACCTCCTACTCGCACTGCACTTGCTCGACTTCCCCTGCGTTTCCACTCGACCAGCATCACCGCAAGCAGTCGACGCTCTCCCTCAAGCGACCGACTCCATTATCGACAGCACGTAGCTTCATAACTGACATGTCTACGAAGAGCCCCGCCACACATATTCCCGCACCACCCGCCGTCGATGCCGTCGTCGCACCGCCTGTAGCGAAACTCACCGAAGCACTCCGCCGCCCTCTTGCGAGCCTGCGACCGTCGTGGATCGGACCTCCAAGGGCACCCAGTCGATCTGCCACACCTGGAGGCGCCATAATGACCACCCCAATCACGATCAAGTTCGGCTCTCCAGGCCTGCAGCCGCCTGTGTATATCGCAACATCGCTGAGCGACCCACAATGGGAGCCGATAGAAATGGAAGGCACTCGCAATGCCAGCGGCGAGTACACTTTTACCAAGAAATTCGACGCGCAGGAGGGAGAATATCAGTACAAGCTGCGCCTCGGACCAGGCGACTGGTGGATCTGCGATGATACCAAGCCGCAGGTGGACGATGGCATGGGCAACAAGAACAACCTGGTTACCGTCAAGGCCGGTCATTCGCAAGAGCACCGGGCAGACTCGGTACATGGTGACCAAGGCGCCCCTCTCATGCCACACGAAAGTCATGATCAAGCAGCAGATGCTTCGCCCTTCCTCAACGCCGAACGTAGTAGTGCCAGACCCGTCACTCCTGACGCGGAGCACCAGGCGCCCTTCTTTAGGCACGAATCTTTGGTGCCAGAGGCTTCGCGGGAAGACGCCGAGGAAGAGGAAGATGAGGAGGAGGAGGAGGAGGAGCCGCCCAGCCCACTCTTACGACACGAGACTGCGATACCAACACATGAGGATGTGTCACCACTTTTCCACCACAAGAGTACAGCCATCGATGACCAGAAACACGAGACTTTGAGCAAGAAATCGCCTTTGCTGCGTGGTAGAAAGCACAGCGGAGACTCGATCCCGGAAGAGGTAAGCGAGACTGAGATCATTTCCGTTCGACTCACTGTCAAGGACTGCAAACTAACGATCTTAGGCGGATCCAAACGATCCCGGGCTAGAAAAGTTTCCGACCGACCACAGGGGTATTATTGACTCCATCGCGCGCACAAAGAAGGCGCTGGCCATAGACGAGACCTCAGACCATCAGCCCTCCCCCTCTCCTCTTGCCAAATCTGCCGCTGCATCACCAAAGCTGAATTCCGTGGTCGAGGTTGAAGATGAGGAGCATTGCGACCGTGACAACAATGTACCAGAGGTTCAACTTTCAGAAGCAGATCATCGTCCCGCCGCTCCAATTACACCTCCGGAGACGCCGACGAAAGAAAAGCATGTTGACCCAATGGTCAACCGCGTCCAGAAGAAAGCGAAAAGTGCAAAGGAGACTGCGGCATCTGCTGCAGAGCAAGCTGCGCAAAAGGTTGGCACGACCAACTATTCGACGGCGTGGGTGCAACTCTTTTCATCATGCGCTGCGTTTCGCTAACAACAGTGGCAGTCTTACTGGGTCCATGTTCGCGTTTGCAGTGGCTCTCACCGCCATTGGTCTTTGGTATTTCTCTGAGGGCGGCAGGAACCTCGATATCATTGAGACCTAGGAGTGTACAAAACGCACGCAACTCACGCAGTACACAAAACAGTATCAGCATCAATCGGAAGGCACAACAGCATGGTCCGGTGGATGAGGTTTTGTTGACATGCCGTGAATGAATCAACGATGTGGAGATATGAGGCATGAGAATATGATTCTGTTGGACGGACCTGGGGATAATAAGCGATGGCGTTGCAACCCAGTAGCATACTCTTCTCAATCCATACACGTCGACCTAGCACATCGCAGCCCGTATCACCTGAAGGATGATATGCAATTCTCAGCACGTGGTGTCTCAGGTCGACCAACATCATGGCAGAGAAATTAGTTTTCATCTCACGCATACTTCCTACAATCAACCAAAGCCCAGACTCATTATCATTCTCGACATGTATATTGACATAGATCGTCTTGAGAATATGCGTGTCATGACTACATGATCTAAGGTACCTAAGTAGGAGGTACCTGCCTAGTCGATGCTACTAGCGTCTCTTGGGAAGTTGCTAGCGCCTAACTCCATGAACTTCCTCTCTGGACCCTCGCAAATCAAACCAAACCAAACCAAACGTCTAGGTTGCCATCAACATTTACATTACAATCTCTGTTTGCGCCAAATCCCAACAACGAACCTCATCACCGCCACACCTCCGCGATCGCCCACGACTGATGCTCTAGCCCTCGTCGCTGCCTACCACGAGCTCTTCCATCCTTTGAAACGCCGCCGACGCCGCCGCCGCTTTCATACCACACTTCCTTCCTCACGCATCTGCAGCGGCAACAGACCTGTCGCCAGCAGCGCTGCCCGAAGCAACCCACCCCACCGACCGCCTCGGATCATCGTAACTGGAGAACAACTGTGGCGTAGCACACCCCGGCGCATCGCGGCGCAAGCCGTTTGCCAGCGAAGGAAGAGACGGGGAGGCAGTGCCAGAGAAAGACGAAGAAGAAGAGACCCGAAACCAGTGAGGCTGAGTGGAAGTAGAGTAAAAGACCAGAACATACGGTACACTTGGTTGTGTACTAGCAACGCTTGGAGGTCGAATGTGGTCACCATCCTGCGATGGATCCGCAAAGCCAGTCTTTTACACCGTCATTCAATACCATCACGACAACCAATAGCAATACCAGCACTGGGGTCAGCAGTGATCACTGGCGATTACAAACGGATATTGTCAGAGTGCAGCAAATTCAGGCGGAACATTCCGAGAGGATTGCAAGACTGGAGCGGAAGCAGGACGACGATGCGCGGATGAAGAGCGTATGGGGAACTCAGTCACCTTTTCCGAGTGTTTTGAGCGGGACACCGCAGCACGGTAGGTCATCTCCCGCTCATCATATGCGTCATGATGAAAGCTGATGAGAAGTCTTCCAGGACCTCTTCAGCAACCGCTTCCGGATCGCTTTGCCAACTTCGACGACGAGGCCAATAACCTGATGAGCAGTCTTCATCTCGATGCCGAGGAGGAGCCTCGCAGTAGAGCCCTGGGAGCCACTTCCAGGGCGAACAGCGTGCGGTTCGATGAAAGTGCAAATCAGAATCACTTTTCGCATTCCTCCCGACCTTCCATGGACTCCTTCTCTCGGACTAACAGTGGATTAGGGGGGCTACAGATGACCGAGCGGACTTCGTCGCACAAGTCCGAGGGCCGTGCTAGCTCGGTGCATTCGATGAGATCAGCTGCATCGGGACGTGCCAGTAGCCTCAACCTGGAAACTGCTGCCTATGGCTTGGACTCCTTACGCTCGCCGATGGAAATGCCCGGTCTCGCTCCTGGACTTTTGTTGCTCGGCGCCGTTCCTGCTGTCATCCGGTGCTGGATGAATACAAACTTCAAACACGACGCACTGCTCTATGCTGCAGTTTGCACTGGATCATACAAGTCGTTCCTCGATCTTCGGCTAATACGAAAACTCGGGTTCGAGAATGTGATTGCAGCGAGTGGGGATGGCTACCGCACAGTAGAACTACCAATATACTTCCCTGAGGCAGTTCCACATCCTGCGTCCTCCAGATCTGGCAGTCCTGCGCCGCAGCTGCCTTCATTACGCGTGGAGTTTCGCGTAATCGAGCAGGATGGTCAGGACAACGACGACAAGGCAATACAAATTTTCATCGGAAGTGATGTACTTCGAGCGCACAATGCGGACATACTCTTCTCATCGAACAGCATGACGCTGTACGACGATGAGCGCAGTAAGTTGAGCATACCCCTTTCGCGACCTGAGAATGCGGCTGCATTCAATACATTGTATGTGACGAGCGGCTCGACTTGGTCCGGCAACGTTCCGGCAAAGACGCAGGTCACTCCAGAGCGGGCTACATACCTCAATGGCCTTGGTGGAGACAGCAGTACGGCATCTATTTCATCGGCGGCAGCAAGTCCGCCGCTCGGCAAGTACCGACCTCCTGGAGCTCTGGCAGCAGAGTCTGGCGCGATTGATGCCAATAGAGCTGTTGGTATCATCGGATCTGATCCCGATACGCGATCTACCACGTCCTCGCGACCTTCCCTTGCCATGCTCAACACCAGCTCCGAACGCGAAGAGACATCGTCCGAAGCAGGAGCTTCCATGTCTACACCTGCGAAATCCGCTGGCACTCCCGCGATATGGTCTAGCTGGCGTCGTGATGGACCAGGTACCGCATCATCCGCTACAGCCTCTTCGTCGCCGTCGGTAGGCATTCTCGACTGGGCCAATGCCGGCCGAAACCGAGAGGTAGCATATCAGCGCAAAGAGACCGGAATCAAAGTCCTCAAACCCAAGACTGCTGTTCGGTCCTTTTCTACGACGAGCGCAACTGCTGTTTCTGGTACCGCTAGCCCTCCTATTGCTCTTACTTCGACTCCTACCACTAGTGGAGAAGGTAGCAAGAGCAGATTCTTTGACGATGGCCGAAGGATCAATGGTGGTAGTGGTGGCGGTTCCTCGGAGAAGGTCACAGCTGCGAATACCAAGGAGAATACGGGATCGAGTAGTGGTACCATCAAGACCAAGGCGAACCCCATAGGAGGGGCTTCGGCATTTTCTTGGTTGGGTAAATGATGGCCTGTAGGGTGGTGATGGTGCCCAGCAAGCAAGCAGCAATTGTAGCTGGCACCATTGTCGGTTCTTGTTGGTGTTGGTGTTGTTGTTGTTGCTGTTGTCGTCATAGACTCCAGAAAAATGCTAGTCCAAACGCTTGTGATGAAAGATGAAAGACAACCAATAACTACCGTGTGTCACTCCATATCTGGTCAGGGAGTAAGGTAGATATCTTATGTACCAAGTTAGGTAGTGAAGTAAAAACAAATTGTCACATTGTCAATTTTGTCATTCGTGTCCAGTTACTTTACCTTTTACTCCTTCAACATACCGTAGCTAGTATCAGTGAGGTAAGGTAGGTAGATGATGGTTTTTGTACACCCCATCACCTATCTCTCATAGGTGTCTCATATCATTTTACAGCTCCAACGGGAAGGAAGAGAGAGAGAGATAGAGAGAGTTGGGATTGATTTTCCATACCGCAGATATCGCCCCTATACGATGTCTTGTCTTGGGTAAACTTGTTATCTTGTCTTGTCTTCTATACTCTCGAGTACCTAGCTACCTTACTTACCTCCTCCTACATGTAGCTAGCTAGCTGGCTGGCTGGCTTATCATCATCATCATCATCACCTATGTCGAGATACAGGTACAGCTAGCTTACCTATCTCCCTTAGCTGTAGAGGCTGGATGGTTAGTGGAGTACCTCCTAAGTGGCTGGTAACTCGGGGGGTGTCTAGGAGGTAGAGGCTATATGAACCAATAAAGTGAATAGGATCAATTCAACAAATCAGGTCTCTGCAGGAGAGAGCGTGTCGTAAATTGAGAGACTGCTATGACTGAGAGAGGGTGGATAGGTCAGGTAGCGATACCTCTTACCTCCTAGGAGGTACAAAGGTAGATAGACTTTGATACTGTTGTACTGTTGTACTGTTGTACTGTTGTACTGTTGTACTGTTGTGAGGTGTGTTGCGAAATGAAGGTGGCTGGGATGGATCCACTTTGTTGATCTCTCTCCTGAGGATTAGGAGGTATTTACTGTTTGCTCTCGTTTTTGGAATTGAATGCTTCGTCGTCTCGAGCGAGAGACATGTACAGCAATGGTGTATACTATGGGAGATTTCATTTGCTCTAAGAGTACAGTTCAGTAATAATGGAGAAGCTGCCTCTCACTACTAACGAGCTTGAAGTACTGGGCTACTGTGAAGGATAGATAGGTACATGTAGGTAGGTACAGTAGAAGGGCCGGAGGGGCCGCGGACTAGGTTTCGTAGCGCGTCAGGTTGGCGACAGTGGCTTTGCTACGGTTCATTGGACGAATGGGGAAGTGTGTTTATTATTGCCTCCATAAAAGAAGGGCGGCGGTCATGCAGGTGCTACTGGCCCTGGTTGGCCCAATGGACAGCCTACACGATGGCGTGGTGGGGTCCGCTGGTGTGTTTTTTTTTTATTTATTATACGAGAACACGTCTGCGCTGTTCTGTGGGATGGAGGGAGGCTTGGAGCCCGATGATGAGAAATGGAAATGGAAATGGAAATGGAAATGGCGGGGGAACATGTCTCTGATATCACTTTTGATGCTACTACTGCCTCCTATCATCGACAACCGGCCGTGGCGGAAGGCGGATGGCGGATGGCGGAGGCTGGGAAATCTGGGATGTGGTTGCGCAGCCAACGCGGAAGGACTAGCGTGTTGATCGCGTCTGGAGCTTAAGAACGCACGCGCCAATAATCTGCTGCCTCCCCTCCCCAATCCCATGCTGGCCTCTCGCTTGCACATCAACAACAACAACAACACACGCCCGGCCACGTACGATACAAGAGCTCTCTGCGTTGTCCAATCTCCATAATTCTCTCATCATCACACCTCCCTCGCCCCTTCCCCCCCATCGACTTCCACATCAGACACGCTTTGCTTGTCGACCTTCCATCTCTCGGGGTTGGAAAGGCTGATCAAGCGAGCCCATCGCCACGCTGGATTACGACGCACGCGTTCCGTGAGTCTGACCCTATTTGTCTACTGCAGCATTAGCATTAGCATCACCAGCACCAGCACCAGCACCAGCAGCATCGTCATCATCATCAGCATCATCAGCATCATCATCTCCATGGGCACTACTACCACCAGCACCAGCATCAGCTAACGTTACCATCTCCCAGAGTCCCGTTCAGCGTCTTCCCCTCCACTTACAGGAACGAGAAGACTTCCACCACTGAAGTCCAGGTTGACGAGCGAATTACGGTCCAAGGCGCTGGACGGGAAGATCGACACGACAGACCTCAAGGCCCTTCCCGTCGAGACGACCGCTACCGCGAAGACATCCGCATCACAGAGGAAGATCGGTATCGCAGAGGCGGCAGAAGTGAGGACATCCGCATCTACGAGCAGCAATACTCGGGAGCAGGACGCCCACACCAGAGCAACGTCAACGTAGACGTCGATATCCACCGCGAGCGGTAAGTCAGCACTCTTTCTCTGACACCTATCCTTGCCCTGCTCGCTGCACCCAGCACAGAACCACTATGCAGAGTCCGCGCCCGCCCGTGCTCGCCCTCGGTCTGTGCTGTGTTGGCTCCACTCCCTCACCCATGCAAACGCAACATCCCCTGAGGCGCCCTTGGCAAACATGCTACGCAATTAGCGTGTCCTAGCCTGTGGTCGACCGAGCAACACATACGCATCTTGTTCTCACCGACCATTCCTTGTTGTCGTCGTCTATCATCCAAGCATTTCCATCATCATCATCATCATCACCACCACCACCCTTCTTCTCGTGTCACACAGCCACTGACACTTCATCCGGTCTTAGCTACCACGAGCCATACCAACGGTACGCCGACGCCCAGATCAACGTCGAGGATCGCGTCTACGACCGTGACCACCCGACGCGTCACACCCCAGGCACGCAGATCGATCTCGACTCTCGCATCGACATTGCCGAGAGAGACTTCCGTGACCGCACCATCCCATTCACTGAGGAGTACAGAGCTTCTCGTGTTTGGCAAGACCAGTCCACACACCCACGCCCCTACCCAGCTGAAGTCTACGCCGAGCGTAGCCCCGTTGCGTTCGACCAGCACGTAACAGTCGAGGAGCGTACCCTCGACGGACCCCCCGAGCGTAAACACAAGCGGGACATGGGATATTACGACGACGACGGACACTACCACTCATTCCGCCACGGAGTTCGTCGTGCCGCAGACCGCATCCTTCACCCCTTCGAAGGTCATTCGCACCACTCGCACCACCACCAGCACGAAGGCCGCTCCGAGCGTATTGAAGAAGACATTGTTGTCAAGGACCGCGAAATCACCATGAGTGCTCCACGTGGAAGTTATTCGGCTGCTCCCCGCTCTGCGGGTGCGCCCAACACCATCACCATTCCCTGCCACCACATCCGCATCGGAGACTTGTTGATCTTGCAAGGTCGTCCATGCCAAGTCATCCGCATCACCACTTCGGCACAGACGGGCCAACACCGCTATCTCGGTGTCGACCTCTTCACCAAGCAGCTCCATGAGGAGAGCTCTTTCGTCAGCAACCCCAGCCCATCGGTGGTTGTCCAGAACATGGTCGGTCCTGTCTTCAAGCAGTACCGCGTCCTCGACATCCGTGATGACGGTGCCGTCGTTGCCATGACCGAGACTGGTGATGTCAAGCAGGGTCTGCCCGTCCTGGACCAGAGCAACTTGCTCAAGCGCCTTCAAGAGTCGTTCAACGACGGCCGTGGCAGCGTCCGCGTGCTCGTCATTAACGATGACGGCCGTGAGCTTGCTGTCGACTACAAGGTCGTCCACGGCAGCAGATTGTAGAAAGGTGAGTTCTTTTTTTTTCCCTCTCAATGGCCATGTCTTGTCTTGAGCTAACGTGTTCTCAGTATTCACGGTTTATGATGTGCATAGTGTAATGCCACAAAATGCAAAAAAGTCATTTGGAGCAACGTTCACGGCGGGAGCTCCTCTTCTTGATGTACCTTGGGGACCTTGCTTCTCTTGGGGGCGTCGTCGAGTCGCTTGTGGCGTGCTGTGCATATTGCAGATACGAATAGGAGGAGTACACGATTGGACGGATTGTGCATAATACATGCAGTAGTATGCACTGTTGAATGAATTGATCTGATTCCAATAACGTTGCCCTCGCCTTGATGTGAAGTCTCAATGCCACGTATAGAAAGGGATGCAGAAAGTTTTTGACTTGTGTGACGGAAGTTGGAGTTGAGGTCAGTCTATCTTCCTGTACGACAATGCTCTAAGCATGACCTGCCAAGCCATTCATGCACTGTACTTTACAGTAAAGTAGAGCTCGTTATAAGTTATAACTACCTGAGACAAAAAGCACCTTCTCAAATGCCGATACTGATGTTAATGTCGTCTTCCCTGCCCCAGTGCCCCCTCCTCCACGCCTTTTTCTTTTTCTTCTTCTTGTCACTTTTACCTACTCTTTTCCTGTTATCTTTACCTTAATCTTTATCGTCTCGCGTTGCTGCTGGTTAGTTAGTTATTATCATCTCCCGCCAGGTCAGGTCTCGTGCAAGAAGGTCTAGTCTCGTGCAGGTTAGGTTATATACCGAGATTTGGAATAAAGATAATCTGCTATAATGAATGGGTGATTGGCATAAGAAAATTCGGCGGACAGAGAGGATAGAGAGGACAGAGAGGACCTACTGTACCTGTACCTTGGGTACTTTACCTGTACCTTAGGTACTTGTACCTTTTAGGTACCATGGATGGAGGCTTGATTCAGAAGGCTTTGTTTTGGGGTTTTATGGGGGAGGTAGGTAGGTAGGTAGGTAGGTAGGTAATAAGTAATTGTGAGTGTGAGTACCTAACGTAGGTAACCTAGCATAATGCATTCTACTACAGAGTACTCTATGACAAAGAAAGCGTAATGCTATCCGCGCTTCCTAGCAGACTGAGGAAAAGAAGAAAAAAGACACCCAGGATCGATCGCTTCACTTCTTCTTCTTCTGCTCTGGTATTTGAGTAATCAACCCTTTTCCCTCGACCGCAGCTTTCAAATTCTCCAACACCAACACTTCCATCTCTTTCTGCGTCTCCCACGTGGCAGTTCCAATATGAGGAAGCAACACCACCCTCTCATCATCGAGCAAACCCGGATGGATCGCCGGTTCATCCTCAAACACATCCAGACCCGCCGCGTAAACTTTGCCGGCTTGGAGCGCGTCCACGAGAGCAGCTTCGTCGATGATGGGGCCACGAGCGGTGTTGACAATGACGATGCCGTGCTTCATTTTCTCGAATTCGGCCTGGGCGATGATGTGCCGTGTGGAAGGGTTCAAGGCGAGGTTCAAGCTCAATACGTCGGATGTCTGGAGAAGCTCGTCGAACGAGACGTATTTGGCTCCTTGCTCTTTCTCCTCGGATAGACGATTCCGATTGTGGTATTGGATTGTCATGCCAAATGCCTTTGCTCTTTTCGCTACTGCCGATCCAATGCCTCCCATCCCCAGGATGCCGAGCACTTTGTTTTTGGGGTCGTGACCGAGCGTGAAGTTGCTGCCTCGCCATTCGTCCTTCCGAACGTTGGTGAAAGGTATCGTGATTCGTCGTAATGCTCCGAGGAGAAGGAAAAGCGCGACTACAATGCCCGTTAGTCGGAAAACCCAAGCAGGTCCAGGTGTTGGAACGTTACATACCGTCAGCAGTGGCCTCGTCTACTGCTATGGGGGTGCTGCTGATTTCAATGTTCCGGTCCGTGGCCGCTGGCACGTCAATGTTGTCGTAGCCAGCACCATTATGTGTGATGTACTTCAAGCTCTTGGGTAGTGCTTCGATGAGCTCCTTGTCGAAAGGGCCGGTCACAACTGTCGAATCATTTGATCGATAAATGACGACCACATCGTCATACTCGCCTTTCTTGCAGCGTGAGATGAAGTCTTCGCGCGTGCCAGATTCGTATTCCTGCAACAGAGTCAGCATCATCATGTATTTTGTGGATTGTCCCACAAGGAAATGTACCTTGAGTTGCAGTAATGACGAAAGTGCCTCCCACTCTTTGCGGGCATGAGTAATTTTCCCAATGAGGAGAGCTGACTGTGCTGTGGCCATGATTCCGAGAGTTTTCACAGTAGGAGGTATTAATTTGTTGGAGAGGTACGAGAAAAGGTCGAATGAGCAGATGATGCTGCCGGTGCGAGGGAGGGACGCTCCGCTAGAATGAACAGCCGGTCGGCATCTTGAGCACCAGATATGCCGACGCCGACCCGTGAAATACCGCGCAGGAACCCCTCTTCCCCACCAAATATCACTGTTTCAGTCGACGTCCTGTGCCGTACAGGTAGCCTCCCTGATGATACGCTTGACGACAACATCATTGCAGCCCCAGGTTGTTCCAGTCATCCATGCTACTGAGCTGATCGAAGAGGAAATTGTTGGAGTCTGCCGGTAGAAAGCCTGACCACCAGTCGGCGTCACTCATGACAGCGCCGCCGTTGCCATTGACCGCGAAATTGCCTATAGCGTCCAAGTCGGTCCACGAAAAGTCGCCCATGGTTTCGGTCACTGCCGGAGAGTCTTGCGACTTGTTGGACATTGGTGTAGGGCCGCCAACACTATTGGGCCGATATGGGTTCTGTAAAGTTGCTGTCGATTGTGTCCTGCGATGCTCCTTCTTCTCGACCTTGTCCCATAGCAGTCGCAGGAGTTGGGAATATCGGTTGCCGGGATGTTGCATACCTGGATATCAATCAGAACCTGAGTAGTCCATCGCGTCATTGCAGAGGCAGATATCACACATACCTATGGCCGACCTTTCTAGCCTGCTGACCGTCTCCTTCACCATCACACGCACAGACTGTTCCTCATCTGTGGCGAGGACGCCGACACAGCGCGCTCGGTATAGAAAGACTCCGGCGTAAATCGAATACAGGTAGAATCTCAACGGCATGAAGCGAAGAGACTTTTCGGGATCAACAAAAGTATTCATCATACTCAGCAGGCTCTTCGCAGCGTCCAGTCCTTCATAGATGAATCGTGCATCGCCTACCGCACCGACATTATTATAAAAGACCCTTCCTGGTGCTGGATTGGCAGATCGTCTCCTCTCCTGACCCTGCTGACTCTGCGGCAGAGCGCGTTTTACTGTGGCATGAAAAGCGAATGCATTGGTATACAGCCGGAGGTAGTCATACGAGATCAGTAGCGTGGCCTTGAGATGTGGTGAGCACGTCAGGGTGCCCCAGACACTTTTCCAGCCATAGATTGCACTCCGGAAGTCGTCGATATACTTGATGTACCCGCCACTGAGATGGCTGCGTACGCTGTTGCCAGGATTCGAGTACAGTACATCGTGGACATTCGAGAAGAGTAGCGTCAACTCCAAGGTAGCGTGGAATATGCTCGCATAGTCTTCCTCTCCCGGGCTCGCAGGCGCAAGCATGGGAAAATCTGCCTTTGATAGAGTAGTGAGTGGGCCTGGACCGCGAGACCAGAATGCCCGGCCGAGACGAATACTGATTTGTCGATCGCTGATGTAGCACGCTGTCCAGACAAGTCGCTTTCTTTGCCATTGGGGATCTTTGATCTCGTCACTGCGTATGTGAAAGGAGTAGCGATCCAAGCCGAGGAAGTAGCCGATGCGCAAAGCCATTCCCACATGCATCCACGCCTCGCGGTCCTCTTCGCCTCGGCCCACGTTTCCAGCGTCTGATCTCGAGGTGTACGGCGTCCATTCTGCCAAGACGAGCAGCGCTTCGACAGCCTCTACTTGGCCTGATCCGCCTGCCGCGAGTGCCGATACCAGAGCTCGCATGTGCTCGGAGCAGGCGGTGAACACATTTGGTTCATCTGTCAGATCTGGGAGCACGTCAATGTCAGATGGACTCGGTAGAGTCGTATGGAGTGAGTCTACTGACCTCGTGATGCAATGACCAGCACCGCAGTTAGAAGATGTGGTTCATCACGGGCAGTCTTGGGCAGATTGGCGGCGTCTAGAGTTGCAACGGGCACTATCGGGAAGTACGGATCTGGAGGTTCCAGTGTCATATTAGCGAAGGTCTCAGGTGTACATTGGACGGGCAGAAATGCGCGTGGTCAGACTCCTGATTGCAACGTAGAACAGAGGTAGACAGAGCAATGGACCGCCAATGCGTGTTCTGGACTTACGGTAGTGGTATTTATATCGTTTGAGAAGCTCGATGATCTTTGACAGCGACAACCTGCCGTCTCGCACCAAGCAATACTCCAATTGTGACGAACCATTGGTATTACTCTGCCCGTACGAGTTGCCATAGCGAGTGCCGTGTTCCCCAGTACTGGCAATCTGCGCAAGAATCCCCAGAGCATCACTCGGATTCTGGAGATCCTGGAAGGCGATATTCCCCGATGTTGGTGTGGAGCTTCCTCTTGTGTCGTGATTCGCAAGCAGAGCCTACGGAATGTGAGCAAATGTCAGGACGGGTCCCACTTTGGACGTTACCGCACGCACGTTTGAATCTGCGGGCTGTAGAGCTGGATCGAGCATTGCCTCGTCAGGAGCAGATGGATTCAAGTCGATCCCAATGCCAATTTCGGCCTGACCATATCCCGAATGAGACCATCCGGAGCGTGCGCGGGTTGGTGAAGGGTTTTGAGGGGCGAGTTGAGCCTGTTCGCTGGCAGCTCCAATAGCTGGTGATTGCCTTGGGGGTGGAGCGCTATTGTCTGCAAGGTTCGCCTGCTCAAGCGTTCTTTTCCTCACGCGGCGTCCGCCTCTGTTGGAAGAGCCAATGACCTGTGCGAAACGGTAAGCAGGTGCAGTCCAATGGGTCGGAGAGCGACCTACGCATTCAAGACCTGAGGCTCTGCACCTCTCGCATGGGGTGGTGACTTGTCCATCGACGGTGGGCCTGTGGGCTGTTAGTTCAGCGCGAGCAATAGCCACCTCACTCATTAATTCTTGAGGTTCTCCGGGATCTGAACGTCGGCTGTCGCCAACTGAATGGCCTAGACTCCCAACAGGCTATCGAAGACCCCGTCTCTACGGTCAGCTGCAGCAATTGGGTCTGTTGCTCGTTTATATGGCTACCTGCAGCGCCAGTCCATATGCTCGCGCGAGGCTCAATGCTGAATCCGATGGTCCGCCGCCCGCCACAGTTGGACGCGGCAATCCAAGACTTACAGTTTGCATGAGCTTTTCCTGTTCCTGCAATTCAAGCATGCGCGGGAAGTTCGTTTCTCTTTCTCATCCTTTACACTCTTTCCCGGCGATGCACTTTTGGCGTCAGTCATGGTCGATGGTCACTGTGATGTTTGTTGTCAATGAATGGCCGTGTTTCCCCATCCAGCTTCCGGCGCACTTCCATGATGGGGGATGGAGTGCGCGAAAAGCCGAGCCCCGCTTTATTCCGTCCCGGCAGTCAGCGCGAGATACGAGGATTTACATATATATCCAGCTTCGCTGCACCAAGGCCTAGATATTACTCCCGAAGGGCTCTGCAACAAACATGACGTTCAGTGATAACGATATTTCGGGGAAGCTGGTCCTTGTTACCGGTGCCTCGGGCGGGTGAGTGTACAGAGTGTGACCTTGTTTCCAACAGTCACTGACGACGAACAGCTGCGGCTCAGCAATCACCAAGCAGTTCGCTGCATTATCCTGCGATCTTGCTCTCACATATTCATCGAACAAGGAAGCCATTGAAAAGCTCGTGGAGGAGATCTCATCCTCCAACAATAAGCTGAAAATCACGATTCATCAAGCCGACTTATCATCTCCCGAAGCACCCACGAAGCTCACAGAGCAGGTGCAGAAGGACCATGGGCGCGCAGTCGATATACTAATTGCAAATGCTGGTTATGGCAAGCGGATACGGGATGTTTCGGATATCCCACTGAGTGAATTCGAAATTACGCTGAACGTGAATCTGAGAGCGCCCTTTTTACTCGTAAAGGGCGTCGTGGATGGGATGAAGGCGCAGAAATGGGGCCGGATCATCTTCGTCTCGTCCATCGCAGCGTACGGAGGTGGTATGAATGTAAGTCTGGACTCACACTTTGAGCTCGACTCGCCAAGCTGATGGGTTGCAGGGCTGCCATTATGCCGCGTCCAAGGGAGGCCTGATGGCGATGATGAAGAACTTGTCAACCACACTCGCACCATTCAACATATCTGTCAATGATGTAGCGCCTGCCATGGTCGGAAACACGGGCCTGCTGCCCTCGGGAGACCAGTTTCCTGGACTTGTCGACAGCATTCCATTAAAGCGCCTGTGTGAGCCCGAAGAAGTCGCCAATGCCGTGACGTTCTATGCGCGCACGGGATTCACCACTGGGCAAAGTATCATCATTGCAGGCGGCTTGAAGTAGAGCGCGGAGAGAGGATGCGTTCACGTAGTTCTCGGATTGGATGTGGGATGGCGTCGGCGCAATGGTTTGAAGAATGAGCTCTCGCAGCCAGAGGAAGACGGACACTCTCTTGCACATTCTCAGCGGGGTCCTCCCTGCAATGGAATGACGTGTTGAGGTGTCGGTCAGGTATGTGATGGGTGATGGGTGGTGCATTGGCGTAATTGTGGTGATGGTACATGTGCTCGGGCCAGAAAGTGGAGGATGTCTGCCTTTGTCATCTGGAGAGGATCGGCCGCTAGGAGGAAGGACTTACAGTAGCCTTCCCCAATGCAAGGAACGACGCCACGACTTCGGCCCAGCGTGTACATTCGGAGGATACCATGCCGGCGTATCTTGTATGTACTTGTACCTGACCTATGGATGAACAAACGACGTCGTGGAGACAGGGAAGACGGCGTGGTGGTGACGGCGGTGGTGCTGTACGGTGGTAGCGATGTAAACAAACAACTTCTGGCCTCGCAGGTCCGGAAGCTGAATCATATCATCATCACATTATACCAGGGCTGGGCTGAGAGGCTGCGAGGCTGTGAGAGTGAGAGTGACGGGTTTGTGTCAAAGCCGGCCAAGACGCCAGCCGTTTGTTCGTTGCCCCATCAGCAATCCGCGTGCGGCTGTTTCAAAAATAGCCCTCACCTGGCGATAGAACTAGGTCAAGTAGGTCAACTAGCACGTCTAGCATCGCGACACCTCGTATTCTTCTTCTTCTGCTGCTTGTTGTTGTTATTCTTCTTCTTCTCTGCACACTTTCAGTCTCAGTCTCTCTACCAAAAACTCCGCATCCTTCATTTGATGCCCACCCACTATCGGTACTGTGGGAGAGCGGACGGAACCGAGCCGACTGATTGATTAGATGTGAGCATCGGCGACCGAGCGGAACCAGGAAAAAGCAATCGCCCACGCCCAGCATCTGAGATTGTCGTGGCACGCCAGTCGCCAGCTGGTCACCACCCAGTGGCACCCACTGGACTGCACCGGCGATCTTCTCTTCACCTCACCTCACCTCACCTCATCTCACCTCACTTCACTACTGCACACACAACCCCACTGCACCGCATCCGCACCTCTCCTTCATCCACTCCCATCCAGAGGGAGCTCCCTCGCCGCTCCCTCCGTCCAGCGCAGGCATGTCCGAACGCCAATACGGGATTCCGCTGGGCCACGTACCAGGAGCGCCTCATCATCAGCACAACAGCGACTCGGAGTCGTCGGCAAACACATGGGCCTCTCAAACATATTCTGCAGGCGACTCACACGCCCCCGGGAATCTGTACAGCACTCGACCGCCATCCCCCGGTCCATATGCTTCGGGACACGAGGCACCGCCACCACCGCCTCACATGCAGCGGCCGGCGAGTCCCATACAGCATGAATCGCAAAGCTCCCTGGCACCACTCACAGCGAACCAGGCCATGGGCTACTCGCGTTCATCATCGCCCACCCGGAGTTTTATCAACAATCCTGCCATGCCCGCGGCAGGTGCGGGAGCAGGCCTTGGCATGGGATCACGCGAATATGGCCAACAACTACCCCGCGGGCATTCTTACTACGGCGACGGCTACGAATCTTTCGATCCTAGCGTAATCGAGGACGATGGCGATGATGGGATCCAGGAACCCATACGGCCGCGGAGTAGGCTCGGATTCGGGCCCGCTGCAGGAGCGGGTACTGCTGCTGCGGGCGCTGGTATTGGCTTGAAGTCACTGACTCGAGACCACAACGGGAATTATGGACCGGTGGGCCACGATGCTGAGAAGTCGGAATGGATGCAAAAGCAGACCAATCCTGGGAACCGAAAGAAGAAGTGGATCATTGGGTGTAGTATAGCCGCAGTGCTGGTCATCGGCGGCATCATCGGGGGTGTCGTCGGAGGCATCCTAGCTAATCAGAAGGACGAGACGAACAAAAGTGGTGGCTCTGCATCGGGCTCGGGCTCCTCAAAAGAGCTGTACGACATCAACTCCAGCCAAGTCAAGGCTGTGCTCAACGACGATCGTCTGCATAAAGTCTTTCCGACAATCGACTACACACCATGGTATGCGCAATATCCTGCTTGTCTTTCTCCCGGAGGCGGGCCTACCCAGAACAACGTGACCCTGGACATAGCACGACTGTCGCAACTCGCTCCGGCCGTCCGCCTCTACGGGACGGACTGCAACCAGACGGAGCTGGTGTTGGAGGCGATTGAACGCCTGCAAATGCAAGACACTATGAAAGTGTGGCTCGGGGTATATCTGGACGGCAGAAATCAGACGACGAACGACCGTCAGTTGAAAGACCTCTACCGTATCCTGGATGATTACAACCACGATCGATTCGTGGGTGTCATAGTAGGCAACGAGGTCCTCTACCAGAAAACGATGACGGTGTCGGAGCTGGGTGCCCAGCTGGATTACGTTCGTAGTAACTTCAGCTCCAGAGGCATCAACCTGCCCGTAGCCACTGCAGATCTCGGCGATAATTGGGACGCCAGTCTTGTCGCAGCGTCCGACATTGTCATGTCAAACATTCACCCTTTCTTCGCGGGAACGGTAGCAGAACAGGCTGCAAGCTGGGCTTGGGACTTTTGGCAAAACAAGGACGTGGCGCTGACCACTGCCAAAACCGGCACAATAGGTGCGGTGACCTACCCCAAACAAATCATTTCAGAAATTGGGTGGCCTTCGGAGGGCGGCAACGACTGCGGTGTCGCCACTGCCGATGATTTCGGTTGCACGAGCGAGACCGACGGAGCAGTCGCCAGTCTCGACAACCTCAACACGTTCCTGGACGGCTGGGTTTGTGATGCCATGGCCAACGGCACAACATACTTTTGGTAAGATGCTATATTTTATAGTTTTTGACCCCAACTGCCGTTCGCAGTGGTCCCAACAAGGTACTAACGTGGTCTACTAGGTTCGAGGCTTTTGACGAGCCATGGAAACACCAGGTAGGATACCCACGACCAGTATACAAGCATCATTTCACTAACACATGAGACAGTTTGACACGGAGCACAACAAGTGGGAGCCTTTCTGGGGTCTTTTCGACTACAACCGAAATCTCAAAGATGGCTTGAAGATTCCCGATTGCGGCGGCAAGACCGTAGAAAAGCCTTATTAATTCGCCGCATTGACTCCGTGTGAATGGGGATGGAATTTTGTTTGCGTTTATCGAATGCTTGGCATTGACCAACAGGCAGGGACTGGATATCGACGGACCGGATGCACATGGAATGTGGTTGCGCACGATAACTGATATGTATCTGTGGCTATGGTATTGGGATCGGGGGGTTTACATGATGAGAGCGAGAGAGCCATGAACAAACAGCGTAGTTCCACCCATGAGGCAAGGGTGAGCTGGCTTGAATATGAACAAGTAATAGGGGAGAGGCTTGTAGATATAAAATGCCGAAAGAATGAAAAAAGTCAATTGGCACTTCATCTGCTTTGCTCGGTTCTTTCCTTGCCATGTTGCTTCTTCTTCTTCTCCTCTTCCCTCGAGAGGAGATTAGACGGACAGGCGTAGATACGTGATCAACCTAGCGAGAAAAGCATGAAAGATCTCATGAGCTTTTTCTTTCTCCCTCTTTCAAGGTCAGGTATGGTATGTATGTGCTGTACTGTAAGTAAGCCAGCCCAGCCCAGCCCAGCCCAGCCCAGCCCTAGCCTAGCCTACCTGTACCTGTACCTGTACATGTACCTAGGTAGATAGCTACCAAGGAGGAGGAGGAGGAGGAACAAGCTGTCTGCCTACCTTTCCGCCTTTTCCTACCTACCTACCTACAGCATGTACTACTCCCTATATCCTACGCCTTACTTCTATCTATCTGTTTGTATAAGGTATATTATTTAGTCTACATTCGAAAAAAAAAGATTCTTGTTAGATCAAGGAGGTATAGTAGGGTACAATCATGTAAGTAAGGTAGGATTACGTGGTGCTTGTATGTACAGTAAGTATACTTGTTGTATTATGAAAGATGTAACTTGTATTTCGTACTACTACTTGTACTACTGTATTGAGAGAGGATGTATGTATGTACGTTGTCTTGGATTATCTCAATATCTTCCATGTCTTGGATCGTGTTGTCTACCTGTTCGCCTGTCTGCCTACCTTGTCGTGTCACGACTTGCCCTGTCCTGCCCTGTCTTGGATTGCGTTGTTTGTCTTGTATATCTTTTTTTTCCTGCCTTGTCCTGTCTTGTCTTTGGCCTTGTCTTGTCTTGCATTGCCTTGTCCTGTCTTGGATTGGGGTTGTCTTGCGTGTTGCGTTATCTTGTCTTTTTTTGCCTTGTCTTGCCTTGCCTTGCCTTGTTAGTGACTGACCTTGTTAGCTCGCCAGAGTCTGCCTGCCTATCTGCCTTGCCTTGTCGTGTTCTTGGTCTTGCATTGCCTTGTCTGGTTTGCTACCTTGACTTGTCTTGTCTTGCGCTATCTTGTCTGGTTTGGTACCTTGACTTGTCTTGTCTTGCGTTATCTTGCGTGGCCTTGCGTGGCCTTGCCTTGCCTTGTCTTGTCTCTTCTGCCGGTCGAGATACATAGATCCATCGATGCTAACTACAGTATAGTACATAGATTGATTCACCTTGATCGAAATCCTCGGTTCTCGTTTCCCGCTTCTTCGATGCTCGATCTTCTCTTCCCGCTACTATAGTACCCAAGTATTATACTACAGGTAGGTAATTGTGTCTATAGGCTAGGCTATACTAGGCTGTCTGTCCTCTCTTCCTACCGATTATATCTATATATCCATCCATCCCTCAAACCCATCTATTCCCCAAAAACCATCCATCCACCTAAGGTATGTATGTACCTGACCCTACCAACCCTCCCCCTCCCTTCCCTTCCCCAGGTAAGTAGCTACCCAGCCCGAACCCGCAAAACAGGCTCAGGTATACACAGTAAAGGTACAGTAAGGTAATCTTCGGCTGATCCAAGGGCTGGCTATCTACCCTACTTACCCCTTCCCTTACCCCCCTTCGAAACCCTCCCAGGTTTCCCCTTCCTATGCTGAAAGTATACAACAACGTACATACAACAACTGAAATCTAAGCCTACAACAAACAGACAGAGAACAATGACAACAACAACAACAAAGAGACCGTGTTTGTTGGGTTGGATGGCTTTGTGGGAAACTTGAACCACCCTATCCCCCTATCCCCCTGTGCGTGTGTGTGACCGGCACACGGCGCAGTCAGCAACGTACATGCCTAGTAGTAATAAAGTACATGACATGACATACCTAGCCCAGTATCTACATACTGTACTAGTATCTACCTGACCTACCAACTAGTAATATACTTTCCAGCATATTCCCCGATCATCATCACACACAACAGATGAGAGAGGGAGGGAGAGGGAGAGAGACAACCAACAACCCAACAACCCAACAACAAACAGAGATTTGCCCCCCTTTCCCATCCCTCCCTCCCTTCCCGCTTCTTCTTCTGTCAGGTTCTGTCAGTCAGTCAGGGAAAAGTGTAGAATGATTGATTCAAGTAGTACGCAAAACTGGTTTGTAGAGAACAAGTAAAAAAACATTACAACATTGTGCTATATGTAGAGGGGGAGCACGTTCAACGTTCAAACACGTAAACGCCTGTGCTTTCCGGATCAATCTCTTTGAACAGTAGTGGTAGATACAGTCCAGCACGCAGGCCCTCCTTGGTTTTGTACATTGTGAGAATGTCGAGCCAGATATTGTGTGCTCTGTACAACCCCGCCCCATACGCCCATAGTAGTAGGGTCGGGTATTCCATTCGCAGACACACATAGGGCGGATGCGCTCGCCCTGTGTCTGCCGCGCGAAAACCGATAGTAGTCCCAAAACGCCGTCGCTACAATCAACAATCATTCTCATCGTGTGCTGGAATGCACACGCAAAACTTCCCATCGCCACAACTCTCAACGGCACGGTTCCGTGCGACCGAGGATACAGTCCGTCTCTATTCGGCGGAGCCAGCTCGTCGTGCGCGCTTGTTGCGCTCGAGCCACTTCCGCTTTCCTGGTCGCGTCTCGAAATGTGGTGCGATCGTCGTCGTATCGCTCCCGCCCGCAATCATGGTGCTTCGCATCTTGTTACGATAGGCATCGAGGGACCTCTGCAAGAAGAGGGTACGACCTGTGCAGTGCTGTTAGTGAGATGGAAGAAGAGTCGGCAAGTGCAACATATGCGCGTACCATTGAATGTTCGCGCTTGGCCCCAGCTCATGCGGTAGCCCAACTCGTTCAACGCAACCTCCTTGTTCCTCCTCGACTTTGTCATGCGTGGTACCGGTAGCTTCGCTTCGCTCCCATCCATGAGAGATACTGGCACGAGAGTCCGGCCTTGGGGTCCTTCATCCACCGTGTCGTCTTCATCATCCCAATTGCCGCGTGCTCCGGGAGAACCGGGCGGCGACCTCATCTGACGAGGAAAGTAGGAACGTGGGAAGACCGCATTGATCCGGAGGTGAGCATCGGGCATATCATCCATCTTGACTTGGTCGAGCATGACGCGAACTCGGACACGGGTACCGCGTTGGTTGTCGTCCACGAGGATGAACTTGCGACGCTTGGATTCGGGCACATCGCCGAAGAGATTGCGCTTGTGCTCTTCGTCTTCTTCCATCCTGTCCGCGTCGCCACGAGCGGGCGCAGCAAGTGCTGATACTTGACCATGCATGGGATCCATGGTGTCGTGGACGGAGGGCATGGACGAGCCTCCCACTCCTGGCTGCTGAGGGTACGAGGGATAGAAGTTCTGAGCGTAGCGGCCCGTGGTTGGTGATGCCAGATCGCTCTGTCCGTTACTCGACGGGTTAGGATGCCCGGCTGCACTATTATAATCATTTCCGGCTAAACAGAAAAGATGTTCAATCAGCGTGGGAGCTCATGTGATGTGCAGCAAGGGTGTCTGTATGCGAAGCGAGCGAGAAAACAAGGGTATGTATGTATGGGAGGTGCAAAAGCGATGTGTTGGTGTGTGTGAGTTGTTACACCAATGACAGCAAAACAAAATACAATCTCCCGCAGCCGTGATGAAGCACAGCTGCAAGTAGTGATAAAAAGGTATGGTGTACACAATGTACAGGAAGAGTGTGATCGATACGATGCTTGACCGCTTTTTCTTGCGCCTCCCGCCAAACAACTCCAACCAAAAAAAAAAACAAATGCTCGTGCAAATAGTAGTGGTAGTAGTACAGGATATCATTCACATCTGGTGGAACATACCGCTGACGTCGTTCCCACCGCCGGGTTCGTTGCCGTCGGTGTGGTGGTGGTGCATATGAGGTCCACCAGGACCCATGTTCGGTGGACGAGCTGAGCCAGGAGCCATCCCCGGTGGAGGTAGCCCAGCGCTGCCGGGGCCTTGCGCATAGGGACCAGCAACACCAGGCGGTCCCTTTGCGGCGTTTCTATTTTGAATTTTGGCCATACGTCGCACTCTGCGACTCCGTAACCTCACGTCCTGATTGCTGTTTCTCCAGCTGTCCACGGCGCGCTGGATCAGGCCGCGCTTTTCTCGCAAATTGGGGTTCAGTTGCGCGAGCGCCCACCCTACCGCATTGCACTCGCTCTCGTAGTGCAACCGATTGCCCTTGTACTGGTCTTTGCCGCAGCACGCGCGAGGGTAGACGCAATTCGCAGACTTGAATTCGGGGCTGAGTTCGTCCACGTTGACCGATTCGACGTCGCAGCGAATGGTGTATTCCATCTTTACGCGATCGCGCGAATACTCGAATGCGATCCACTGCACGCCATTGTTGTCTTGGCGCACAACCAGTGGAGTGGTTGCGGGAATGGGTCCTGGTGCTGCGCTCGAGTTAGGTCCATTTGGAGTGGTAGATGACGGGTGACCGTGCATACCTGGGCCTGAGGGAGTCTGAGGAGTTGCCTGTGGCGGGGCAAGTGCAGAAGGCGGACGTTGAAGGGAGGATTGTGATGGTTTTTGATCGAGCATGCTCGACTGCGGGTGGCCGGGCGTCGCTTGCGGCGGCTGCTGCATCTGCTGTTGCGGCTGCTGATGTGACATCAGCATGCCCGGCGCCGAAGTCATGGAGGAGTGGTGCGAAGCAGCGGCGGGATGCTGGCCATAGGGCGACTGCTGCTGCATCTGGTACTGTGGGTAGTACATTTGCTGAGGCATGGAGGCGATGCCGTACAACGGCCGACCATGTGCGTCAGTCTGTGGTGAATGGATGGACGCTGGTGAGTTGGACTGCGGAGTCTGGTAGCTTGAGATCGGCGGGTAGGATTGACGACTGATCGCCGCTTGCGTGGCCATGCTTTCGTTTGGCTCTGCAAAGCTGGTCAGTCCTTGACTGAAAGAAGGCGCCATGACAGCCAAGTTTATTTAGATAGACGCGGCGATCAAACACCACAATCGTTCGGGATTCATCACAGCAAGTCTTGGGAGATGAGTGGGCCGGTGTGCGTGTACTCACCTGACGAAGCGTAACTGCCACCCGCACTGTTCGTGCTGTAAGGACTGGGATGGGCACCAAAGAACTGTGCCTCACCCGGGTGTTGCGATGGGATTCCCGGCACCGATCCGATATATGGAGACTGGTGCTGCTGGGGTAGGCTGTGTGTCGAAGAGTGCGGTGATATGTAGGGGCCTTGCGACGTCTGATTGTTGAGAGTATTGTGCGATTGGTGAGGGGAATTGGGACGGTGTTGTTGTTGTTGAACTAGTCCTGCCGATCGCGGGTGCTGCAGAGGCTGTTGTGGAGGAGGCAGACCCTGTTGGCCGGCATTGGATTGATTCTATAGAGAGCGCGGAGTGGTCAGTATAGATGTCCGCAGCGCGCCGTGATTGCTGGAAGGGCAGTGCAAGTGGTGGTGATGTTGGACGTCAGATGTTTATTGTGTTTCAAGGCGCCGATCGCGAATCCCGGTTGGGTCGCAGCGGGGGTGGGAGACAAGTGTACCACACAGGCAGTTGCTGGCAAGGCAAAGCCCAGGTGAGGTGCCAGGGTGCAAGGGTGTAGGTGGGAGTGACGGTGAGCAGGTGGGAACGGACGTGTTGAAAGGGCTTGGCGGGGAACTGAAGCTCCACTTCTCGCTCTGTTAAGAGCAATAAGAGCAGCAGAGTGGGCGGATTGAGTTTGCGCGTGCAGGAAGAGGTGATTCGGTGCCAGTGTCCTCATCAAACGCAAAAGGAATCAAGGTGCTGCGGGTAGGTGTGCGGTGCGCTGGCGCCGGATGTCGGAGAGTCATGGACATGTTTCGGTGGTGCCTGAGCAGCGGGAATGGAGGGTGCAGTGCAGTGCAGTGCAGCGCAGTGCAGTGCATGGTGTGTGTGTGCATGGGGCATGTGTGTGAAGACGGGGACGGGGATAGGAGGGGGGGTGGTGGTGGTGGTGGAAGTGTAGTGCAGTTGTGCAGTGATGGAGGAGGAGGAGGAGCAGGCGGAGGAGGTAGTGGTGGCGCATACCAGCAGCGACGGCTGTCGCATGTCGTAAGTCTGCATGCTGCTCGCGCGGTGGCCGTGTAGCGGTGGTGGGAGTGCGACGGCAGACATTCGCGCAAGGATGGGCTGCCAGTGGTGCAGTTTGAGGTGTGTAGTGGACAGTTAATGGGCCGTCTCGAGCAGGGGCGCATGCGGTGGATCTCGTTTCTCTCTCTCCCTCTCTCACAAATCTTGCTTTGGTGGAAGGTACGACCGACAGCCAGGCAAAACAAAGATTCGTAGCCGTAGCCGTAGCAGCAGCAGCAGCAGCAGCAAGAGAGTGTGGATGGATGTATGGATGGGTGGATCGATGGATGGATGTATGGATGGATGGATGGGTTATGTGATGGCGCTGAGTCGGGGGAATGCAGCACAACTAGTACGGCGCTGGTGCTCGTGTGCGAGAAGACGAACGACGGCGACGACGCGTTGGTATCAACCAAAATCAAAATACACATACCATGTCGCAGAAGGCCGTCGAAGAGCCGCTGAGCGCGTCTGAAGTCAGTCGCGAGACGTCCAGTCTGTGCTGCCAATTGCAGACCCGGTCGATCCCAGGATGCGGTCAATCTGCAAAGTGTATTTCGAGTCGTCTGCTGGGCTGTTGGGCCTGTGTCAGGCGTGTGTGCCTTAATCCAAGTATCGGAACCTTGTCGAGGGCGGTACAGTAGTCCTGGAGGTGTGTGTGGGAGACAGGCAGGTTGACAGGGCTGCTCGCCGGGAGACGAGGCAGGGTCGCAGAGTTTAATCCAACACCTAGTTCGTGTTCGGGAGCCGTGGGAGACAGGCCAGGTTCAAGGGCGGGCTGGCAGGCTGGCTGGCAGGTCAGATCAGGTCAGGACAGGCCAGGCGAGCAGCGGGTCAGGTCAGATCAGGGCAGGGCAGTTCCGGACAGGATAGGGCAGGGCAGGGCAGGGCAGGGGAGGGCAGGGCAGGGCAGGACAGTCTGTACCTATACCACTGTTTGTGCCGTAGGTGTACAGTCGGACAGTCGGTACTCTCAGTGGGCATGAATAACGGTATTTGTCGGTAAAGTAGGTATTGGCTGCACTGCACCGCACGGGGACTGCTGCGGATGGGAATGCTGGTCGAAAAAAGTGCCGCCGTTCATCAACTGCGATCGGGAGAGCATCATCATAAACAACAACATGCTGCTGGCATGGGTAGGCAGTGCAGTACCACAAGGCAGGGCTTGGGTTAGGCTAGGCTAGGCTGGGCAGGGCAGGGCAGGGCAGGGCAGGGCAGGGCAGGCCCTCATCCGGCGTGGATGCACTACGCTCGCTCTGCGCATGGATGGACGTGTGTCACACTGGCCGTTGCTGCCGGAGCGTTGTTAGTGTGGTTTCGGCGTCCATGCTGGCACTCTGGCAGCTGCAGCGAAATTCGTCGACGGCCCGTGCGCACCCTCTTTCTAGGTAGCCACGCGAAGTGCCGTGATCACTTTGCAACACATTATACCCGTACTGGCGTAGCAGCACCACTCGACCTGCACCAACAACATCACCTTCTCACACCTGCCGATACGGCCTTCCACCATCCACCACCCACCCGTACGTGTCTCTCATCTTACACACCTCGGACGGGACACGAACACCGCCAACCTTCTGCTGGCTTAGCTAATATGCTGCCCAGAGCTGCGATCCGCACTACTGACACACCGCGCCCTCATCGTGCCTGTTGCTCCGCCTACACCACTCACGCACTAACCCTCTGCTAATAACTCTCTGCCGGCAAGTGAAGGAAGCAAGCAAGCGAGCAAGCATCGTAGATGCAGCAACCCACGCATCCATTACCCACCATTCGAGCCCGCCGCCATCAGTCCCATCACACGATCCAACACGACTACTGTGAGGTCTTGTTGGTATTATTCTTATTCTTATTATGATGATTATTATGATTACTACGATGAGCCTATGGTGATGATGGTATTGATTGTGATTACCATCATTCTATTACCCTACCCTACCCTGCCCTGCCCGACCCTACTGTACCATTGTACTAGTGTACCTGACCTTCTTCTTCACCTACCTTACTGGCCACTGCTCGAATACCTACATCTATGGCTTGGCAGGTCATCCCACACCCCGCCACCGGTCGACTCTTGTGCAAATCCATCTCAAAATTATTCATCATCGCCTGCCTCATGCTGCGCCAGCGCATCACATCATGTTCCACAGCCTACGCTCGCCCGAGAACATGCCCCGCGCGCGGCTCCACTCTCTGAGATGAAGTGAGGCATCTCCCACTCGAAGCGGTCAATCGAGCATTACGGATATGCACTCATGCGTCCCTCGGTCGTAGTCTCATCGGCACCCTGCAGCTCTGCATCATTCTGGTGAGCTGGCTCGATCACGTATGGTCATATGTGATCCTAGCCGATGTCAAGGCATCCCTCGCCGCGCAATTATGCATGCAGGGTTCTCTAGCTCACATGTCCGCCCTGTAAGCGACTCCATTGTGCCGCCTATGATTGGCTGTCTCCATCCGCTATTCCTGCCGATACTGTGAAACACTCCCAGCACGCCGCTGACTCGACTTGCCGCTGCGGCCAACCAACAGCTCTGCTCCTGCCAGAAGCTTTACAAGCTCCGGAGAATTCCTTTTCTGCGCGACACTTCTTAGGTACAGGTTTAGCGTGTCAAGAAAACTTGATGTTCTCGCAATCTGCGGACGAGAGCAGCTGAGCAGATAGCGACGTGTCACATTGCGTCGATTGCCGGTGATAATGATGCTGCTGCTGCTGCTGATGGTGACGGTGACGGTGACGGTCACGGTGATGAGCTAGCAGCACGATTACGGGCGCATGTTTCCAGAGTCGTTGCATCGGCGACAGCTGCAACGCCTGGCCACCATACTGTAGAAGGTATACTGTCACTGTACACCTACTGTACCTCAATAACGATGCGACCAGCAGGCCAGTTTCCCGTCCTCGTCGGCTACGGCGCCACGGTCCTCGAAGGCGTCTCACCCTGGCTCACTGCACGTGGCTCCCTGGCCGCGGTAGCGACTGTTTTACCCAGCACCAGCGGTCTGCGTCGCACGTCCTCCCCATGTCGGACCTCATGTTACTACTTACACCTGCCCTGTTCCCGGGCATGCCGGCGTACGGTAGGAAGGGATCGCTTTTGGAGACGAGCACAGTATCCGGGAATTACCCTTGCTCGCGCATCCTGGGCAGCAACAATATTGATTATTGAGATGATGAGATAGCGAGGGCCAAGACTGCAGATGAAGCCTGCCTGCCTGCCTGCCTGCGGCCTGCCTTTCCTGTGATGGAAATGCGCTCGCGTGCGTGCGACACCGCGCTGTTCCGACCGACTAAAACTGTACAGTGCAGTGTAGTCCAGTCCAGTTATACGCGCACTACGCGCAGTTGGGTAAAAAAATGCCCTCTTTTTGTGGCGCAACTGTCTATGTAGAGAAATATGTACCTTAGGTAGGCTTAGGGTAAGGTAGGTATGCAGCTTTCACACTGGCGCCCAGCTAGCTTCAACGTCTCTGCAGAGGCTTTTTCTTTCGCCCTCTAAGAAAAAAATAAAATGTGGGAGGATTTGCACCAGGCACCAGGCCGTGGGCGGTGCTACTAAAAAAAAAGACTCCTGTCAAAAAAAAAAAAAGATTAAGGGAAGGGAAGAAGCAGTTACCAAGCCAGACACACTACACACGCGAACGTGTGTGAACCGGAACGGAACCCAGGGATAGGTATATTCCAATCCTTCCGCCGAACGCCTCTTTAGTAGGAGTTGTGACATGTATGGTGTCCCTGGTCTCCACGCCGTCGCCGTGTACCAGGCTTTCATCACTACTCTTCTGGCGTAGCACCGCGCAGGCGTGGTGCGTGCGTGCGTGTGTGTGTGTGTGTGTGTGCGTGCGTGCGTGCGAGGATGACGGCGGTAATTCATACAGTAGCGATGGAAAGACAGTGCATCAATCATCCCTCTCTCTCTATCTCTACATGTACCTATTGTATACCTTAGGTACCTCTTACGATGCGAGTCTCAGGAGTCTACACTTACCTACCTAGGTAGTAAACAAGAGACTCGGCGATTCAGATCTCTGGTACTGTACATACCTTATGCTGGCTTATGTAGCGTTGCACAGCCCGACGAAACAACAATGTATGTGCTTGTGTAGAGGTAGGTAAGGTGGCTTTTTCGTGCTACGATTGCTGATGTATGTTCCAGATCTCTCTGCTTTCTGAACTTCTTCATCATTTCACTGTGCGACGAAAGGCTTATATTTTCTTCTTAATTACCGCTACCAATATATATACTGGAACCAGACCTGCGGGAGCCCCGAGAGGAGAAACCGATATATTGCTTGCACGATTAAGGTAGATAGAGAAAGCCAGATGGATCTTGAATGATACCACGATTGTTTCTTGATTACCTACCTACCTTGAACCTCAAACTTCAACTTCATACCTACCTTACCCACCTGTTAGGTCAACACTATCCTACCTACCTAACCTACTCGTTAGTCCCATTCGTGATCAGACTAGATGTCAAACTATTCTTCACAATCGATCACGGGTTCTTCTTCGCACACCTCGGTCCCACCAAAGCGACACCGCATGCTCGTCTCGTCTCGTACTCTGCTCTCGAATGCCAAGCCCACTCACCCAGTCTTTCTTCACACCCAACCCACGACTCGCGCGATTGCTCGACGCAGAAACGTAGCTACCTTATACAGCCGTGTGAAACAAGCCACCTCGTTTTCACAAGTGGCCTACTGTACCACATTTTCCCTTCCCATCCATCCTTAATAGGCTTGTGAGCTAAAAAATGATATGATGCACCGCCTCGGCTGAAAGATCAGGCTTTTGAAGAGAAAAACGCACTTGTGGCGCGATGGTTTTTTTTTTTGCCTTGGGCATGTTCCTACGGTTCCTGCTCTTTTCAACGGTGGTACGCGTACCGACCCGGCTCCGGATCGACATCCACAGCACGACGAGAAGGCGCAATAAGGTGGCCCCCCGAAAAAAGCCTCTTCCGACGTAAACGAAGGGACAGAAACGGTCGCGGGAAAGTTTAATAGCTGGGGGGCCTTTTTTTTTGGTCCTACGACGTGCTTAGGTACGGTAGGTTCCGCTTGCTTGAGGTGTGGAAAGGTGCCCAAATGATAGTGTTATTATTATTAACATCATGATAGCCTTATGGTTCGTTCGGCGGTGTACAGTATGTAAGTGTGTGTCTCATCAAACGAACTTCATGTATGTTTGCGCGCCGCCGGCGGCGGCGGAGGCGGCGGGTTCAGTCGTGTGCCGGAATGGGCAATAAGACGATTCTGACTTGTCACAGGAAAAATCTTGAGACTCGCGGCGGGGAGAGAAAGAGATTGAGGGAGAGAGAGAGAGATACAACATACCAACAATTCACACGGGAAGTTGGATCACATCTGAGATCTACATGACTTGGCAGACGATACCTAAGGTATCTGCAATAGCTCCATTTGGCATCTGCATCCAAGAGGCATAGCGGATGACTTGTCCGGGCAAAGCAAGCAAGTTGTAACGTGTGCACATACTGCATGCACCATAAGATCTATCCATGATGATAATATGAAAGAGGAACACGAACAGGAAACGCGGAAAGAATCAAAGAAGCTTCCTCACCATCCCGGGAACAGAAGCGCTCTCTCTCTCTCAAGAGCGGAAGAGAGAGTAGTCGAGACAGAGAGACCTGGCCTGTCAAAACAAGATCCTAGCGAGATACCCTACCCTGCCTAGGTATGGCCTGTCTCTTGCGACTTCGACCTAAAAAAGCCAGACAGGCTCCCCTGGTCATCCATCAAAAAAGTGAGAGAGGGAGGGAGGATGATTCTCATCCAGGTCTCTCCCCCCCCCTCTCCCCTCTCCCCCGGGCCCCTGGTCATCTCAACATGGACGGCAAATCGTTCCAACAAGGATTCTCCACTTGATGAGGGCCTGGGTATCTCTCCTTCTCCTCTCTCTCCCGCTTTGCTGCTCCTCGAAGCCAGCCGGCTAGCCCTCCTCCGCCCCCCTCCCCTTCCCCTTCTCACCCCCTGGCCATGTCTCCAAGTACCTCTCTCTGCCTACAGTATGTACATGCGACTGGGTAGTGATAACGTGATTAGTAGTAGGAACTGGAGTCACTAGTAGTAGTAAGTCACTAGTAAGTAAGTCAGTAAAACTCACTCACTTGCCTTAGTACACGGTACTTTCCCGCGTCTCTCTTACATACACTTACCTATTACTCTTACTCTTACTCTTACTCTCGGTAATTTCTCTCTCTCTCTCTCTCTCTCTTTTATTAGTATCTCAGTAATCTCTTATTTCTCTCCTCATCCTCATCAAAACAAAATTTTCAACTTATTATTATTTCTCTTCCGCGCGCGCTAGCCGGGCGAATACCGAGAGGAAGTTCAGGTACATCGAGAGGCGGTACAATACTGTACATACCTACTAGAGTCCCACTTTTCTTTCCTTTTTGGGGGGGGGGGATTGTAAGAACAAGGATTCTCCCTTGAAAGTTCCATGACAGTTACGATCGTGCGGGCGGATCTTTCACTTTTTGGCTTTTTTTTTGTTTTATATAGATCTTGGATTCTACCTACGATTGTGTTTTATGTAACTAATGAAAGGGAAATAAAAAGACATGAAAAGAGATGTAATCAATAGTTTGTCAAGGTTTTCTTATTCTTTGATTAGGGACTTGAAATAAAAGAAACAAAAAAAAGTAGGAAGGAAATTGAAATATCTAATCGAGACTAAATCGACTTTTTGTGATGATGATGATAATAATACTGCTATCATCGTATAAGAAGAAAAAGAAGACCTCACTCGGGAAAATGTACTAAAAACTTTCGGGAGAGTTTAAACTTTTTCTCGCTAGGACGTAGTAAGAAATCTCGTCTCGTCTCGTTTCGTTGTCGATGTCGATGGAACTAGAAATTGCTGAGCTGAGCTGAGCTGAGCAGATGATGATGAGAATAAAACTTTCCATTTTCCCTCTTATTATAATTTTTTTGTTAAATTATTATTATTATCATTATTATCCTCATTTACCTATATATACAATGTCACTCACTACCGGGCCGTGCTGTGATGAGTTTTTAGCGCATTTGCCCCAACCAGAACAGAAAGAAAAGAAAAAAATCAGATCTACGTACGTGCTTATTTAGGCAGCAGGCAGGTAGGCAGGCAGGCAGGCTATGCTAGTTTACCTCCTACCTTTAGTTGAACCGATGCCTTTTTTTCGATTCCAGGACCTGGAGATGCCCCCCCCCCTTTCACATTCCCTTCATCCCCGTTCACATCTGGCGTTTGCTCGCTTCTTTCCTTCCCCTCCCCTTCCCCCTTCTCAACCCCCCTTCCCTCCAGCAGATCTCGGCGGATGCCAATTAATTCACGCTTTTTTTTGGTTTGGTATTCGATGAATGGATTGTAAGTAAGTAAGCAATATCGGCGCCAAGTGAGGTGAGGAGGATGCTTGTACTCTGTATATACCCGAAGAAGTACTTGGTAGTGGTAGTGGTAGTATTGGTAATGGTATTGGTAGTAATGATAATGAACGATAGTATTATTGTAAGTATATGTATGTATGTAAATGTGTATGTATATAAGGTATGTATTTACCCAAGCGTGAGTCATATCTATATCTATATCCATCTCCATATCCATATCCATATCCATCTCTACCTACCTACCAAGCGTTCCTCAACCCTCATACTATCAATAAAAAAAAAGCAAGCTCCATCGATCACCGTTTCTTATTCTTCCCCCTAGTCCCGCTCGCGCGTGCGCGTGTGTATGTGTATATATGAACTTATGGAAGGATTCTCCTCCCTGTCCTATCCTGTTCGAACTTCGCCCCGTCCGTCCGCCCCCCTTCCCCCCCAAGAAAAAAAGACGTTCGCTTCGGCGGCTTCGCCCCCCCCCCTCCCCATGTGATGGTTCATCACACATACAGTCACAACTAGACAAGACAAGACAAGACAAGGCAAGGCAGGACAAGGCAAGCTACCTGCCTGCCTGCCAAAGAATTAAGAAAAAAATAAGAAACCCCCCATCCGACAATGTCACGATGCTAAGCAACCTACTATCGATGGATTACTATCGAGGGGGCTGGCCTGTCTGTTTGTCTGTCTATCCTACCTGCCTTGCCTTGCCTGGCCTGTCTGGTCTGGTCTGCCTGTCCTATCTACAATACGGTCCTCGCACGTACACGCGCACGCCATGATCCTTCGAGGGACTATCCCTTTTCTTTTATATCTTACTGTGCCTAGAGTATATACCAAAAGCCTGCCTGGTCTGTCTGGTCTGCCTGGTCTGGTCTGCCTGTCTGGTCTGTCTGGGCGGTTCGATAGACAGACATAGTGTTCTTTTGTTTTTTCTTTTTGTTCTTTTCTTTTGTTCTTTTCTTTTGTTAGTTAGTTTGTTAGTTAGTTTGTTTGACATTTGATGGATTTTTTAAAATTCCTTAAGAGAAGGAAATCTTGCAGATCTTAGATTTGATAGTAAGGTAGATGGTAGATGGTAGATGGTAGATGTCGATTTGTGTTCTCGAAAATCTTTCTCTCAGGGTTGTGTTGTTTTGTGTTTGATGATAGAACTTTTTCTGTTTTGTTGTTGTGTTTTTTAGGTACTACCACTTGAGATTTTGAGAGACTTGACTGTATTGCATTGTATCGCACCGAACTAGACTACTAGACCACTTAGACTGAATAATAGTATTTCCTCTTACTACTACTACTTACTCCCAAGGTATCATTACTACTACAACTTATTACTCCAACCTCAGGTACCTACCAACCCAATACGATCCAAGCTGACTACCTACCTACCTGACCTGACCTGACCTTACCCTACCTCGGCACTTTCTAGTGTCTTCTACTAATGCGACGTCTCACGCATGTGAGATTGATGTAGTAAGATTTCTGTTCGTATCGCAAAACATGTTCCTCGTATCGTCTTGTAAGAGAGACAGGTATAGGTACCGTGCCTAAAAGAGCTAAGTTGGTTGTGATGGGGTGCGTGGGGGTTGGGAACAATTCTTATTACGAGAGAGGAGTGGAGTGGTGTGGTGGCGGTGTGCGGTTGGAGGAAGTTTTTGGGAGATGGGGACTCGGTTGCGTTTACTGGAGGAGATGGGAGGGCGTTTTGTGTTGTGTTGTGCTGTGACTAGCAGATATGGGAGTTTTCTAGAGACGTTGTTTTGGAAGGAGAAACGAGGTGATGGTGATGATGATGATGATAGTAACAACAATACAAGACACACTCCTTCTTCCCCATCTTCTTCATACATCACATTACAAAAGTTCCGATTGTAGTATATATATTTCCCTATACCGGTCTGCCTATTTGACTTTACACTCGTTAGTCTTTTCTACTCGTGCCTACAAATAACATATTATATAACGTTCCTCTAGGCAAAGGACTTCACAATCACGAAATCAACAAGTCAACTAAAAGAATGAACGGAAAAAAAAAAAATGAAAAAATGAAAAATGAAAAGTGCGATCGATCAATATTCGGATACCTTATATTCCATACCTTATATTATTACACCCTTCTCCACACCTCTCTCTACTCACCTAGCTACCTCCTCTATCCCGTATCCCATATCCCATATCCCATATCCCATATCCCATATCCTATATCCCCATCCCCATGTCCCATGTCCCATATCCCCATCCCCATCCCCATCCCTATCCCCATCCCCATCCCAACCCCTCACTCTCCATCACAAAACACTCCCACTCCCCTTCTCCACCCTTACCACAACCGTCTCCCCTCCCTCATCCTCATCCCCTCACCTCCCCATCTCCAAGTCCCTCAACTCCACCTCCTCCCACTCCTCCTCCTCCTCATCATTAACACTAGCTTGCAGATCCTTGATCTTCTTATAGTTAGACCTACCACCACCACCACCTCCTCGAGCCCATCGACTAGGTCCCTTAGTAGACGCTATCGGAAGGGGAATTCTCAAGGTCGACATTGCCGATGCCGATGTGGTGGTGGTGGTGTTGTAAGGGGTGTAAGTCCAACGGGCAGAGTCTGCAGGGGAGTCAGTGTCAGTGTTAGCGTCAGCTGGGGCAGTTTGGTGTCGTCGTTGTCGTTGTTGAAGACGACCTCGACGACGACGACGGTAGATGTCGTACAATTTACCTGTGCCAGCGACGACTACGATGATGAAGGCGAAGCCGAGCGACGCGATCAGGATCGGGGTGATGGAGAAGTTGGAGGACATTTTGGTTGGTTGGTGTTGGTGTTGGTGTTGTTGTTGTTGTTGGTATTGGTGTTGGTGTTGTTGTTGTTGTTGTTGTTGTTGTTGTTGTTGTTGTTGTTGTTGTTGTTGTTGTTGTTGTTGTTGATGTTGTTGTTGGATGAGGAATATAATGGAGAGATGGGATCGAGGTAGCGGTTTAAATAGAGCTGGGAGGGTAGTCGATGAGTTGAACAAGGTCTTTATGGAGTGAATGGGGATAGGAATTTTACAATAGGATTGTCAGGGTGAGAGGGACAATGAAGAAAGGGGGGCTTTGAGAAGAAGAGAAGGGACTTGTTCAAAGACAGACATGCTCTTTGTTCTCGTGCTTGTTCTGGGTCTTATTGTAAGGGGACGAACAAGGGCAAGAAAGAGGGCGCTCGGTATGGAAGTATGGGTCAGCCAGAAATGTCGAGGCCGTTTTGTGGTAAAGCAGCTGATGAAGATACCTGTAAAGTGAGAAATGAATCGCTATCGCAGCTTTAGAAGTCCCAGTGCGTGAATCATAATACAAAATATTCTTTTTTTGGTCCATCAATCCATCAATCCATCCGTCCACCCATCCGCCCATTCATTCAATCATCAATCCATCCAAAACCCCCATTCCATCAAATCATTTCCTCTTCTCCTCCTCCCGCAACCCCAAATGCTCAAATCCCGTAACCCGATGAAATTCATCCCTCCAAACATCATCTTCCTGCTCATCCCCCTCCAACGAAGACCGACTCCCCACTTCCCTCTCCAGACTCCAATGACTCGCAGCATTCTCTCCCGCAATCCCATACATCGACGAAGACTTTCCCTCATCCCGAGACTGAGATGCTCCCAATTCTCCTGATGCAGCTGCTGCATCCTTCTTCCTCTCCTGCCCCTGCCAATACCAATGACTTCGCGGAGTTTGTGACGGGCTGTCGAGGATGTTATCGAGATTTCCTGGGATGGGAGGTAGAGGGGAGGAAGGGGGAGGAGTGGAAGGATGTTTGCGGTATCTGTGTTCGAAAGTTTGTGTAAACGAGTTGGATTGTTTTGGTTTTAACGGGTGTTGTGGGAGTGGTGATGACGCCGGGCTGCTCATGATGTTGGGCCTAGCGGGAGATTGATATAATGGTTGTGGGAGAAGAGGAGGATCTTCTCGAGGTCTTTTGGTATCTTTCCCATTTCCGAGGAAGTCGAGAGCTACTACTGGCCCAGTTCTCTTTTGTATCAAACTACTCATCGAGTCTTCTTTAGTTGTACTGCTTCCTTCTCGAAAGAGTCCTGCAATGGGCACAGCGGGCAGATCGTTCCATCGTTCCTCTTTGCCATGCGCATTCATCTGTTTCAGGGATACTCCGTTTTCCTCGGTGGGCTGGATTTTTCGCCGGAAAGGAAAAGAGTTTGTCTTCCACGCGAATAGTAGTCCAGCCACGATAAAGAGCGATAGGATGGAGAAGGCGATTCCGAGAGCGAGGCCAGTTTGATTTGAATCAGACTGCAGAGCATGGAATGCTGTGGAAGTATTTATCGGTATTGTCAGAGAAGTTGTGGATAACATGCTTGGACTCGCGGGAATACTGCTTGATGAGTGAGAAGAAAGGCCAAGAGAGGTCGCTGATTTCGTCGATTCATCCAGCGAGGAGGCAGTCGCAGGAATGGTTGAGCTCGTACTGCTGGTCGTGAGGGTGACCGTGGCCGTTGCTGACCTCGTACTAGAACCCGCAACATTTGGAGGCGCCACAGTACTCAATGAGCTCGTCAAATCCATAGGCGTCGACGATGTCGCCGTTCGCCCCGAGCAGGACACACCACTGTCCACAACGACACAATTCGTCGGTAACTCAACAAAGCTGACAGAAGTTCCAATTGTCGTAATTGGAACCATCGACACCGTATGGATGACGGTCACGTAGCCGATCATGATTTGTGAAGCCTGTGGTTTGTGAGAGAGTGAGGTTGGTGTGGTGTGTTGAGTATAGTTGGTAGATGTTGGATATAAGTAGTAATGATAGGTAAGAAGAGAAGAAGAAGAAGAAGGTAAGATAGTTATACCATTGTGCAATTCACCCCCCAAGGGGTCCAAGCTACAGTGAATAAGAGCTCACTATAGAACGTGATTAGTAGCACGTGCTCGTGAGATGAAGTGAATGATGAGGTATCAACATTTCAAGTGGCAAGTGAGAAGCATAAGTACCTAAGAAGCCGTTTGCTTCCCTTCAATCGAGCAATCTATTGATCAAAAGAAAGCGATGTAAGGTAAATGAAAAAAAGGATAAGAAGTTTGCATACATGCATTTCACTTCCTCATAGTAATGGACAGCAAAAACAAAACATTGGAATACTTACCTACCTTAAACTCACCTCACCTCACCTCCTCACAACCCTATCCTCATCCACAAAATAATATTTCCTCGACCCCAGCCTCGCCCAAGCATGACTCGGCCGCGTCGTCCTCTTCTCAGGAGCATCAACAACATCAACAACACCTCCAACAACACCAACAGTCCCCCCATCATCATCCCCTCCAATAAAACCCCCCCTCGGCTTCGTCCAACAATTCGCCCTCGGAAGACTATACGTCAAAGTCAACGGATTACAACCTCCAGGACAATCCCTCGTTTCCGCAATCGGACTTAAAACATGTTCGAGAATTTCCAATTCATGCAAGCGATGAGTGATGCAAGATTCATGGGCGGGAAGCACGAAACCGTGGTTTTGGACGTCGTGGAGGAAATCGTTGATTTCGAATTGCATGGCGGTGACGAGCATGGATGAAAGGTGGTGGTCATTGGGTTGTGCGAGGGAGTGTCCGAATTTTTTTTGGGACTGGGGTGGTGGTGGTGGTGGTGGTGGTGGTGGTATAGATGTAGAGAGCGTGGCTGGTTTGCAGGATGTCTCCGCGGGTGGAAAGGCCGTGTTGGTGTTGTCGTTGCTGCTCTTCTTGGTTGGGATGACTTGAGGTTTGGGCTTTTTGTCCTGCGTCAGCTCTAGAGGGGCGGAGATGTCTAGTCCAGAGATTGAAGGACCGGCCTTTTTCAGCGTTCGTGAAGGGATGAGCTGCATAGTGGGTATGGTGTTGGGAATATTGTTGGTATTGATTGATAGGAGTGCAATGAGACCAGCTCGTCTTTGATAGTGTTTGAGTTGACTGAGACTTGCAGAGTTGCTTGCTTCCGCAGCGCATGTGTCTCAATTCAAGACATACCCAGTCTGTTGGAATGTCTTTGTCGAGCGGAGGAGGTCTATTCGCAGAGACAAAGGTCTGCCAAGTAGACAAGGAGTAGAAAGACAGGCCGAGGAGATGATGAGATCTTTCTTTGTCTCTTTTCGTGGAGAGTACGGGTAGCAACAGGATGGTATCGATGGCTCCAAAGGCAAAGAACTCCGTCATAGGACGAAGATTACCAGCACAACTCGATGGAGTAAAACACAATTGTCAGTATAATCAAAGCCTGTGACCATGCCAGAAGAAAACGAAACCTACATGTCTCCATGAAGTTGTAAGTGCTGGAGAGCTTCCAGACCTGACATCGCCAGAGGAAATAGATAGACCACACAGGGAGGGAGGGCCCTAGGAGAAAACTGGACTTTCTTTGATGTATTACTGAGGTACTATCACAAATAACCCTTATGGTGGTACAGCACCTCTATTATCCTGATGAGGTTGTTCCTCCGCCCAACCCATCTTGTCCCGGTCGTCATCACAGACTCGAGCATACTCCAATAACAGCCGGAGCACATAAACACTCATATCCTCTCTGCGGAGAACTTTCTCCGCCCACGCTTTTCCATCCAATGCAATATTTTTTGCGACCTCATCATGCCCACCGAGACCCAGAAGTTTATTACCTACAAAGTATTCCATAATGCCGTAGATGTCGATGAATGTGTTATCCATGGGCACAAAGTGTTTCCAAGGTATGATACGAGAGTCGTGCCATTCTTGGTAAATGCTGGCTTTGATGGGAAGAGAAGTGGAGCCTAGGAAGCCGCGATATCTTCCCGAAAAGGAGTTGCCGTCTATGTCTGGTAAGTATTTGTTTCTGTATTGTTCCTTCATGGGCAGGGCGGGTGCCACGGAGAAGTACTCGTCTGTGTATGTGCAATGTGGTCCTGGTGGGTCTTCTGGAAAGCATAGTAGATGTACAGCGGCGGCGTCTGACCATGAAGCTACCCATTCGCTAAAAGCGTGCGCTGGCGCATCGGGTTTCTGGACTGTGAGGTCATAGGTGCCATTTTGAGGTAAAACGAAATTGATGGCCTTTTCTTCATACGTCTGCTCCAGCTGTCTGATGCTCGTGGCGTTGAGCATGGCAATGAAGCGATGGCGTTGGAAGCGAGTCCAGTTCTCCTTTCTGTTCCTCCCTCCGCTGGCCGATCCACGCCACATCAACGTATCCTTCTTATTTTCCCACGCATCACCATGGTCGTCGCCGCCCGAATAGAACGGATCCCGCGTCCAGTACATGGCAGGTGGTAGTAAGATCTCGTTGTTTACGGGAAGCTTCGAGCCGCCGAATAGTGGAAAGAAATGCTTCGTGGTGGCGATTGAGATGGGCTCAACGAAAGAGCCGTGGAGGCCTTGCAGTTGAGGATGATCGCAGGGAGAGCAGGTAAATGTCCAGTTCTGAACATAGCCTTCGAATGTGCCCGGTGGAAAGTCAGCCGACAGAGGCGGAGGCGTAGAAAAGTCCGTCTCCTCATACGCTTTTCTCGCGCCGCTCTCGGGCGGACATCCCACCACTGCCAGACGCCAGTATGGGCCTTCTCCCACGAAGGCGGGGTCAAAGGCGGGAGGGGGATATCTGTCCAATTCCTTGACCGCTGCCTTGAGGCCATTAAAGTCCCTTTTCAGCTCGCTGGGATTGACCACCACTTTCGATTGCTGCGCCTTTGCCATGTAACCATCAATCTCTTCCCACGGGACCACAATCCGACTCTCATCCATGACGTTGATCGGCAGGTCCATATCCGGCAGCAGTGGCGCAACACTCTGCACCATGTCCTTCCACAGCTCAATCCATTCTCGGCGCTCCACGTCCGTCCGCCCGGTGGCATTACCATTCCGGATGGATATTCGGTGGATGAAATCGCTCGCCTGTTCCCGGATTTGCTTCGCGGGAACGCCCCAAAAGGGCTGCAGGTCGTCGTAGATGCGGTCAAAGAAGTCCTCGATGATCAGCGCCGAGTTGTTGGTTGCGAACTCGAACCACACGTCGAACAGCGGCGGTGGCTGTCGTCCTCTGCGCGCTCGATATGCCTCGGCTGCTTGAGCCACCGTCGTCGTCTCTTTGGCGAGCATGGCCTGGAAGTCGACATTTCCGCGCGTGACGAGGTGGTCGATGGGGTGGTTTGGAGGCGGCGGAGTCAGCGGTCGGGTGATGGTGAGGACGGGCGGCACCGGGGTGCTGGCGGGGTGTGAGAGGGGGACATGGAGGTGTTTTCGCAGCGAGTAGCTGGACTCGGGGATAATGAAGAGGGCGCTGAGGACGATGAGTAGGACGGCAGCAATGGCCAGCTGCACGAAGCGGCTGTGGATGGAAGCGGCCGATATCAGCATTTCTTCTGTCCTGTCCTGTCCTGTTCCTGTCCTGTCTACCCGTACGACTTGGTGCAGGTGGAAGTGAGTCGCAGTCTTTTCCGGTGCTTTTCGCGCATTATCGGGCGTGAGATGCGACGTGCAAAGTCTGGACGAGTCGATTCATCTTATTTTGGTGGAGGAAAGGATCGTGAGATGGGATGCGAAGCGGACCGACCGTTGATCCTTTCACTTGGAAGTACGGGGGCTCCACTTTTTTTTCTCTGTTTATTGCCAAGCCGGATCACATGCAAATGACTACGTGTATACTTAGTATACTCAGGTATACCAAGCCTTCTCGCTTCCCCCCCTCTTCCATCTGTCCTTTGAGGCACATCTATTATTCTCGACGACAAAGATATCCCTTTGACATGTATTCGACAACAAGACTCTCATCTGCCACTGCATTCACGGCGGCTTTGTCGAGCACGTCCTCTCATTGTTCCAGACATCTGACAATGAACAACCTGATTGCTATACAAGCCTCTCACCCCGTCTCTCTCCCTCTCCCATCCTTCACACCACAGCTCATCACACTTTACTCCGGCAGTAAACCACCAATCATTCCATCAACAAGAATACCCATCACACTCATCCGAAAGAAGTAGGTAAAATTCTCCAAAAGAAAAATGTCCGAAATCATCTACAAAACCCTCCGCACAGTCGATGCAACCACATCCAAGCCCCAACCCAGCGCAACTCGTGAGTCCATGGAAGAAGAGGAGGAGGAGCCCACAGCCTCCACTACTAGTAGCACCAACAACAAGAAAACTGCCACCCCTATCCTCACCAGCACAATCTTGCTTAAGAGCTCTTCCACTCCCACCATCGATTCCCTCGTGCCCACTACAATGGCAACTCTCGCCAGCAGCAGTTCCAGCTCAACCTGGAACTACCCTTACCCCAGCAGCACAGCAGCAGCCAAAGCTAACAATATCAACTCCACCACCTCGTCTAACTCCGACCCCGAGAAAGTCAAAGCTAAATTGCACACGTACAAAATTCATTATCGTAACATGATCATCGCGTTGACGTGCTTTGCACTTCTCCTCGTCGGGTTTGCGGCGTTCAAGGCGTGGAGATGGAAGAAGAATCGGTCGAGTGCGATTTTGGGGGGCGCCGCCCGTGGGGCGAGAAAGTGGTATAAGAGCTCTTCTTCACACAAGAATAGGAGCGAGGATATTGAGATTAGTAGACCTCAGAGACCTGCTACGGGCTGGAGCCCGTTGCGCGGTCCGGGTGGGGTGCATATGATTTAATTGTGTGGGGTTTTTTTTGGATTGAATATGAATATGAATTTAGCGGATTAGCGTTTGATATGTTTTGTGGCATGGCATGTAGTTCTGTTGATCAGCAATGTCGATAATGCTCGGAAAGAAGAATTAAAAATAAAAAAAATAAAAAAGACACCCTCCTCCAATTCACAATTCACAACTTTGCCTTCTCCTTTTCCTTTTCCCTCTCGCTCTCCCTCTCCCAATTCTCCACACTCCTCAAACTCACCCTATCCTCCTCCCTCACCTCCCTCTCCATCCTCCCCAACCTCGTACTCTCATCCACCCAATCATCCAACAACGCAATCGTTCCCCTCCACATCTCCCTCTTCAACTTCCCATACACCGACGACTTCCCCTTCTCCCTCCCAGCAACCTTGCCCACCAATCCCCACTCCTCCACCAACCGCAAAGTCTCCTCTAGTCCCCCCAACCCATCCACCAACCCGTCCTGCAGTGCCTCTTGTCCCGAAAACCTCTTCGCCTCCAAAACCACCTTTCTCAACACCCCCGCATCCCTCACCTTTTCCCGAAAAACCCCCAACATCGCCCCTCGCAACGGCAATCCGAGTTCTAATTCATTCAAACACACCCATCCCCTCTCTACATTCATGACACGATAATCATGCATCATCGCCAACATGAAGCCTCCTGCAAACGCATGTCCGTTGACGAGTGCGATGGTGGGCATGGGGAAAGTGAGAAGTCGGCGAAAGAGGCCGTAGAGGTATGTGGGGAGGTAGTCGGCGTGGAAGTTGGAGTGTGAAATGTCCATGCCGTTGGAGTAGAATTTGGGGAGTGAGGAGGTGGTTATGACGACTCCTTGAGGGTGGCGGTGTTGGAGGATGGAGAGGGAGAGGAGGAGGGATTTGCAGAAGGACTGAGATGGAAATTGAGGAAGGGGAGTTATTTTTTTGATTCTTCTCTTTTTCTTTTCTTTGTTTAATCATCAACGAGTAAAGAACATACTTACTGTTACCAATCGGTTATCCGGCGCATTCCTGAAGGTCAACAAATACACTCGGGGTGCAGGTTCCGTGCAGACGATCTTGTTATCATTTGCTCCTGCTCTATCTCCTTCTTCTACACCATCGCTTTCGTCACGAAGCGGTATTTCAAAGAGTACTTTGCCGGCTTTGCTGGTGGTAGAAGACATAGTAGGAGGGGAGTAGGGAGGCGGTTCCTTGAAAGTTATTCAATCAATAAATCAATAAATCAATAGGTATATATTCTTCTTTTTCGTTGATTTTGAATCTTAGGTCTCCTTGTCTTCTTTTCTTTTCGGGAGTGCTGTTGAATCTGATGCTACAAGATGTTGTTGTTTAAAGTGTACATGTATCAAAGATGTATGAGGTGAGGGTCAAGCGGGGGCACAGAAGCTTAGTAATCATCGGCGCGGATTAACCTCTACTCCGGCTGACCTCAAATGCTTCCAGGCACTAGGCTACCTACCTGCCTATCTGTCCCTATAGACTAACTTGCCTAAAATTCAGAAGAGAAGAACAAAGAGAAAAGACTAAGAGAAGGAGAATAGGGAGGAGGAGAAGAAAAAAGTGAAAAGATCAAAAGAAGGAGAAGGAGAAGGAAAAAGAAAAGGAAAAGGAGAAGAAGAACCGAGAAGGAGATACATAGAGAGAGCGAGAGAGCGAGAGAGAGAGTAAGAGAGAGCAAAAGAGAGCAAGCGAAAAGCGAAAGAAAGAATATATACACAAAGAGAGAAAGTACAAACATGTAGTATATCCCTAGGTATATATATAGAGAGAGTGAGAATACACACACACACACACACACACACACACACACAGACCTTACACATACACGCAAATACACACACACCAACACACATATACACCTACACCAAATCGAACCTATCGAAAGCAGGGCAGACAACGCCAACAAAGTCAAAGACGATAGAGCGCCTCGATATATACCTCTCTACAACAAGTTAACAGCAGCGTTCCCAAATCTCCTCCAAGAAGATAGAAGCTCTCCCAACGGCAAAACAAAAAAGAACTACTACCTAATGTTATACCCCTATTACGCAAAGTATCAAACATTGGGACTCTGGCTCTACTTTACTCTGCTTTACTCTACTCTACTTGAAACAAGCAAATATAGCGGGAAGGTCTCGTTGTCGAATTGGAAATGGAGGCTCGCAAGGAGGCTTTCCGTAAACCTTTATAATAATGAAGCAGAGAGAGGAGGAGGATGAGGAGCCGATCAAGGGTTTTTGGGATGTTGTTCTAGTAGGTTTTCGAGAATAGCGTGTGGGAAATATGTAGATAGACAGAATATATTGAATATATCTGTTGGATTGACTAGACATGAAACAGTCGTTATGGGTAGAGTTGCACAGGAAAAAGAAGAAATGCTTCATCTAGCTTTTCACACACTCTCTCTCTTTCTATACATTTCTCTCTCTATATATCTCTCTCTCATACAAACACACACACTCTCCTTTTTTTAGAAGATGTATCCCACAGAGTGATTGTATATCCAGTTGCCATTTCTGCCCGCAGCACGATCCGCCTCCTCCTTTGCGAGCCATTCTGCCTCATCGGCATCAATAGCATCTTTGCCGGTCCAGAGATCTGCCTCTTCGGGCTTGACTTGATGGGTTCCTTTGATGTATTTCCAGCCTACAATCATGATGAGGTAGAGAGGGATACCGAGGTAACCAGTCTGAAAAATAGTTAGCATGTGGTGAGTGTGTACAGAGTAGTGTAGATCGAGATGACTCACGATAAAGTTCTTGTAGTCAAAGTCTCCATATGTCTCCGGGCTGGGGATGAAGACGGTGAAGTTCTTGGTCAGTGCAATCAGGGAGCAGAATGCAAGAGCGCCATAGCTGCCCCACAGGCCGAATGGGGATCGGTACTTGAGCAGAGGGCTATCATCGGGTACACCTTGCGCTCGTCGGGCCTTGACGAAGTAAATGTGGGAGACGAGAATGGAACACCAGGTCAGGAGTCCGAAGATGGACACGAGATTGACAAAGTAGCCAAAGACTGTCTTGGAAGATGTCGAGACGTTCATGTATGCGATGCAGCCGATTGCAGCAGACAGACCCAGAGCATAAAAGGGAACTCCCTTTTTGTTGGTTCGGGCAAAGATTTCGGGCGCATGCTTCTTGATGGCCAATCCGTGGAGTGTTCTCGAGGCAATGTACAGATCGGAGTTGGAGGCGCTGAAGACGAAGATCAAGATGCAAGCATTGAGAATGGCTGGCAGGGCGGGAACACCAGCCAATTTGATCGCGGCAACGAAAGGCGAGGCAGCGGCGGAGGTGGAGGACTTGGCGGCCAGGGCCAGTTGCGGGCTGTCGTATGGAACAATCATGCCCAGGAACAGGACCGAGAGGATGTAGAAGACACAGATACGCCAGAAGGTCAGCTTGATGGCACGAGGGATGTTGCGGCGTGGGTTTTGCGCCTCTCCGACTGTGACACCGACCAGTTCCGTTCCGAGGTAGGCAAAGACGGCAGTGACCATACTCTGCCATACGGCAGCGAATCGACCCGTTGCTCCCTCAAACTTGTAGGGTTTGAACGCGCCGGGGTCGCTCCAGTACTGGAAACCTCGGACATCGCCATCGACGCCTCCGCATGCCATGATCAAACTGAAGAGGATGAGTCCGAGAATGACAACGACCTTGACGGAAGAAAGCCAGAACTCCAGCTCGCCGAAATACTTGATGCCGAGAAAGTTAATGGTCACGATGATGACGAGGAAGATGGTGATCCAGACACCCGGATTCACTCGTTCGGCAGAGATCCAGTATTGAATGACCAATGCAGCAGCAGTCAGTTGATTGGGAGTGGTGATGATGTATTTGAACCAATACGTGTATCCAAGCGAGAAACCAAGGGCAGGGTCGACGAATCGGTCGGCATAAACGGCGAAACCACCAGCAGCGGGGAGCCAGGTGGCCATCTCGCCCAAAGCAGCCATGACCACGTAGACGAGGAGACCGATGATGGAGTAGGAGATGAGAATGGGGGCGGGACCGGTGTTGGCCAGCGCTGTTCCCGTTCCAATAATGAGACCCGTACCACTGCAATTGATTGATGGTTAGTCAGCCCGTCCTGATATGATGATTGTTGCTGCCACCACGGCAGGACTTACATGGCACCTCCAATGGCAATCATAGAGACCTGACGGGCCTGCAGACCACGGTGCAAGCTGTGGCTCGCATCTTCCGTGGTGCCCACCTCTGGCACGGCCGGGTGCTCGTAGGCGTAGACTCCCTTTTCATCGTCGCGGGCGGGCGAATGCTCGTTGGAGGAGCTTCGCTTCTCGCTCCCAAAGATCGCCATGGCGATGGATGGGGGTGGGGAGGGACACTACTACTTCTTGACGGGGAGGCAGAGAGGAGGGAGAGGAGGGAGAGGAGGGAGAGAATGTCGTCGCGGAGAGTGTGGAAGAGGTGGTGTGCGCACACGAGATGTAGTTCGGTCGTCCATCGCGACGTGGGGCAATTGAGCTCTTTGTAGAAGCAGCGCTGCAGGCAGGATGCGACTAGGTTAGGATTTCTTTGGGTGAGATAGACCGATACCGACCCAAGTACAGGCCAGCGCGCGTGGTGAGAGCGCTCGTTTAGCCATGGCCGCGCCCGCAGCATGCACATGGTTACATAGCCAAGCCCGGTCACAAGGCCGTTATCTCAAGGCTGGGAGTCTAAGCCGAATGCAACCCTGCAAGTGGCAATTCGAGTGGTATAGCGGTGGCTCGGCCTGGCTTGGCACAACGGACAGCGAGGCCAGAGGAGTGGAAGGATGGAGATGGTGGCAGACGGGCCCAGTGGTGGTGGTGGTGGTAGCGGCAATCCTTTGCAGTATTCATTGGGGGGAAAAGACATGAGCGTACTTTGGTTGTAGTGGGTGGGCTGTGTACATGGAGGTGATACATGTCGGTACAGGACTACATCCTGACCTTTGACCTCCTACAGGTACATGTCGTCCGTAGTGAAGCCATCCTAGCGCAGGACTTGGCAAACTCTCACACTGCTGACAGGCTGTAATTCAACCTATTGAACAATACATACCACCAGGTACGGAGGTACATACCTAAGGTACGGTAACATACCTACTTCACTTCCCTCACCTGCAGGCCAAGGCCAAAGAGGACGGTGGTAGACAGGAAGAGGCAGTTGGATGCTGGCGATGGCGGCGAAGAGTATTCCAAGCTGTGACCGGCCCTCTTCAGCCCCATGGCCGCACAGCTTGGGTGGTGGTGGTGGCGGAGTCTATTCTTCTCCTCCTCTTCCTCCTCTTTTTTCATTCCTCCTCCACCACTTCAATGGCTGAGCAGTGGCATCCAGCGGCCTCACATCAAAAAGCAGAACTGCCGTAGTGTGCCTCTCTCCTCTTCCTGTAAAACAAAAGTAGTGGCGTGACTCGCCTCCAATACCTCCTAGTTCCAACACACACACACAGCCCGCCCAGATCCGAGAGTAGTGTCAAAATACCCCAGGCTGGGGATTCCGCCACGAGACAGTATTATTGATTCTTCTTCGTCACTTCTTCCATTCTTCCACGCGTATTCGAGAAGCAACACCTTATCTTGCTTCCTACACTAGTCTCACTCGTCATACCCGTGGGGTCGGCTGCCACGAGGTTTACCCAGAAGAACACCCGACATGGCTACACTCCCGGTAGGAGGTATGGCCACACCACGCTTGCGAAACTACATGTACCTGTACCTACCTAGGTATATACTGGACACACTGTTCACTTGCATGTCCGATTTGCATTCGAAAAGACGTCAGTGACGGAAATCCTAGACTAGACCATCATGTATCATACCTGGTAGGTACCTATAGATATGTGGTCAACAGTACCTTACCTTCAAGTGCCCTGACTGCCTGTTCAGGTCAGGAACAATAGTCTGGGCAGATGGGCTTGTCTGCCTCGGCGCCAACCCTTCTCGGCCATCTATCCCGTCCAGTCCACGCGGTGACGAGGGAATGATGATGGTAGAAGAGTGTGTAAGGTAGAGAGAGAGAACTACCGGCGATTCTCAAATCTCCCCGTCTAAAAAGTCCATGTCTCTCAACCAGGAAACAGAGTCCATGTCTCTCAACCAGGAAAACAGATATGCACGCACGGAGAGATGCCCGGGTTTCATTTCCATATCAGACACTATCGCATTCTGAGACGAAGGAACTGGGACAACAACAACAAAAAAGATCTACGATTCTCCGAGGAGGCAACATGATATCCATCCCATCCCAGGATCAGCCAACAACACAAACTCCAGTCTACGGCATCTCCGGAAAGACAAACAGAGACATTTTCAAACTTGGCGATGAATGTCATTGTCTCGTTTGATGATACTGATCATACATACAGACAAGACATCTCACCGATGATCGAATGCTGACGAGTGCACACACACAACAATGATCCGCAACCTCCCAAGAAAAAGAAATGTCAAAGAGTGGTGGTGGCACGATGAAACCCATACCCATCCATCCATATCTACCTTACCTTGAGAAAGCTGAGCTATAATCTTACCTACCTCACCCATAGTCTTATAGTAAACCCATACATACATCAGGTACATACATACATACACACACATACATACCTACACATCGATCTAGAATCTTACCTATCCACTACCTCCTAGTTGCATAGTTTAGTTTAGCTAGAAAACCCAACCCAACCGAACCGAACCATATTCTAGAATATCCCATCATTCCAAGAAAACATCCTCATCATCCTCATCATCCCCATCATTCCAAAAAAACATCCTCATCATCCTCATCATCCCAAGGTAATCATCCTCACCACGGAAGTCTTACCTCTCAGCTAGGTTCCTAGGGCTGACATACCTGTACTTGCTAAAGAATAATCCAAGAATCTCACCTACCTTAGATACATGTAGCTACTGTTTGATCGACCGGAATTTGAGAGACATAATCACTGGAAGTAGAAGTAGAACATGCGGCTCGGAAATAAACGAACGGTAGATTTTATATATACCTATAGATAAAAAGCCACGTGTGAAGCAACCTAGGGCTATCTTAGACTTACACCTTAGCTTAGCGTACCTTACTATAACCGTACAACCTCTAGTGTCATCAAATCTTCAATAAATACATCTTATGCATAAGGTACATACCTAAGTAAAGAGGTAAGAGGTACAGGTAAGAGGCAAAGTAAGGTCAGGTAACGATACATATAGTAGAAGCCGCCCTCCTACCGCCTACCGCCTACCCCTATATTAATCATCTGCCCCGACCTAAGTCCTACATCTTCACTAGCTACATGCAGCTAGCTATCGTAATTATTCTCTCTTCTTCCTCTCCTTCTCTCTTCTTCCTCTCCTTCTTCTCCTCTCTCTTCACTTCCTCGTGGCAGTAGTAGTGGCATTGGGGCAGTGGCAGATTAGATCAGATCAGACCAGACCAGATCAGGCCATATTGTCCGGACTCCGAACTGCCCGACCGATCGACCAAACCCCCGGCGATAGTGGACCTTCTCCATCCCTCCCTCCCTCCCATCCAATAAGCCCATCGGGAAAAAGCAGGTGGTATCTCGCGATGAACATAAAATAGAAACAATCGCGTCCCAAATCTCGTCATCAACAAAACAGACATATATTTCGTGGCCCGAAAAGGCTCTCTCTCTCTCTCTCTCTCTCTCTCTCTCCTCCTTATTCCTTCATATTTTCATTCAACAACAACTCCACCACAATCTGCGTCCTCTCCACCTCAGGATGCTGCATGACCAATTTCAGCGTCCGACCTTCGTCGCCTCCTCCTCTCCCAATACCATTGCTCTTGACGTCTCCCACACCGCCACCACCACCACTCCACGACGATGACCAATTCGTTCCATCATCCAAACACTTCACCTCCCGGCCCGCAATAATCTGCTTCAACCTCCCATTCATCGCATTGCGAATCTCCACAAAATCATCATCAAACAGCACCAGATACGGCCCGTACAACGCTGCCGAATTCGCACTCCCCACAAATCGCATAATGACACTCCTCGAAACATCCCCATGCTTGTTGATGTACACCGCACAGTTCGTGTACACTAACAAGAATTCCTGCTCACTCAACCGCAACATCCGCAATGCACGTTGATCTTTCACGTGCGTTGCAATGTTTTGCACATGTTCGGCATTGAGATCGGGCACGCTCCACGGCTGTTTCTTATCGAGTGTCAATACTTCGAAGCCGCGCGCGGTGCTGACCGAGAGGCTGGACTGGAAGAGTGACATGCCAATGCATTCGGCGGGAATGTAGAATTCGTCGTATTCTCGAAAGAACTCCGTGTTGCCGCGTTTGAAGAGACCGGCACCAGCGAGCCGGTGCCCGCCTTTCTTCTCGCTGGATTTTTGGTAGACGGGTTCGAGCACTTTGAAGACCGAGTTGAGGTTTTCGCGTTTTTTGTAAAAGACTAACGTCCGGTCTTTCATCTTGCCGGTGCAAAAGAAGCCGACGTCTTTGGATCCGGAGAGCTTTTGTGGTGCTTTGCGTGCAGAGTCGTGGGTTGGTGTGGGTCCATTGTGTGCAGTTGGACATATCACGTCGAGGTGGTATGCTAGGAGTGACTTGTCAGCGATGAGGAGGAACAAATTGAACTCTTCGAGCACTGCAATTTGAGAGACGCGTTGCATGTTGATGGCCTGTACACGTCACATGTTAGCCGGTGTGAACCTCGACTCCCCTCCATAATCAGTCTACTCACCTTGGTCCACCCGCGAGGGTTGTCAAGCTCGCTGACAAAGACACCATAATCTGTTCCAACCGCTATCATTTGCGTGCTCGGATGCGGCGTGGTAAAACTGGTTGCGCAATTGACTCGTGCTCTGCAAATCGGTCCAGGTCGACCTGTATCCTTGAATCGAAGCTCGACCTCCTTGATGGCACGATCGAGTGGAGTATTCTTAATCGTCACTCCCCTGCCGCTGCCACCGAATGCATCATACACGAATGCAGAGTCTGCCATGACCCGTAAGCGGAACGGCTCTGCATTTTGCGCATGCAATGCTGCCGCATGCTTGGTCTTGGCCTCGATGATCTTGGTACACCAGTCCCGCCTGGACTGTTCTGTCGCTGCAAATAGTGTATATACGTCCTTGCCCAGATGCTTGACGCGGAAGGGATAGAGGATCTTGTCGTCTTTGCCATCCCCCAGGGAAGTCACAGCATGCAACGAATTGACCGAGGCTCCCGTATTGACGTGCTGCAAACCTGGCATGGGTGTGTTGGTAGCGACGCGAGCGAGCGTCATCGGATCGCTGGGGCCTCTACCCGTCGCCTCTCTGACCGAAGTGATGCCTTTGACATAGCTCGACTTCTGCACAGGCGCATCATTGGCGCTATCGATGACGAGTAAATCCATCGGTATCGGCAGCCTGGAGACATCATACTTTTCAATCTTGCCTCCTTCGCCGACTCGCTGCACGACTGTCTTGGTCAGAACGAGGTAGTGGTCGAAGAGGAGAACATGACAGTCAAGCCAGTTGAATCTGCTGCTACCCATCCGCTGCAGGTCGCCGCGGTGAATGAGAGAACGCCCAAAGTGATCGAGATTGAGCTCGACCTCTTTTTGCATCCCTGGACGCAGGACAAGCTTCGACTCCAGATCTTGGAGATCAATCTTCCTCTGCATCTCCGCGACGCGAAGATCACATTCCGTCGCTACTGCTTTGACTTCTTGCAGTGCTACTTGCAAGTTTGCTTTTTCCGGGGTCTCCTCGCGCATCGTCTTGAGGACGGTCTGCAAGAGCAGGGCATATCGCTGAAGTCGAGTGATGGGCGACTTCAAGAAGCTGTCCAGAGGCAGTCTGTTAGACCTTGGATCGGCTCTGCACCGCTCTACAAAGTTTCGAAATTCGAGGTTACGCTCCATCTCCGTGCGGACCAGATGATCTGCCCTCGAGAAATCCGTTGCATAATTCACGTATGCCGCTTTTGCCATGCGTGTCCATTGCCGGAAGATATCACTGTAGCCTTTGATCCAGGGGCCCTGCTCATTTTGTCGATATTTCAACTGAGGCAGCAGATGCTCTTCGTTCGACTGTCGGACGGTATCCACTCTGCCGAACACGGCTCTGATGAATCCGTCCTTTCGCTTGGGCGTGATGACCGAAGGTTCGACACGAATGAGCTGGTCTCGATACAGTACGCGAAGGACATCGAGGTTCTGCATAAAAACCTCCTCGGTGTACACAATTTCATGGAGAATGTTTTGCCTCTCAATCTCGTTCTTATCACGACTCTCGAGATCCTCTTTCCTGAGCTTGTAGTACTCTGCCCAGCTTGCCAGCGTTGCTGAAGGCGCCGCCTGTAGGTTAATTTTTTTCAATGTCCTCTGGCAGAGATGAGAGTAACATCGCGTGTTGGGTATGACATGGTCATGCACTCGAGGCGAATAGCAGCCGGATCGCGTGAGTTGAAATACGACACCAGAGAATGGTCCCGGTATCAGCTTGACCCACTCTTCGGTCGACACGAGAACGCTCGCTTTGTACATGTCCTCCACGATTCGATCGCTCAACGCCTCCGCATCTGCAATGTTCATGGTAGGCACCTTGCTGGTGAACAGAGCGACCAGAGCTTCTTTGATATCTGCTTCTTTGAGCTCCGTATTCTGTTCCGGACTGGTGACTTGCAGCAGCCATTTCAACAGCGAAGTCAGTGCCCACGGCTCCTCACATTTCCTGAAGTCCGGGGCACCGAGCTTGGCCGCGGTGAAACGCTTGCCAATAGCTGGAAGATCGACAAGCATGCTACCACTGGCAGGTGTCGTCTGCTCCGAGCTGTAGCCCGATGCTCGAGCTTGCTGCTGACGAAGTCGTCTTTCTTCTGCATCCGTCTTCGACCGCAGAGGTTGGGTCACTAGAGGCGTAGTACTGTGGCTGAGGAGAGACGTGGAGCGCGGCACATAGAGGCTCTGTGCGGCAGCGCCGGGATATGCATCTGGAGTATATGGCGGCTGCCCTGGCCCGGGCAATGGTGGCAACGCTTTGCGCTCGGTCAGTGGCGAAATATCGTCCTCGGTATATGGCACTGCGGGTAGAGGTCTCGATGGGTATGCTGTGCTGGCTTCTTGAAACCCAATATCTGGTGGCTCATCGGGGAACCGGTCGGGGACCTGTCCTTCCATGAACGAATATTCGTCGCCTTCGTCGTAGCTCTGGCGTCGCCCATCTGCAGTCGGTTCAGATAGTCCACCAGTGCCGCCTACCTCCACGCGAGCTTGCGGATTGTAATGCCGGAGAGAGTCTGTGCGGTAGCTGTAGTCTCCGCGGCTGGAAGCTTGTGAAGCGTGAGATCGTCGCATGGAGCTTTGCTGGCTTGAAACGCCCTGACTGTGATGGCTCGTAGTATCGTTAAGCTCACCACCAGCAGCCAATTGGTTGGGATCGCCACCATAGGACAAGTGCACATCGTAGCCGCCGCCGAACGTGGTCATGTCGACACCTGCGAGATCATCACTACTGTCGCTAGCATCGGGTTGCTGGTGACGAGAATCGCGCTGGGAGCTCAAGCCATTGAAGCGCGCCTGGCTGCCACTGCTCTGCCTCCTCGATTCCTCCTCTTCTGCCATTCTCATCATCGCCAAGCCCTGAGCGGCCTCGACATCGCTGTCGCTCCCATAGGAATCAGCGACATATTGTGTCACGGACGGAGATAGGCGCCCATTCTGGTTGCCTCCGTTTCGTGACGCTCTACTGTCCTGCCGCGTGTTCAACGATAAGGCGCTGGTTGACGGAGGCTGGAAAGGAGCTTGGCTGATCGCGATCGACGGGCTTCGATTGCCGAGTGATGCGTTCCCGGTCGTCATATTCATGACTTCGTCAAACAACTCGTCTTGCGTCTGGTCGATGCCTTCGTCATGGCTGCTGAATCCAGTCTGCGTCCGAGATATTGGGTCCGGCTGAAAGTAGTGGTGCTCCGCATTCGCACTCGGACGAGAGGGCAAAGGCCGTTCGTGTGGATGCCTATTCAACGTATCTGCCCTGGTGGGCGCATGGGCAGGCGGAGTCGGCCCAGACGTGACGCCTGGGGGAGAGGGCCTTCCCTCGCTTGGACGCTGAGGAGAAACAGAGTAGCGAGAATCGGAGCCACCCAGAATGGGTGGTGACGGCAACCAGGTCTCATCAGGTCTCGCGCTGGGCATCGCGGTAGGCATCGTTATCGGAGGCATTTGCGAGTCTAGAGGGCCAGAATGGGGAGGGAAATCAGCAGTCGGGTAGGGGGCAGGGGGCGGTGCTCCTGCCGAAGCCTGCGAATAGCCATATCCCGAGTAAGAGGAGTGCGAAGGTGGAGGAGGGGGAGGTGGGCTTTGCGAGTAGCCATATTGGTGCGAAGGGGGTTGAGGACTGTATGGCTGGTGGGTCTGGGGACTCCAAGGCACGTGCGGAGACTGCCCGAATTGACTCTGAGACGGGTGTGGGGAAAAGGTGCTGGAGTTGGAATACTGAGCAGGCGAATATGCATATGGATCTACTGGTCCACTCGTGCTGCTGAGAGTCGACTCTTGATATACGGCAGGGCTGTACTGCTGAGTGTATGGGCTCTGCGGTCCCAGGCTGCTGGCATAGGCAGCGGGATTATATGTCGACTGGGATTGCTGTTGTGAGGGCCGACGTTGCGCAGGCTGGACATAGTCTTGCGGATTATACTGCTGACTATAGGCAGGCTGCTGCACGTAGCTGAAGGAAGTGCTCCTGGGCGACTGATAGGGCTCCTGCTGGTAGGCATATCCTGCAGCAGTTTGTGGTTGCTGCACCGGTCCCCCTCCTTCTCCGCCGCCGCCGCCGCCGCCGCCTCCTCCCCCTACTCCTCCTCCTCCGGTTGGGGGATATTGACTGTAGCCCGTCTGGGTCTGACGCGGATACTGATAGTGGGGCGGGTCTCGCGGGGGCAGTATCGGCGGGGCTCGTCGGCCATCGTACGCTCCATTCAGCGCGGGCTGCTCGTATTCGTCGTACGGGTAGTGATATCCTTGCTGCTGCGCAGGTGGTTGCGATTGTGGAGGCGGCGGCGGAGGTTGCTGCTGCTGCTGCTGCTGGTACTGTCCTGCCTGATAGTACGCCATGGTATTGTATTAAGTGGGATCGTCCCGTATGATTGCCGTCCTGCCAGCACGTCCGCTCTGTTGCTCGTCCCACATGAGTCTCCCTTCTCAATGCTGCTCTCCTTCGCCAATCTGTACATCAATCGTACACCCGTGTGTTCCAAGAGTGCGCCTGGCGCTGTTCGTTTGTCGCAGACCTAATCGCTCCAGTGGGCGAGATTTGTGGGATTCGGGCGCATCATTCGGCAGTTACAATGGTGTTGGTATGCCTCGTCGCTACTTGTCGCATAGGGTGGGGAGGAGAGGAGGTGGGAAGTGTTGCGCATGGACTCGAGCGGCGCACGCAGCGAAGAGCGTAGGTGCACTGGCGCGGGAGCACGAGGAGGGGAGGGCGGATTTGCACAGGCGATGAGGCTCAGGCAGGATGTTGGGTCTGGTGGTCGGTAGAGGAGGTGTGTATGCGCATTGTTTGATGATCTGGTGGTGAGTGCAGACGTAGTCTACATGGATGGATGCAGTTCTAGCAGAGGGCGCGCGCCGGGATGCCAGATGCTACAGTACTAGGTGCAGGCGCAGGCGCAGGGCAGGGCAGGGCAGGGCAGGGCAGGTGCAAATCAATAATTAGGTAGAACTAGAACTAATACGGTCTACCCGTCCAGTAAGGTACCTGATCATTCGGGAGACATCCACCTCTATCCTCTGCTCTCGTTCCATCACTTGACTACGAATATCAGGTAGGTGATGACAATGTAGGTCGGGTACAGATACAGATACAGGACACATCCCAAGTCGCATCGATGATGACGGGAACAATCATACCTAGTAGGAGGTATGACGTCTCACAACGGCTGCGGGCGTGTTTCGACCATCGACATCATCAGCATCATCAGCACCATCAGCATCATCAGCATCATCATCATCATCAGCATCCTCCTCCTCCTCCTCCTCCGTGCATACCTTACCTGAAATACATGTATTATGAGATCGGGATGTCCGAAGCGCGCACAGCGTCGCTCATCTTGCTGCTGTACTATTCTCGCCGTCGAGGCTGACTGCCAAGAAATATCTCCATCTTACGCGACCCTACTGGTAACGAGGTATATGTAGCTGGTAGGAGGAACCTCCTAGAGGACCTAGACTGCTCCCGCTACTCGAGATTCTGAAATACGAACTTACTAACCTCTAACCCCATTAAGCTGCTGCTTTGACTTCCTCTATAAGCAGACCCTGGGGCTGATGAGTCCTATGCCGCAACACGCGTTGCTGGTGCGGTGACTGTCTCATACCGCGCGATTCCATCAGGCTTCACCTACCAACCCCGCCATGAAGGCCAAGGGAAGGATGTACCTCAACTATCTGGTTCGTGGATGGATCGATACCTGGACGCCCTCTGCTATACAAGTCAAGATCCGAGGCCAACGCGTTGAACTTGGAAGCTGAATAGACAGCAATTGCTTTCACAAGAAGGTGTTCACGGCCTTTCCCCCGCGAACTTCGGAAAGCGTGCCAAAGCCTATCATACTGGCGATACAGCGCTTTTGGATGAACAAGGCGAACTGCATTTCATGGGCCGTCGAGACAAGCAAGTCAATGTGCGAAGCCAGCGGGTCGAGTTAGCCGATATCGAACACAACTTAGTTGATTCTGTGCCCGGTATCACATCGGCCGCCGTCATTATTGGTATGAGTAGCCCGCCCAAGACGGTTGCCTTCGTAAAGTCACGCCTTCGGAAGTCTACTAGGGAGGACATCGCTGCCCATTCACATCGTACCAGCCCTCGCTAGCTGCAGACGCTCGACTCAGAGATTGACTGCCCACATACATGATGCCTAAAACATGGAGCGCAGTCGACAAGCTTCTACTGACGACCTCGGGCAAGATGGACGAAGAAAAGCTCCAGTTGTGGACCAACGCGTTTCACGGACAAGACAAAATAATGTCCCAATAGCCACGTGGAACAACATTTGCAAGGCTGTGCAGATCTCACGTACAGATGTCTGCCTGAGCAATGGATGCAGCGACGGAGACGTCCTGACTGCAGCCTGGGCAGTTGCTATCGCTTTCGTTGGGCGGTCTGATAATGTGCTCTTCGGTCGCGTTGTCAATGGACAACGAGCTCTCACGAACAACATTGCACACGGGGATCATATCGTCGGTCCTGTGATGAACATTCTCCCTGTTCGAGTCGAGCTTCCACTACATCACAACATGGCGGACCGTGCCACAGGATTCGGAACAGGCAGACAGCCCGCCTACGAGACGTTTTTTCTGCAGTCGCGACTCAAGATACACGATCTGCCGCTTACGAGCAGCCGGATTTGGACGAGATTACGACCCAATTCGTGGCCACGGGCTTGTGGCTCGAAGTCCCCAACGTAACCGACAAGAGGAGACGCTTCACATGGGATTCGGTCGTCGCATGGCAGGACTACCGTCGCTTGCAAGCGGTCGATGATGTGCTACCTGTCTCCGACGTCCAAACCCTTTTCGACGTGAGCAATATCGCTCGAGGTTACTTGAACCCTTTCGCTTCATCATCATAGATCTATTTCGCCAACAGAATCTGCTCGATCACGAGCGACGTTCCCGCTCCCGATCTCGGGAACGCGAGCATCATAGGACAGAGAGTAGATGATGCTTGTTGTGACACTGTATCTCTGCCATTAGAGTATCTCCCCGAGAGCATTTCCTCGAGCACTGCTTAGCTCTTGGCGCAAGCTGTGGTGGCCACGATCAACATCATGTCGACCGAGCCGGACATTTTTGTTCACGAGCTCGTCTCTAGACTAGAGGAGCAACAGATATTGACATGAAAGTCCTTCGATGCAGGCACGTACCAACCGCAAACGATCGATTCCTAGATTCCACGGCATTGCGCCTTCGGGACTCTATATGTCGGCCGTGTAGCATCCTATTGTAGCGCTTGGTAGGACAGGTCGTATTCAGTATTATAGTACTTTGCTTAGCCCTAGGCTATACTACTCTAGCGCCTTGTCAATTTCTTGTAGTTTTGCTTTAATATTTCGACTACTATAATTACTACCTACTCGTATCTTCTCTTCCAGAAACGGGAACTTATACTTACCTGATATTAGTATAATAAGCTTTGTTACATACTAGGAAAGAAAGATTGCCTGCTGACTCGGCTTTAAGAGGGTAGCTCAAGAGCAGGAGGGGTTGCCCGAGGATGTCGTCCAGCTCGGCTTGCATACCTTACCTGACCAGTAGACTCTACCGGGAGGGGAGAATATAGATGTAGTGTTGTGTTATCAATGAATAATCACTCACAGACTTCACTCATCGCTGTAGGTGAATTATCTCATTATTCCAAGCTCTTGATCTGCTACAATTAATTGACCCAGCACTCGCCATGGGCCACGTGGGAGACGTCCGCGAGCTGCCATTGCATCTCGAAAGAAACAATCCGACCGCCGAACGGGATGGCCATCTCATACCCGAGGTCGACGACACAGGCTACCGGATTCGAGAGCAACCATATGGCACTAAACGCGAGGTCAAAGTCATCTTGATGGGCGCAGGCGCGTCGACGTTGAACTTTTTGAAAAAAGCAGAGGAGCAAATGTCCCATCTCACCATCACTGTATACGAAAAGAACCACGATGTGGGCGGTACGTGGTTGGAGAATCGCTATCCGGGCTGTGCTTGCGATATACCCAGTGTGAACTACCAGTTCTCCTGGGCTATCAAAATCTGGTCACAGTTCTACTCTTCCTCTACCGAGATCTGGGAGTATCTCAAAGACTTGTATACACGGGGAAACTTCATCGACAAGTATGTCAAGCTGAATCACCAGATCAACCATGCTGAGTGGAATGAGGAAAGGGGTAAATGGGTGATTAAAGCGAAGAATCTGAAGACGGGAGAGGAGATTGACGATGAGGCCGAATTCTTCATTAATGCCGGCGGAGTACTCAACAACTTCAAGTGGCCTGACATACCTGGTCTGAAGGACTTCAAGGGAAAACTGATGCATTCGGCAGCATATGACGAGGGATATGACCTCAAAGGCAAAAAGGTCGCTGTGGTGGGCGCCGGTAGTAGTGGAGTTCAGATTGTGGCGAAGATTCAGCCCGATGTCGAGCACTTGTACCACTGGATCCGCTCTCCAATATGGATCACGGCCGGCTTTGCGCAGACATGGGCAGGCAAAGATGGCGCCAATTTCGAATACACTCCCGAACAGCTCCAGTATCTGCAAAAGAATCCCCACAAGTACCTCGAATATCGAAAACAAATCGAAAATGAACTCAACCAACGCTTCAAATTCATCATCAAAGGCTCCCAAGAAGCCGCCGAAGCACGCGAATTCTCCTACGAACAAATGGCCCGTAAACTCAACCACGACGCTCGCCTCTGCGATAAAATTATCCCCAAAAACTTCAACCCGGGCTGTCGTCGTCCCACTCCTGCGCCCGGCTATCTCGAAGCCCTCATATCCCCCAACGCCACCATTTTCACCGATCCCATCAACACTTTTACCGAAACTGGCTTCATCGACCACAACGGCACACCTCACACCTGCGACGTCGTCATCTGCGCCACCGGCTTCGACACCACCTGGCTTCCCCGTTTCCCCTTTCGCGGAAAACATGGCCAAGACCTCCGCGACATCTGGACGCCCGAAGCTGGTGTAACCTCCTACCTCTCCATCGCCATTCCCCATTTCCCCAACCACTTCACCTTCTGCGGACCCTACGGCCCTCTCGGCCATGGCAGTTTTATGCCTCTGATTGAACGCTGGACGGCATACATGTTTGATATGATTCGCAAAGCGCAAATTGAAAATCTCAAATCTTTCACGCCGAAAGAGGATGTCGCGAGACAGTTTCGTCGGCATGCGGATTTGTTCTTGCAGCGTACCGCGTGGACGAGTGGGTGTCGGAGTTGGTTTAAACAGGGCAAGGAGATGGGTCAGGCGGCGATTTGGCCCGGGAGTCGGTTGCATTTTTTGCATCTGTTGGAACGGCCTAGGTATGAGGATTGGGAGATTGGGAGGTGGGATGAGAATGTTTTTGCTTTTTTGGGAAATGGTGAGTTTTTCTTTCTTTTTCTTCTTTCTTTCCCTTTTTTCTTGTTTCTACGCTGAGCTTGTTCCGTACGTCGTGTCGTATTTCATGTACTGACTGTCTTCTGATAGGGTTTGACACGAGAGAATTTGATGGGAGGGATATTACGAATTATCTTGGTTTGCTCGAGGAAGGCAAAGATGAGCAGCCTCAGTATGGCGAGGAGTTGTTGAACAAGCTTGCGGGATGGGCTATAGGGAAGTAATGTATATCGAATAGGTAAACAAATGAAATATATCAGGTAGGTAAGGTAGTCATGATTCTCCTTCTGAAGACCAGTGAGAGAGTGAACAAGTGGGCGGTTAAATAGTTCTACCGCCTTGGCGATTCTCTCGACCGCAATCTTCTCCATCCCATCCTCACCCCGACATCATTTTCATCCACCATCTTCATATCAAACAAAATGGCGGGCAGCGGCGACCTAGACTGGATCCTCAAATCTGCCCTCGCAACACAAGTCACTGCGCACGAATCATGGCTCCGAACGAAGCCAGAACTGCGACCGAAAGATGGAGGACTCACCATGACCATTCTCGGCTGTGGCACAATGGGCACTGCAATTCTCAGTGGAATTCTCGCCTCCCTCGTGCAGTCTGCAGAAGCGATGGATAATGACAAGTCTTTACCTGCCGAGCGCATCCCTTCTCGCCTGCCTTCGAGATTCTATGCTTGCGTGCGCAGCGCACGAGGCGCAAAGAGAGTGCACGACGAATTGGACAAATACAATGCAAATCTGCACGTCTTTGAAAACGACAATGTATCTGCTGTCAAAGACTCGGATGTAGTCCTCGTCGCCTGCGAACCGCATGTCGTAGACGATGTGCTCGGTGTCGCGGCGACGGGCATGCAAGAAGCATTAGAAGGTAAGCTTCTCATCAGCGTCCTCGGAGGTGTATCGGAGCATCGTCTACACCAAATCATACAAGGTGATAGCAGCAGCAGCAGGACTAGTAAAGATAGTAAAGGGACATCCTCCTCCTCCTCCTCCTGCACCATCGTACGCGCGATGCCCAATACTGCAGCAGCTATACGCGAGTCCATGACAGTAATTGTGACTTCCAACCCACCCCTCCCCGAAGAAACCGCAGATTTGGTATCCTGGATCTTCACCCGCATCGGCCAGATTATATATCTTCCCGAATCCCACATCGATGCCAGCACAGCTCTCTGCGGCTCCGGACCTGCCTTTTGCGCTCTCGTAGCGGAATCGATGGCAGCAGGAGCGATTCGGATGGGAATTCCTCGCCTCGAGGCGTATACCATGGTTGCGCAAGTCATGCGCGGCACGACGGGGCTGCTGCAGCATGGTGAGCATCCTGCGCTGCTGAGAGATAAGGTTTGTACACCGGGAGGAGGCACGGTGGCGGGTCTGCAAGTGTTGGAAGAGGGCGCTGTGCGAGGGACGATCTCTCGAGCTGTGGAAGAGTCTGCGAAGGTGGTGGGTCGAGGGGGACGGAAAGAGTGAATTTTGTTTTCTCGTATTGCCCCCCGGAGGATTGGAAGCGGGAATGATTGGATGAGTGGTGTTTGCGGATATGAGTTGAAGTTGCTGTGAGAACTACTATATTGAGTGGAGTCTACTGCTCTACTTTGAAGTACGCCGGAAGTATTGATGATCATCCCATTCATCCAATACAGTCCTGTCTCAGTCTATTGCTCAACTGAGGGGCACAATCTAATTGACCCGTCAGGGAGGAAATCTCTACAGCACGAAATAAACGACCTCTCTTTCTAGACCTCCATGCCAGACGACCTCATCTGAGAGGTCGAGAGGTACCTACATGTAGGTTAGGTCAACTTTGAAAGTATTAGTAGTGAAATCAGGCAAGTCGGGGATAAAGCAGTAGAGAATAATGATTCTGGAATCGGGAGTTCCACTTGGCCAACAACAACAACAACAACAACAACAGAAGCAAAAACTACAACATCCGAATGTTGGATCTTATCATATTTATAACCAACCAACCAAACCAAACCAACTCTACTTGATATCTTGACTCTGCACAATCGTCGCAAAAAAATCTCCCAATTCATGCATCACCATCTTCGTCACTTCCTCGCCCGTTGCTCCCGGAATATCTCGATCTCCCACCCCGTCTTCCACCACGAGAACATCATATCCCAAACGAGCGGCGTCGCGAGCAGTCGTCGAGACGCAGACGTGTGCCTATATTAGAGATGTGTAAATTAGTTTTCGGAAAAAAAAGTAAAAGAAAAGTAAAAAAAAAGGGGGAAACATATACCATATATCCCACCAAAACCACTTTCTTCCCCTCCACACCATCCTTCTTCAACAACCCATCCAACTCCGTCTCTGCAAAAGCACTCGGATGCAACTTCTTCACAACCTTCTCTCCCTCCTGTGGCCTCAACTCCTCAAATTCCTCTGCCAAATCCGTTCCAGGCGTGAAAATTGGTGCTCCGTCGGGGACTTGATGGAGAACATGCACTATCCTCGTTGCAGATGACGATGATGCAGAACGATATAATTCGAGAAGTTGGGAAATGACTTTTCGTGTCGAAGAGGCGTTTGTCACGCGGAGAGCTCCTTGAGCGTATTCGTTTTGGGCGTCGATGATGATGAGGGTGGAGTTGGAGGGGCTTGCTGTTGATGGGGGGAGGTTGAGCATTTGGCGGGCGGAGAGGGCCATGATTTTGTTTTTTTTTTCGTTCTGTTTGCGTTGGTTTTGGGAAAGGGGGAGGAGGAGGAGAAGGAGGAGGAGGGTGTGGTTATAAATATTCAGAAGGAGGTAGGATGTAATGAATGCTCTTTTTGTGGCTTTGCTTTTCGTAAGATTGATAACGATATAAGGAGCCCTCTTTTCTTTCTCTTTCTCTATATCTCTCTTCTCATCTGCTTATGTACCTAATGAGCAAGTGTGATTACAAAGCCACTTGTAGTACCTGTCATGTAACTACAGTAGTAGCGTGCCTTTGATGATGATGATGATCATGATGATGATGATAGATTCCCCCGCTCTCGATCGACAACCCACATACCCCAGATACGGTACCACATACACATGCATCCTCCATTGGAGCTAGTAACCACCAAAAGGGTTCATCTTCTTCCTCATTGAGAATAATAGTACCTGAAAGTATCCTTTCGTCAATCCTCCATCTGCCTCCCTCTTCTACAAAACCATTACACACATACATCTATATAACCCCCCCACCAAAAACCAGATATCTACCTATCTAGGTATCAAAAATCCCCCACCAAAAACTGCGCCCTCCCCTCCCCGAAAACTCCAATCCTCCTTCCCATTCCCACTCATCAAATCCTGTCCCCGTAATCCACATTCCATCTGCAACCTTTCCGCCAAAGCCGCATACAATGCCTGTTTCGTGCGAGCATCTCTTCAAATCTGAATCAACACGAAGCTGCTAGGTGCGTGCGTGCGTGTGAAACCGAGATTGCTGTCTTCGCAAATGACTTCTCGTATTGGGATATAATCTGGCGGGGGATTATGAGATAAGTAGTGGGATTGCAGGGCGGGGAGGGGAGGAATGATGAGTATATAGAGATATGAACTGTGAGTACCTACCTGATATCGATCTTGAGGAGGAGCATTGAAAATGTTGAAGAGTTCTTCTTCTTCTTCTTCTTCTTCTTTAGGGACTAGCCTGGGCTAGTTTCGTTCTCGAAGTTGAAATGCTGTCGAGTCAAGTCTAGGTGTTTCTGTAAGCCAAGTGTCACTGGCAGTGTATACATATATGACCATCACCATCACCACCACCACCACCACCACCACCAGCTTACACGGCAAGCTGCAATAAGGTACCCTGATGATCTAACACTTTTGACCAGAGAAATAATGAAGTCATTCCTGTGAAAAAGGAATCATCATCGTATTCGAAGTCGTTCGTTTCTTCTTTGCAGAAGTATAATGCACTGGTTAGGCTCTAGAGGGTAGATCCGCTATTCCACTTGATAACTACAAGACAGACAGCACCGAAAAGGAAAAGGAAAAGGAAAGAAGCAGCAAGCAAGGCTTACCATTACAATCAATAGTTACCTAGTTTACCACACATCTCACACCAGAGAGGGAGAGAGCTACCTTAACTCATCTTCTCACCTGTTCAAATTCAGACTACCAAAGAGGTGTACGTTTGTTGCTCGCTCGCTCGCTCGCTCGAGCACACAGACACACACAAAACAACAAAGCAAAGAAACTGACTGCAGTATTCGCTGTATCCCTCTCTCTCTCTCTCATCTCCTCTTGCTCCATGGCACTGTGGTATGGTCGTGCGTCACATCGAGCCAGCTAAGAATTTGGGGCTGGTGCCACGGCCGTCGCCTCCCACCGATCATGTCGGTCTGGGGTCAAGACGGGTCCATCCTATCAGAAGAAAAAAAAAGAAGAAACGCCTGTATTCGCCCACCAACAAACAGTACCGGTCTAGCCGCATCGGCACATTTGCCATTTCCACGCCTCCAAATATCTGAGAGACAAAGACTTTTCAATGTCTGCAGCCAGGAGACATCTGCGCACATGTTTCGTGGTCCTGAGGAGAGACACCGTCTTCCCGTTCCTAATCAATGCATCTTCGCGTGTGTTTCCCCAGTCAACCTCTCCTCAGTCGATTCTGCTTCGATAATTCACTTCTCGTGAACAACCGTCAACTTGTTCATATCTGAATCTTGAACGCCGGAATTTCGTTTCATCGTGACTGCTGGTAGTGCCCTTGGCATGTGTCTTTTTTTCTTCCTAATTGGTTTCTGCTGTACACGCTGCGTTTCCCGGATCGAATCCTGGCTCACAGCAAAATGTGACATTTTGAAGCGACTTGGTGATCACAACAAAATGAGGTAATTCGACGGAGCAATACCCGTATCACCATTCTCTTTCTTCGCTTGCCACCACCTTCCGGAAACATCGCTGACTTCCAAGATTTCATGCTTGGTGAAGGAGATCTCATTGGCGTCGTCGGGATTTGCTTCGTAGCTGTAGATAGCCTTGGCTCGGTACGGGTATTCTGTGGGTTGCGAGACGGAGCTCTCTCCCACACCAGTCCCGTTGTGAACGCTCAGGGCGGAGACTGCGCTCGGCTCTGATCGTAGCGGTGGTGGGTATGTGTTGTTCCTACTCTGTGCACCCGCCGTGCCGCCGGGATATCCGGTCACGGGCGATGCAGTCTCAAAGCCATGCAGGTTGTTGGAACTGTACATCTGTGGTTGTTGCGCACCATTGGAGTGGGTGGTTTCTGGTCGGTACGACTGGCGCATTGCTCTGCTATTGCGACTCGGTGCACGGTCCTTGTGTAGCGCAAACGAGTCCAGAGTCTGGCGGTGACTTGCCTGGGGCTCGGCTCCAAAGTAAAACATCCACACGATCTACAAGGTGATGATTAGTGACATGATTCGCTCCAGACGAGGGAGAGAAGGATTTCACATACGCAGTCAATGGATAGCAGGATAAAGCCGGCGGCGGCGGCCTCTTTCGGAGCTTGGGGGTAGTAGATTAAAGAGTTCACAGCGGAGGTGGTGAAGACCAGACCGGCGGCGAGGAAGCCCGTCAGTCCCACGCGATAGGTGTATATGGCGTCGGCGCCCACGACATATATCACGCCCATGATGCAGAGCAGCAAGTAGGCCAAAGTCCACCAGGAGTAGTTGGGATACTCTCCATTGATGTCGGCAATGATGGAGCTGACAAAGGCGATGATCCAGCCGGACTGTCGCGACGCGTTAGCGACCGTGTGTGTGGGCGGACCGTTGTCGCGCGTGTGCAAGTACTCACAATGCCAATACCTATCGATCCAAGCCAAAACGGATCACCTGCAATGTTGCCAAAGACGAAGCCTTTCCTGGCGGGGGCATATCTGCCCGCACCGCCCATTTCCATTTTCTGCAACGAGGGCGAATGCTGAGTGCTACCGAAACTGGGCATGGAGGATATGGTGGTGGTGGTGGTGGTGGTGGTGGTGGTGGTGGTGGTGGTGTTGTACGTAGTGTACGTAGTGTACGCGTGTGTCGAAGAGAAACAAGGCTAAGCGAGCGTCAATAGTTGGTGGAAGGTGGACGAGAAGTGGGCGGCGATTAAGGTATGCAGCCGGGATGCGCAGCAGGGCAGTCGTGTACAAAGAAAGGTGAAAGGCGGGTAATTTAGTTTTTGGCGCCGGCGCGTTCGGATTGGTGTTGCGTGATTGTGGTAAAGAGCGTGTATGATCGTGCGGACCAAGAGAGGAAGCGAGCGAGGGAGCGAGAGTGGGTGCTGCGAGCGTGTCGGTGGAGCGGTGCGGCGCGGTGAGGTGAGGAGTGAGGTGGGAGTTGGAGGAGGGAGTGAGTGTGGGTGGGTGTGTCGAGAAACAGCGCCGGGCTGTTGCCGTCGACAGAGAGAGAGAGAGACGGAGAGAGTGAGTCGAGCAGATGCTGGGTACGGGTGGTCCACTGGTCAGGCTACGCGCGGAGGGGCGGCGGGCGCAATATCCGACGATGCGAAAGAAGAGACGGTGGCAGTCGGGGAAGGGAGTAGTCGAGGAGGAGAATACGGGATTGTGGGTAGGAGGTAGTCAGGTAGGTCAGGTCACAGGTAGGCAGTAGGCAGAAAGAGAAGTGTCTCGTGTTGTCCTTTGACCTCCTAGCGTGTCGCAGTGGCCTGGTTTGATGTTGGTGAAACAGTCGACGGCAGACTTTCTCACTTCCAGAAGTTCCAGTTGTGCACCCACAACAAGACTACAAGACAACAACATACCTAGGTAATAGTGCAAAGAATGCTGGGATGAATGATGACTACTGCCCATGCTGCGACAACGGGCTAGACCACCTGCAGACTCTGCCGACACCTGTGACCCTCGTTCGCAGTCAGCGCTAAGAAGGAAAGCCCCTGTTTACTTCTGCCACCCAATTGTCCGCGGACCGCAAGAGACCACCAGGTATAATAAAGTGTCTCACTGCGCAGTCTAGACGTTTTCCATCATCATTCTTCCCTGGAGGTACCCTACCCTGAATCCAGGCGACAGCTACAGTACACTTGAGTACAGTACCTATCAGGCTATCACTATCACGACTACAGGTAGCTAGCTGCTACTACTGTACTACTCCTCCAGCACCTACATAGGGGAGTTCCATATATATGACCTCTTGCATAGGTAGTCTGCACTCATCTGCATTGCACCGGTATTATCATTCCATACTAAGGTAGATACCTACTATTATAATCATTATTATCATCATGATCGTCACGATTGTCGTGGGCATCTGTATAACTCCAACGCTCGTCGTACATGTACCTCACTAATGTACGGGCAGGTTCCTGTAGCATTAATAGAATAAGGGTAGATGAGAAGAAACCCTGCGACTCATGCACCATTACTCCACTTCCCACGCGACTACTACGGTAAACGGCACGAGCAGCAAATGTCCGACCGACTGCCTACCCGTATTGATACTACTACTACTACTACAACTACCTCCTCCTACCCTACTCCTAGGTACTGGTCAAAGGCACCTTACACGCACATCCACCTCCCCAGAAGTCTACTACCTTACTGTGATAAAAACGCATTGAACCATCTCTCATTGTGCTTGAGCATCTCAAGGCTTTGCATCAATTCGGGGAGTCCAGAAATTGACCTCGAGCACAGCCCCGACTAAGGTAGCCAAGGAACCTAGCATGAGGCCATGAGCAAGACGGATTAACAAAAAGGAGATACCTATGCAGGCCATGCTGTTAAATGACTTACGACAACGACGACGACAACGACGACAGGATGCGACAATGTGAGTAACGATATCAGTACAGGTACGTGGGATCATGTCCTCTGTTCATACATTTTGCTTCGTCTTGTTCTTTTGTTTTCTCTTTGTCTTCTTTCTCTTCTTTCTCTTCTTCCTCTTCTTCCTGCTCATCTCTCACCTCGCCTTCCCAATCGTCTCAATCGCCCGCTTCACTAGCTCCCTCGTCCCCTCCTCCTTCACCTCTTCTTGAAGACTACTCAGCCTCTGCTGCCATACCGCCCACCTCGCAGGCGAATAGCCCGTCCAACCTGCATCTTTGTGCGCAAACCCTCCCCTGGCAACATTCCCCTCGTAAGACTTCTGCTCCTTGCTCCAGCTGAGCAACGTCGGAGCAGCGTAAATGAACCACACACTCGCTGCGGCAAGAGCTGAATCAGAGATGTTGTCTTCCTCGAGTGCGTCGCGGATGGTCCAGAGGCCAAAGACGGAGAGGTCGGGATTGGAGTGCGCTTTGTCGTGGAGCTCGCTTACGAGCGTAGCTATGAATGCGTTGACGTTTGTCCATTCTTCCGATAAGGCAGGAGATTTATCGTCGGCGGGAGCTGTTGTAGCGTGAAAGTTGGACTGGTCAGTACTCTGGTATCCATGCACTGCATACATTACATTGATCAGGCACATGGTGTTGTGTGACATACCGAAATTCCACGCATCTCTCACTTGCCACCCAAACAGTGGTAGATCTTGCCACACTTTCATTCCGTGCACCACGCCATAGTCGCTATTCGCTTGTTGGCCATCTGCTCTTTTCTGCGTGAGACTGACGAGAAACGCAGCCAGAGCGGATCGTCCACCCTCGGTGTATGATGTGGCTGCAGCTCGGGACATGACAGCTATCCAGCCCTTGTACAGCTCTCCTTCGACATCATCCGAGGGACTGCTGGATTGCAGCTTCTGCTCGACGGGAGCGCAGAAGCGCTGGAGAGGACTCGCTTCAGCGGCGCCGGTTGTGAGGCCTTCGAGGGCGGCATATTGAGGTGACTGCTGCACCTTTTCTGGAGCAGCGAAGGCTGACTTTTGGGGCATACTGGAGGATGGTCTGAACGATGGGGTGACGGAGAAGGAGTGTTGTCGTCGTGTCCGGGATGGCGTGATGGTGCACGATGTCGATGCTCGTGATGATACTGCTGGTGGTTTGGAGACTGTGCGTAGAAGTAGTTGTAGTGATGAGTACTGTAACACTTTCATCCCAACTTGACCAACTTGACTACCTTACGAGTACTCCACGGGCAGCTAGACTTGCTCTCCCGCAAGGTACGTAATGACGTCTCTTGGGCCACTAGGCAGTAGGGCAAGGTACGCGACCATTGACACCATGCCACCTCCCACCTCCTAGGCTCCTACTGCCCCCGCCTGTGTTGTACCTACATTACTGTACCTCTCTATCTCCTCTTATCTCCCAGGTTTTGTTCGACGTGCAGACCGGCGCACGGCTCCGGGACCCAGATTCATCGACACCGAGAAGGTTCGTCAGCTGAAGCTCGAGGGTTGGATCATCAATCAGCATCGCCTCTGGATGCCCGTGTCGAGAGCAGGCTGCCCAGCTCGCCACACTCGTACCTGCAGCCATGGCAACTTCGCGTGTCGGGAGCAGTACCACCGCTGTAGGTGTAGGAGGTACGGTAGCTCTAGTGAAGTGCGGAGTCGGACTGCGGACTGCGGAGAGACATTGGACGGGAATGCCTTCCCCATCCAGACAAGCGCCACGCATTCCCTGCCGATCGTTGCTGACACACCATTGCACCACTCCAGCTTCGACACTTCTACTGGACGACCTCAGAACACACTACCTTGCCTCCTACCTTACTCCTGCTGTAGGAAGTATGTATTCGAATATGTCTCCCGCAGAATGAGCCGCTGCCGAGGCACTGCGGAGCTTCCACATCAAGACACGATCAACGTCGCATTCACTCAACAAGGGATACCTTCCACCATGCTCATGAATATTATACCGACGTGGCCACTCTACTCCCTACGAACCGCCCATGTGCTCTGATAACGCAACATCTTTGGCCTATCTCTGCCAAGTCACAATAAGCCCTTAAACGCGACCTTCCCTTTCAAGGCTCCTACAAGCTCAAACTACACGCGAGACGAACCTGCACCGGTATACCAGCTCAGAACTGCAGTGAAACCGGTGGTTGGCTTCATCTGCAGACGGGGGAACAGAGCAGCAACCATGGGAGACGATACGGATCGTCGGTAGCTATCTCGCGAGCCACTGACTGTACGCATCTCGCCTCGGGCCTTTTTACCGTTGTCTTGTGCGAGATAGGAAACGGGAGGAACATCTTGGCTCTGACTGGTCTCTCCCTCTCTCTCTCCCATCAGAAGCAAGAGGCACTATGTTTAGTAGATGGAACTTGGCTATCTAATATAGGAAAAGGAGGGACACTGACAGGGAGAGACGAGAAGAAGTATAAGTAAACAATCCCATTCCCTCCCTCCCTCTCTCTCACCAGGCAGCAACAACAGCAACAGCAACAGCAGCAGCAACAGCAGCAGCAGACATCCCTCTATCCATCCTCTCAGCCACCACTCCACCCACCAAACAAACAAGATGCAATTCTCCTTCCTCAGCGCCGCTCTGCTCTTCGCAGTCGGCACCATCTCCGCCCCAACCGCCCTCCCCGCTGACGGAAATGTCATTGTCACCCGTCAATCTGCAACCACCTGTGGCAGCTACCAGTACACTGCAGCCCGCGTCCGCGCCGCCTTGAACCAGGGAGTCATGTACTACAACAACGGCCAACAAGTCGGAGACAACGACTACCCTCACACGTTCAACAACCGCGAAGGTATGTCTTCTCTCTCCATCTACCTCATGCCCCAACATAGTCAATCCATCAAGCACAAAAAAAAACTAACATTTTCTGTCTCTTTCTTCTTTCAGGCTTCAACTTCGCCGTCTCTGGCCCTTACCAAGAATTCCCCATCTTGCAAAACGGAAACGTCTACACCGGTGGTTCGCCCGGTGCCGATCGTGTCGTCTTCAACACCAATGGAGCCTATGCCGGTGCCATTACCCACACGGGTGCCAGTGGGAATAACTTTGTTGGATGCAGTGGTACTTCGTTGTAGAGTATTGTGGAATAGTACCTAGAATTGATGATTGATGATTATGGTGAAATCAAAAATAAAAATAAAGAATGGGGGAAGTTACTATCTGTATGTAGTACTACCTAAGGTACCTACTACCTACTAGGGAAAGAGTGTGGTGGAGAGTGGAGATGGGAGTGGAGTGGCTGAGGTGGGGATGGGGATAGGGAGATACCTAAGGTACCTCCTAGGGTGGAGCTGTGAGATGGAATGGAATGGAATGGAATGGAATGGAATGAACAAGGATGAGATGAAAATGCTCCAGGATGTGTTTGTTGCTGTTGCTGTTGCTCGGTACCTAGATAGCACAGATCACATATGGCATTAGCATTGGCATTGGCATTTATTGACATTACCATGACCGGCTGGAGTGGAGTGACGAACTTTGAGCCTCGGGATTGTGATGGCGTGATTTCAAGTCGCTTTTATTACGAATCTTGGGTCAGAAGCATACATGTACATGTACATGTACTGTACTGTACTGTAGTGGCCAGAAGAGCATATTCAGAGGGCGCTCGAACAAGTATATGGTGCTGCGGGAGATAAGATGTGTATACCTTCGTCCATACTACATCTACAGCAATGGCTGGCAAACAGCATAGGTACCATGTCGTGCATCACCCAATATCATCTGCTTCGTCTCATCATGTCATGAAATCTTCTTCAACCACATCTACATCTTGCCAGCACAATAATCTATGCTGCAATTCCAATGACGCCACAAGCTGGACGTCCTCCAGCATTGCCCGTCTTCTTGCTCTCAGCGTGACCACCCTTTCCGAGATCATCGGTGCCGGCGTGGACAACAACAGTGCGGCCGAGAACGCTCTCGGGACCAATCAACTTGATCAGCTTGTCCTGCACAGAGCCCTTTCCATTGCCTTGTCCATCGGTCTTGAAGTTTCCGAGATCACCGACGTGGCGCTCCGTGTCCTCTGGTGCACCGTGCTCCTTGGAGTGAGGGTTGACTGCATGAGAGGGAGAGGGTGGGAAATCAGTATTCATGGTCCTGGCGAAGCGAATACCGCTATGCTATGTTGTGATACACATACAGTGAGGTCCAGCGCTGGTGCAGCCGTTGGTGTTGTCTCCGAACGCGTGAACGTGCATACCACGCTCCGCGTTGGCGTCGTTACCGGTAATGTCCCATTCAATGGTCGTGGGCGATGTCTCGCTGTCTTGGGTGAAGGTGACGGTGCCCTTGACGTTGGAGTCACCACGGAGAACGGCAACTGTAGTAGTAGTGCAATGGTCAGCGCGGAAGGTCACGGCGGTGCACCCACAGTGTCATCCCCGTGCCATTGCCATTTCTGGCCAAGTCATCACCAGCACAGCCGCGCGAGACCTTGATGAACGAGCTGGCATCAAATGAGGAGGCGGAGGCGTATGTGCCCCCGAAACGTGCTCATTCTTGCGATGGCTAGCCCCGCCGCATGGGTTCTGGCGAATGGGACACTGGTACGTCGGAGGCTAGTCACGTACCTGCTTTGACCATAGTGGCGGTGTTTTCTTTGATGGTATATGTATGGGAATGGGCTCTTTCAATGGCTTTGGCGTCGTTTGGATGGGTTTTTGGTAGATTGGGAGGAAGAGGTGGAAAGTCGATAGGAAGCAACAGCTCCGCTCGCTCGACTGAGGGGGAATCAGACGAGACCCCACTTGGCAAGGATGACGTTTTCACGGAGCGATTACGGAGTGCTACTAATCGGACCATCCACTGCCCATTGTGCGCGCGATTCGCTGGCTGGCCAAGAAATGGAACACCGAGCATGGAAGATTACGTCTTGGGTATGGTTTCATTCAAACGCTATGGACAAGCATCTTCAAATCGTTAATGCATCTAGGTGTCGTATGTCGATTCACCCTTTTTCACGAAAAAACGCCCGTCATCTCCTCCTCCCATTCCCACCTATGCGTTGATCTTTTGCTTGAGAATGTCCTTCAGGGTGACAGCGTCTGCGGCGAACTTGCTGATGCCCTCGGAGAGCTTGTGCACGGCCATGGTGTCCTCGTTGAAGTCGAAGCGGAAGTCACCCTCGTTCGCCAGGTAGCTCTTCTTCTCAATGTTCAGCGATGCAGCCGACTCAGACTCCAACTTCTTGGGGACTGCGTCGGTGCTGTTGTAGAGCTGCTCCAAGAGGTTGGGTGCAATGGTGAGGTAATCACAGCCAGCAAGCTCAGTGACCTCACCAACGCTGCGGAAAGAGGCTCCCATGACAATGGTCTTGTAGCCGAACTTCTTGTAGTAGTTGAAGATTTGTTGCACCGACTTGACACCGGGGTCATTCTCTGGAGTGTACTCTTGCTTGGTGTTGGCCTTGTACCAGTCGAGGATACGGCCGACGAAGGGCGAGATGAGGAAAGCACCGGCTTCAGCAGCGGCAATCGCCTGGGGTAGAGAGAACATGAGAGTGAGGTTGCAGTTGATGCCGTGCTTGCTCTGAAGCTCGTGGGCGGCCTGGATACCCTCCCATGTCGACGCGAGCTTGATCAGTACACGCGATTTGTCAATGCCCTCGGCTTTGTACAGCTATACCAATGTCAGCATGGGCAGTACTTTTTGCTTTGCAGCGTGTTCCACATACTTCAATCAGGTGTAGAGCCTTGTCAACGGAGGCCTTCTTGTCGAAAGAGAATCTCGCATCAACCTCTGTGGAGACCTTGCCAGGCACAATGTTGAGGATCTCCTTGCCGAATTGCACGAGGAGGTTGTCCAACGTGGCATCGACCTGTTCATCAATGCTCTTGCCGTGCTTCTTTCCGTATGCAACAGCCTCGTCAATGAGCTTCGCATACTCGGGCTTCTTAGACGCGGCGAGGATCAACGAGGGGTTGGTGGTGGCATCTTGAGGCTTGTACTTGCCAATGGTCGCAAAGTCACCAGAGTCGCAGACGACAGTCTACAGAGGCGTCGGTTAGTGTCTGCCGGGTCAAATGCCGACGGGGCCGATGTTGACAGGAGAAGGTGGTGGTGGTGGGGGAAGAGGTGTACGTACGGTGCCAGTGGCCTTGAGCTGGTCGAGAGAGGAGGTCATGATGGCTGTTTGTATGTGTGTGTGTTGTGGTTTGAAGTGGGAGTGGATTGTGGTAGTGATTGGAGTGGGTGATGTTTTGTTTGTTTCAAAAAGTTCGTTGAGAGAGTACGGGTTAGGTACTTAGGTTGTCTCGTCACGGTGGTGGGGCAAAAAAACCCTTGAAGCTTATGCACGGGGTATGACGGAGGACGGAGCTACGACGCTGGAAGACACAGTGGAAGGTGGAAGAAGAAACATGAAGCGGGCAAGAAGGGAGAGTCACGATTGGATGGGACACGGCAACAACTGCGGGCAAAAGTCGCTTTCTCGTGCGATGATGGGAAGTCCGCGGCTCGACGAGTGATGTTATTGTCGCTCTGCTGTCATTTCTGTGTCCTGTGTCCGGAGATACTCATACTGTACCTGTGCCATGACCATCCTCATGATTGAGTTCAGCCTTGCCGTGTGGAAGCATCCGAACATGGCCATGCATGCTCCCGTCTCTCTACTCTCCGACAGGGCACGATATGTATCTGCCTACACTGGACACTACAACTACCTGCTGTCTTCATGGGCTCTATTGTCTAGGTACTGTATCTACCTGCTAGAACCCTCAGCGGCAAGCCGAATGCTTCTGCAGCTGCGGTCCAATGATGCAACGGCAGAAAGCCCCTCAGCAGTCTCCTGCTGTAGCACGATAAATTCTGCCACGCTTCCCTGCCTTCATCGGACGGAGATGCAGTAGTAAACACATCCAACATGATTTCCACGTTCTATTTCTGTTTCTCGTCACTCGTGCTCAGACAAAGGAATTCCATCTGATCCAACCGGCTGCTTCCGGGTGGAGCCGGCGAATTTCAAGAATATGTAATTATTGCCCGCAAACTAGTCGCAAATGACTGCAAGAGGTGAGTCCATCTAGACGTGCTGTAGTGCTTCTCGAAGTCGTCACATCTGCCTTCAGCGGAGATGCCATAAGGGAGTCAGCTGTATGCAGGTCTAATTCCCACTGTTCGGCACCACCGAAACTCACCACCTACTGCGCACTCGCGTGGTGACAACAAAATCATGGCCTTCTGCTCATATTACACGCCAGTGGGTGAGCTCGTATCAATAATCAGGCTACTCTCCCAAATCGCCACCATCAGCCGGGTCACTACAAAAGAATGACTATCTTCTACGATGGCTGACATTCCAACATGCTTGAGAATGAGCAGTTTCTGACTGGCGACATCCTTCTCTCGTCCTCACAGACTGGCTGACAATAATGGCTTTCCTGCCCTTGACAAGACTACAGCTATGCGGTAGTGCTGGGCTATGGACGTTTACCGCAAGGCCAATGAGATCCTTGGCGGGTGTCGGCAGCGGATAGCGAGAGAAAGGGTTGCTTACTCATCGAGGAGTCACCATCACGACGAACCCAACTGCAAGATCGCAAAAGAAAATACAGGAATCGCGATTGCCATTGGGGAGCCATTCAAGGCTGAACGAAATAGAAGATAATCGCATTCCTGAGCCCTTCCTCCCTCTACTTCCGCCTCGCCCGCCATGTCCATCAAATCCGTAGTGCTCCTCGGAGCAGATGGTAATCTCGGCCCATCCATATACGCTGCTCTCCAGAAGAACGACTTCGACATTACAGTACTCAAGCGCAAATCCTCCAAGTCCAAGACCACATACCCAAAGCAAGTTAGCGTGTCCGACGAGTTCCCTGTCGATGAACTCGTACCAGTCCTCCAAGGCCACGATGCAGTCATAGTCACTATCCGAGGCAGCGACCCAGCCTTACAAAACCGCATCGCCGACGCAGCAGCACGCGCTGGTATTAAACGTGCGTAAAAGCATTGGTACCTACCTGATATACACGTAATTTTTCTTCTTACAATTTCCCAGGCTTCATCCCCGCCGACTTCGGCTCCGTAGACTCCTCTAGCCCTCTCACCCAAGACCTCGTCCCTCTCTACCGCCTCAAAACCTCCATCCGCGAACACCTCATCTCTCTCGCCTCCTCTTCGCAACAAAGCAAACAACAACAAAATTCTCTCCATGAATTCACCTGGACAAGTCTCGTCTGTGGCCACTTCTTCGACTGGAGTCTCGAATTCCTCCACATCGATCTCGCGAACCGACACATGGAAATTCTCGATGATGGGAATACTACCTGGTCGGCAAGTACACTTGATCAAATTGCGCTCGCGACGGTAGGAGTGCTGCAACGTCCGGAAGAAACGAGGAATCGCATGTTGTATATTCAAAGTTTTTGTGTGTCGCAGAATGAGGTGTTGCGGGCTTTTGAGAGGGCGACTTCTTCGAGTAGTGGTAGTAGTAGTGGAGATGGGAACGATGAAGGCGGGGAAAAGAAATGGAAGGTGACGAAATTGGACTCGAAGGTTTATCGCGAGGAAAAGGTGAAGAAGAGGGATGAGGGGGATAAGCAGGCGATTGAGGATTTGGTGTGGTTGTTGGGTGCGCTGGATGCGAATTGGGAAGACAGGAAAGATTTTGCGATGAAGGACTTGGGATTGGAGAATGAGGATTTGGATGAGGTTGTGAGGAAGATTGTGGAGAAGCAGGAGCGGGAGTAACACCGTATCGCTGCTTGCTTTGTCCTTACGTCTTCCTTGCGGGTAATATGTAGTAGCCTGAGAGCTCTGATCGCCTTTCATCAGGTCATATAGCAAGTACAACACTTGAACTACCTATGCTAGAGTACATCCATACATACATATATATATCGCCCAAAACCCCCTCCCAACTTCTTCTTACTCAATCCCTTTCAACCTTTATACCCCCAACATCCCACAGTCCAGTCCAGTCCAGTTCCAATCCAATTCAACCCAGTCCAATCGCAGCCAAAGTACCTCCTACAACCTTCCCTCCGTTACCTACCTCTACCTACCTCTCTACCTTCCTAGTTCAGGTAGCTACCTTAGTAAGTTACCTCGTGTATATACACATATACATATACAAAAAAAAGGAACTCGTCCAGCTCTCAATTTATCTACCTATCAAGAAAAAAAAAGTCTAGATACTATAGGTATCTTAGAAGGATGACGGACGGATGATCTGATAGTCTTGACGATATCCTAAATAATTGTAATAATAATCATATATAGGTATGTACATGTATACATATATTAGAGTTTCTCTGGTTCATATATATATTTAGCCCAGACCAGACCAGACTAGACCAATAAGAAATTGAGCTATATGAGCCCACCTTAGGTATATCTAATGTCTAGCTCCACTCTCGAGTCAGTATGCTGGTTGGTATAAGGATGCTATATAATTTTTCTTTTCTCTACCCCGTTTCATACAATCCTTCTAGGTTGGGTACCTCTTACCTTACTAGTGAAATCGTGATCTGGGAATTCCCTTTTCCAAAATTTCCAAAGCTCTCGTGGTTCAGAGTGGATTTGCATTCTCATATCCTCTCTCTCACACACGCACACACTCTTCTTCCTTTAATCTGTATCGACCTTTTCCGGGTTTACTCCCCTTCTTCCGACTCACATATAGGTACCTACCTACCTACACGTATTAATCGTTATGTTATGGTGCAATGTCAAGTCAGGTCAGGTAAGGTACAAGTACCTGACCGTTGATATCCCGTCCAACCCAACGCCCGATTTTTGAGAAAACCTGAAATGTCGACTACAATCAGGGACATTGTACTTTTGTATGTGTCAGCGTTTTCGTGGTTGCAAAGTATGTACCTGAGTTTTTTTTGGTTTTGTTGTGTGTGTTTTGTGTGATTGGTTGGACAATGGGCAGAAAAAATAGGTAGGAAGCCTGCGTGATCCGTTTTGCGCGCGTGAACGACCACCCTATGAGGATGCATGCATGCAGGTGAGGAAAGAAGGCGTATGCAGCTTGCACGCTCGACACCTAGGTGGATGTGGATGGATGGATGGATGGCTGAGTAGCATTATCACAATATCGTACATCTCGAGCCGCCACCACCACCACCACCGCCACCGCCGCCGCCGCCGCCTCTATCTCTGCGCCCGTCTCGATCGTCTCTTCTCCTCCGTTCCCGACGCCGTCTGTCACCACCACCTCCACCCCCACCTCCACCACCTCCCCCATCGTCTGTTCGTGCTCTTGCGAGATCCTTTCTGATAATCTGCCTGCAGACATCCATGAAAACTTCGTTGATATTCGTAGCTCGTCGTGCGCTCGTCTCGTAATATGGTATATTTCCCCAACTCTGCGAAAGCTGAAACGCTTTGGCTCTCGACACGGCCCGGTCTTCCTCGAGATCCGACTTGTTTCCCACGAGCACAATGGGGAACTGTGGATCGCCTTTCGTGCGCACTATTTGTTCGCGGAGCTCGACGAGTTCGCGGAGGGACGATGCGGAGGTGATGCTGAACACTAAGAGAAAGCCCTGGCCCAGTCTCATGTACATGTCTCTGTGCGCGATGGGTTGTGAATCAGTCGACGTGCTTCCTGAGGGGAGGGGGGAAACAGGAGAAGCGGTGGTGGAAGAATATAGTAGTGGGTTGCATACCTCATGGCCGCTGGTGGAGCATTAGCGAATTGTTTTGAGGGGGAGAGTGAAGAAGTGGCCAGGCGTGGGAATAGGTCTGATGTAGGTACCTAGGTAGGTGCGCACTTACTGAATTGTTCTGTTCCTGCCGTATCCATGATCTCCAGGACCACATGTCTGCCATCTACGTCAATGTGCTTGCGATATGAGTCCTCGATGGTCGGATCGTATCGCTCTATGAATATCCCCTGGACAAATTGCACTACGCCGCGCGTGATCAGTCAGTGCTTTCTGCTTGCTTCTTCCCCACGCCATTTGTTGCAGGACAAAGAAGAAGAAGATGGAGAAGATGGAGAAGAAGAAGAAGAAGAAGAAGGTGAAGACGGTGTGCTCACTAGTCAGACAACTCTTGCCCACTCCGCCGGAGCCCAGCACGGCAATGTGGTATTCTCTCTGGTACCCTGCTCGAGACATGATTGCAGCAAGCAAAGCAACTTTTGCAGCTGGCTTGGCTCCCTCTACACTGCTTTGACTACTACTGTACCCGCCGCCGCCTTGCCGCCTTTTCCCCCCTTCTTTCCCAGGCCGGTCAGAGAGAGCGCAAGAGGAAGCTGCGCCTACAGATCACACCTCCCCGGAGGGTATGACAAGGTGGATATCCGACTGAGTAGGCGTCGAGCGTGCAATGGTCCATCCAAACCGACGTGATGCGCGTCCCGCAGGTGATATGATTGGAATCGGGAACAAAGATGGGAGGGGACCGGAGGAGGCGCAGGCTGCGGGATCACAACAGCAGCACTGGACGGCACGGACGCGGATGCATGTGGCGTCTTAGGGGACCTTGGGTAGGGAGGGTAGGGCAACGGTTGGAGGGATGAAGACTTTTTGGTTGGGGAGGAGAGGGTTGTGGTGGTGGTGGTGGTGGTAATGGTGGTGGTGAAGGCAGAGGAGGAGGAGGATGATGAGGAGGAGAAGTGACGGCGCGCGCACTCTTTTTTTTTTTCACAGAGAGTAGGATAGTGGTAGGAGGTGGTAGCAGTAGCAGTAGCAGTAGCAATAGTAGTATAGTATAGTATACCTTGTAGTCAGGTAGTATAGTAGTAGGTAGTGTGAGTAGTTGGGTGCAGTAGCTCCTAAGCCATTGAGTCGCGTCCCCATGGCAGCGATCTAGGTGTATTGAGTTAGGTTGGCCTCTTGTCACGCTGCCAACAATAAAGGGAGGGCATTCCCTGAAAACAATCAAGACCAGACAGATACATCCACGACCAGACGACGTTCTCCTGTATGTGGCTCGCTAAGGGAAGCTAGCTAGACGCACGACGCATGATGATTGAGTTAGGGCCTCTTGGGCCTTACCTCCTACCTCCTAGGGGGGAGAGGGGAGTCGGGGAGTCGACGGGGAGGTGGCATGCCTGTCGAACCTATCGAACCTATCCGCGTTTGGAGAAAGGGCTCGGTGAACCTGGTTCGTCAAAGTCTGCATGTTTTTTTTAATGGCACTGCCACCTCTCAATGCTCTCATTCGCCGGCGGCCGGGGAGAAGGATGCACATTGGACTCATTAGTAAGGTAGGTTGGTTTATACATGTCCTGCAGCACTATACATAGGACCTTATACCGTCAACCGTTGAATGCATTATTCTCTTCTGTCCCGTGCATGCAAGCAATATGGATGATATGGCTCGCAGCATGGCAGCATGGCCGCCAAGACGTCTGTTTCGTTGAGAGAGCAGCTAGTAGGTATAGAGTACAGTAGCAGAGGCGGAACGCGCGCGTGGATGACGGGAGTGCTGGGAGTGTTGGGAGTGCTGGGAGTGCTGGGAGTGTGTACGGAGGAGAGGCCGAGATAGCGGTCGGCATGCATACCATAACGGCATAACCATTACCAGCCCACTACCGCCGACTTGCCTTAGGCCTAGATAGTATATTATGTAGTCACTGTGTGTGTGTACCTGTATGAGGCTGTATGTACATGTAGAAGGTAATGTCAAGTACATGTATACAGGTACCGCCGCAGCTATGGATGATGATGACACGGGCACGTTCACACTCACATGCTGCTTCCGCCATAATTGCAGCTGGACTGGACTGGACAGGCGTCAAGGCGTCACTCAGGCACTCTCTCAGCCTTCTCAGGTGCTGACTAGGTAGGTACTGCTGACAACTGCTGACTACTGACTGCTGACTGCTGATGCTGACTACTGCGGACCGAGCCGCGAGCTAGCACCAGAATCAGCCTAATCAGCCTTCCCCAGTCCAGTCCCAGTCCAGGCAGCCAGGCAGACACGAAACACCTCACGCGCAACGGAGGACGGAGGACAGCTGCCCGCACTACCTACAGGCTACCGCAGGTCAATCATTCCAGAGCCATCCATCGCGATGCGTCTGCCACTGCTGGGAGCTGCTACGCTTCTGCTACACTCCGCCACCGCCATCTTCGCCGACGAGGCCTGGAACGTCGACTATCACTACCCCCTCCTGGGCCTGCCCAAGGAAGATACCACGCTGTTTCATCGGCCCAATCCTGCATCCAAGGCCTCTCTCATCTACACTCTCTCCGAACATGCTGTGTTGGGAGCCGTTAACCCCCGCGATGGCTCCATTGTCTGGCGTCAGCTGCTCTCACCGGATGCAACTATCTCCGCTTCCACCTTCCTACGTGCTGGTCAAGGCCAGGACGTGATTGTGACTGGGACGGGGGGCGAGGTTTCGGCATGGAGTGCTGCTGATGGCAGACTGGTATGGAGCCGCCGCTTGGAAGGAAGCATCGAAGACGTCGAGATCCTGGAACTCAATGATGGCAGCGAATCTACCGCAAAGGATGCCATTGTTCTGACCGGCGGCCAAGACCCTGCCATCCATCGCCTGGATGGATCATCGGGTGACTTGAAATGGACGCAGAAAATTGACAGCGGAGACGCACCATTCCAACTCTCGGCGTCAGCTACCGATGTTTTCGCCATTCTACTGCACAAGACCATGCTGGGCTACATTAAAATCAAGGTGCTTTCCTTTGATCCAGTGACGGGCCGAAAGATCGACGAGCATTCACTCAATTCAGAAAATGAGCTGGCATCAGCCGAGTCGATCATCTCAGTGGGAGCAAATTCCGCCTCTCCGATCATCGCCTGGACCGACGCTGCGTATACGGTGCTCAAGGTCAACATTATTGGCACCAAGACAGTGGCATCTTTCAACATTGGCAAGCACGACGAACATACTGTGCAGAGGGTTCGAATTCATGCACCCTACCATACCACCGCGGTTGCGCATTTCTTGGTGCATTTCGAGACTGACGCTTCCCATTGGGCGGAAGTATACCACATTGACCTGAACAAGAACAAGGTGGAAAAGGCTTACTCACTTCCCCAGGTCGCTGGCAAGGGCTCCTTTTCGACGAGCAATCTGGACGCAAATGTCTACTTCACCCGAATCACAACCAGCGAGATCCTTACCGTGGCATCCGACTCGCATGGTGTGCTTGGAAGGTGGCCATTAGGGGACCTGGCTGTCGGCGCTGTCGCCGGCGAGATTGTATCGCCCATTCATTCTGTCTCGGAGGTATCTTTGAAAGGAAGCGACGTCTCGGCCGTGCGTTCAGCCGTGCTGCTATCCACTGGAGACTGGGTACTGATCCGAGGAGGCACTCCAGTCTGGCAGAGACCAGAAATGCTCGCGTCCACTGTGTCGGCTACCTTCGCCACGACAGCAGAGGTCGAGGCATTTGCGCACGAGCTCGAGATTGAAGCGCATAGCAACGTCATCAGCGCTTACATCCACCGCGTCACACGTCACGTCCAAGATTTGCAAAAGCTGCCCGAACTCTTGCTGGGATTGCCCCAGAGGTTTCAGAATGGTGTGTTCGGGACCACAGCGGAGAGTAGCGTGTCTGGCGATGTGTTTGGCTTCCATCAGATCATCGCTTGCGTGACGAACAACAACAGAGTCGTTGCGCTCGACGCAGCCGCAGCGAACAAGATTCTCTGGAGTAAGGATGTCGGAGAACTTCAAATTCCTGGACCTTGGCGGCGTCCCATCATCAAGACAGCTGCCAACGGAGTCCTTTATGTCCAAGTGGATGGCCGCCCGCCGCAAGTAGCGCTGAGTGCTACTACGGGAGCTGACGTCGCCATCCCTGATGTGACTCTGAAAGCGCCAGATGCAAATACCGTGTTCTTTCGATCACAGCCAGATGGAGTTGTCGCAGGTAGCAAGCCTGGAATCCGATCCGGTGGCGCGCTGTGGCACTTTGTTGTCTCCGATGACGAGCGTATCGTCATATTTGTTCCTCGCCCCGTCGATGATCCCGTGGCATCCATTGGCAAGGTCCTGGGTGATAGAAGAGTCCTGTACAAATATCTCAGCCCCAACATTGCTTTGCTTGTCACAGCAAATAGAGCTGCTGGTAGTGCCACTTTCTCCGTCCTGGACACCATCACCGGTACCACATTGCATGCAGATCTCCAGCAAAATGTTGATCTCACGGCACCAATATCTGCAATCATCACAGAGAACTGGTTCGCGTACTCGTACACTGCGGAAACTGCGCCCAATATGCCCAAGGGTCATTACCTTGTGGTAGGTGAACTGTTCGAGTCCTCTGCTCCCAATGATCGTGGAATGCTGGGCGAGAACGTCAACTCGTCGAGCCTGGAAAATCCACCCAAGCCATACGTTCTGAGCAAATCATACCAGATCCCAGAGACGATCAGCACGCTGGCCATTACCCGGACGCGTCAAGGCATCACCTCTCGCCAGTTATTGGCAGTCCTTGCGGATTCCAGCTCCATTATTGGCATACCATACCAGGTACTAGATCCTCGACGTCCTGTTGGGCGTGATCCGACAAAGGACGAACAAATGGAAGGACTGGTCAGATACATCCCCATAATTGAGTTTGACCCGAAGTGGTATCTCAACCACAAAAGAGAAGTAGTAGGTGTCTGGGATATCATCACCAGTCCCGCATTGGTGGAGAGTACCAGTCTGGTGTTTGCCTATGGGATGGATCTTTTTGGTACCAGACTCACTCCCAGCTCCAGCTTTGATGTGCTTGGGAAGGACTTCAACAAGTTTCAGATGCTTGCTACTGTTGCTGGGCTCGCCATCGTCACTTTTGTGGTGGCACCTCTGGTAAGGTTCCTGCTACAACGTGGTACGAGATATGCTAATACCAGAACAGGTCACTCGCAAACAGGTGAACCAGAGATGGCACTTTGCTTGAGCATGACTGTTGGGGAATTGTACAAGTCGGAAGTGAACAACAAAGTGAAGGATATTGAGCTCAACTATATATGTGTCAGCGCTGAGGTCGTCACCAGCACCGCCCGACCGGGATCATATGCTGTTTGTGAGCAGACGATGACCACGAAGAGATTGTGCCACGATGGAAGTGGCTTTCTCATATCATTGTTGGCCATTGTGGGGGTCTAGTCTCCCCTATCCTGTCGGAGAGTGAGGGCCATTTCTCCGGCGATATGTCCGTAGGCCAGCAGGAGCTACTAGGAGGTAGCGTGCAAGAGGTGCTGCTGTTCGCATGAAGCCGAAGCGGACCATTCCTACCACGGTACCTCTATACCTCCGTCGGCAAGTAGATTCAGAAATCTGCTCGTCATCTCTCCATTTGCACACCTCTTGAACGGCACCCATTGTCGCTCCATGATGTAATTTCTCCACTAATCCCTAACTCCGAGCTACTACACCCACCGCATTGCAATGAACATATATTATTACTTCTACCACCACCATCACCATCACTACCACCACCACTCATATATCGGGAACAAGTAAATTGAAGAGAGAAAACATCATGTCCGACCAAGTCAAGTACACCCAAAAGCTCCAAGGCGCCAAAATCCTCATCACAGGAGGTTCAGCAGGTAAGTCTCATTTCCATTCCATTCCCCATCACCAAATACATCCCATGATCCAAAAAGAAAAACCCCACTGACATGTCCTCTCTTCTCTTTTTTTCCCCCACAAAAATTAGGCATCGGCTACGGCGTCGCAGAAGCCTGTCTCGAAAACGGCTGCAACGTCACAATTTCCTCCTCCAACGACACGCGCGTCCAACAAGCCGTGGCCAAATTATCTGCCGCCTACCCTTCTGCTGCGGCGCAGAATCGCATTCGAGGTTTTGCGTGTAATTTGGGCGAGGAGAAGACTTTGGAGGCGGAAGTGAAGAGGTTGTTGGAGTTGGTGGGGAAGGGAATTGATCATGTGGTGCATACGGCGGGAGATGGATTGGCGACGATGAAATTGGAGGGGATTGAGATGGAGGGGGTTAAGAAGGCTGGTGAGTCTTTTTTTTTTTTTTTTCTTTTTTTTTTCTTTCTTTGTTTCTCTCTTTTTCCGAGTGCGAAATCGCATGCATACACATGCTAATAATTTTCCAATATCAAGGCATGGTCCGCTTCTTCGCGCCCCTCTTCCTCGGCAAACTCGCCCCCAAATACATGAACCCCGGCCCCGCATCCAGCATCATCATCACGACAGGTTCCGTGTCCGAACGACCTCTTCCCGACTGGACCGTCGTCAACTCCTACGCGACCGGTCTGCAAGGAATGGTGCGGGGCATGGCACTCGATTTGAAACCCTTGCGAATCAATCTCGTGTCTCCGGGAGTGGTGGATACGGAATTGTGGAAGGATATGCCCGAGGATGTGAAACGGGGAATGTTTGCGGAGATGGAGAAGAAAATCCCCGTCGGCAAGGTTGGGCAGGTCGTAGATGTTGCCGAGAGTTATTTGTATTTGATGAAGGATCGGAATGTTTCGGGCGCTATGGTTAGTACTAGTGGAGGGCATTTGTTGGTTTGAAGGAGATGAGATGAGGTGGTGGTGGTGTAGGGGAGGAGAGGGGGATAGTAGGGATGGACCTCTTATGAAGTGCCTGTCACTGTAGAGTATGGCCATTCTCGAAAAAAAGCAAAGGAGAACGAATCCCCGATTTTGTGTTAATGATGCCAGCCGTCTCAACTCCCCTACCCTTATTCACTTCCATTCTCTTAGCCTGATCGAATGGGAGTAATCGTCGAGAACTTCCGGCTTTAAGAGGAAGAAGAAGACGAAGAAATCGAAAAATTAGGAAAATCCAAGAGAAGGTAAGGTAAGGTAAAGTGTAAATATAAATATAAATATACCTATGCGGATATATACTACATTACTTCCAGAAAAATTACCTACGTTACTAGGTATCCAACAACGGTATATAGCTCTCTCCCCGTCTCTTTCCCTCTCCCTCTCTCCCCCTCTCTCTAGATCTAATAAGCAAATAAAACGTAACAGAAATCTACCCTAAGTAAAAAACCTAGTCTAAGTAGGTAACATTGTCCAAGGTACGTAGCTAACCTTATTATTCCCTAAAGTATATATATGCATTACAAACGAGTATTCGACTACTAGATCCTCTTTCCGATAGAGACTATTCAAGAGAAGTAAGATAAATTTATAGGATAGACTTACTTAGATCTTGCTTACCTACTCCTAGTATTCAAGTAGCGCGAAATTATATATATAACGTTCGTTGGAGCGACTCTACCTATACATACTTCTATAAGGGATCGTCGCTACTACCGAGATACGTAGCTTGTTGAAGCAATTAGGATATCTTTTGATAAGTAAGTAGGTAGTTATCAGTTTTGTTGTACGAATTCGCCTAGGTTTAGGGAAGCTCTTAGAAGGTCAAGTTGTAGGAGTGTTGTTGTTGTTACTACTACTGCCGCCGTTTTTTCAATCCTGGATATAGCGATGGACGATCAGCGAGAAAGTTTCCAGCTAGGAAGATAGGATAGGATTGATCGGCTGCTAGGTAGCTTCTCTTCATAATCGTCGTTGTATAGGAATAGCTTGATTGATAAAATATATATTCAAGCCCCTGAATTGTTTTCTAGTTCTTTGGACCGCTGCAATGTGCTTTTGTTCTCTTTATCGGGGTCTTTACGAAGGCATATGCCTACTCTCAGGCTTCAAGTACTAGGTACTTCCTTCGGAGCCATTTGCTGCGAGATACTAGACACTTGTTACAATTACTGCTGCTGGGACGGTAGGAGCGAGAGTTTGTGCCTCGGGATCAGGATTCGTAGTCTTGTACTCGAGTGCTCGTTGAGCAAGACTGCTAATACGGAGACGGATAATAGGCCTACCCAATATACCCGCCTCTAGCATTTGAGCAATGAACAAGAGAACACCGCGGACGATCGTAATTGCGTGGATGAGGACCATGCCTAAAGTGACCTTGATATACACATCTATCAGCTGCAGAATGGTGGTGATTGTTGGACATGCAATTTGACCACATACCGCCGGATTGAACAATCCTCTACTCAATCAAAGAATTCATGGTGTTGCTGCGAGCGCGAAACCAAAGGAGAGCGATATATAGAGAAATTGAGCAGGCGATTTCTGCGATGCCACCGTGATGACAGTAGTGCCAGTGTTGGGGTTGGAGGCCAAATTCGCAGTCTGAGCGCCTGCGAAGGCAAAGAAGAGGAAGAAGAATGTGCTAGAGGGTTTACCAATCACAGCGACAGCATGCCCGCGAGAACTGGTGGGTAAGCGACTGAATAGTTCGTTTACAATCGAGTTGTTGTTGCCGCTGACGGAGAGTTCAGTATTCATCGTTTGCAACTCATGGTTGGAATGTGAGGACAGGATGCTCGAAGTTCCTGCGAGTGGCAGGAAGGCGAGTATGCTTTTGATCTCACTTTGACTTTTCGCATCTACGTCTTGCATGAGGCGGACCGATAGGGAGAATGTGCCTGTGGTTGCTGGAGGCAAGTCCGAAAGCAAACAAGGTAGGATGTAGAGTGACACTTGCAGTCTCTTAGCTTCATCTACTTACAAGCACTAGCACTAGCTAATGGGGAGTATTCACGATGTTAGCTAGTCGGAACGACACGGCCCCAGGCCATCCCTGAACGTTATACTACCACGAGTGAAGATGAACGTCGTTCGACCTCACAGCCGACCATCGAAAACCGCTCTGACTTTGCGCGCAATGGGCTGCTCAGCTTGGAATCGCAAGACCGATGATCCATAGATAGCAGGTTCAGTAGGCATCATCTACGGGCCGTACCGATTCCGTAGTAGTTCGACCGGATGTGGAACAAGCAGTACAGATCGACTACACGTTAACGGGCGCGACTCCGGTGGCTTAGGATAGTAACGTGCTGAAGAATCACTGTATCATCCGGATCGCTGCTCGCAGAATCTTTCTGACAGCAGCTCTGAAGACTTGTTTATCACGAGTATGCCTCTGAATCACCGGGGTCCAATAGCTCCAACCCGCGGGCCTCGTTGAAGCTTCTCTTCTTGCTGTAGCGGGCGAGTAGTAAATATCAACAGTGCCAGTTTGCCAACGCCCGCGATATGGATATGATATCGACGACTTGTTCTTGTTTGGCTAAGTCCAATCGAGTCGCGGGCGGACTATGTCGAGGAGTGTAGTCAAATCAGGGCGACTGTAGAATATGGGCCGAGAGATAGGACTGTAAGGAATTGACACGGAGCGCTCGCTGTGTTTTGATGGTATAGGCGGAGGGCGATAAAGAGAGGTGGTGAAGTGAAAGCCATGGCTTACATAATGTAACACATGCATTCTTTCAACACGGCAACGGGTGAACAGCGGAAATTGAATGCGACATCTACATATTGGAAGGATGTACCATACATATCTATGACTATTATCCTATCCGCGATTTCGCGTAGCGGCGTAGGTCCTCGCCAGCATTTCATATCAACGCGTGATAAGACTCTATTTAACTCGACACTTCTTCCATTTGAAACAAAGCTCCTCACAATGGCAGCAAAGTCGCAGCCTCTGTTCGTCTACATCAATGGCTATCCTGGAGTAGGAAAGCTTTCTGTCGCTCGAGAGCTTCGGTTTGTCTACCTACCGTATTGAATAATACGCTACTCGAGGTTGTTCACAATTTTGACAGACTGCAGTGCTATCCTTCCGAATACAAAAGTCTTCGACAACCATAACTTGATCGATGCCACCTCATCAATCTATGAACGAGGCATGCCGGAATATCAGCCTCTACGTCGACAGATGGTGAGGCTACTTCTCGATCAAATGAACAAGTCAAAACCATTATGACTCATCTTCACAGCGACGTGTAGTCCTGGACTCTATTGCCACCAGCGAATCCACCAGAGAAATCACCTGGATTTTCACCGATCAGCAATCTTCCGATGAAACTGGTGCTTCTGCCGCTCAGGACTATGCTGCCGCAGCCCAGGCAAGACAGTCTTCTTTCGTGTCTATTATTTTGACCTGTGATCTTGAGGAGAACGTTCGGCGGCTGACCTTCGCATCGCGTGGAGGAGAAAGTAACACGAAGCTGACCGATGTCGATATTCTGCATCACATCCGTGACACGGAAGACATCTATCATTTTGGTGGTGAGCTCGAAATTGAGATTGACGTCACGCATAAGGCTCCGGATGTTGTTGCTCGAGAGATTGAGAAGTTCATAGGTAGTTCCAAGGCCATGTAAGTGAACTCGCATGTTGTCTTTGCTCCTCACCATAAATTTCCGATGTCAGCCTCGTGTAAAGCTATCAGTGTCTGTTCAGCTGGGCGGCGGAGATGTTGTATCACCTATATATATTTTGAGCACTTACGTTGTCACATCAATCCGAAATGGTCTAGTGGCTAGGATTTCTCGCTCTCAAGTGTTGACATTTGCAATACGAAGTGCCGAGGAGGCCGGGGTTCAATTCCCCGTTTCGGAATCATTTTTTTCGTTCCTTCAAGATTTCTTTTTGCACGAGTCGCACTGTTGGCAAGAGAGCGAAGTCTGTTATACCCAAGGAGGGGCACGCACTCTGCACATCATCATATAATAACAAAGACACTGAAACAGCACTGCGACAACGATTTCCGGTTTCCTATGCATCAAAAGTCAAGGTTATTCGCACATGCCCAATCATTTTGCAGTGATTAGGAAAGGATGGGGTGAGCTGCGCCGTCACAGCATCGAACATTCTACGCCGGCGCACAATCTTCTGGAAGCGACGGGACATGCATGAAAATGTGGCGTCTATCTCGGCTGTAACATCAATACCTCCCGCCTAGGTACATGTACGGTACTCAGAGCCGTATTCTCTTTGGCTGCCTGCTACCTCCTAGTCCTCCTAGGAGGTACCTCCTACATGCACTGCCAATTCTGCGACCGAGAGAATACGATGGCATATTCGCTGCGAGTTGCTTCGTGCGGGCACTCGATTGTAGATATCGACAAAGACTTGTATACCACCGAGCGGCAGAGGACAAGACACGCTTTATACGTGTGTCGACTGGTACCGTACCGAGGAGGTAGGACGTAGGAGGTTGTGTAGGTGTAGGTAACGTAGGAGATAGGAGATAGGTAGAGAACGGTTACCCGGCTATTATACCATCGTCCCTGTGTGCTGGTTCGTCGCAGCTTTGCGGTCCGGGTGACGGTTGGCAGAGTCTAAATGCATCTCATGCACTTCCACTGCTACGGTGGTAGCTAGTGATCAGATCTGAGAATACGATTCATCAATACAACGTTGTGTGCTGTTGTTTTGGCTGGAGATGATCACTGTCTGGCAGCGCTCACTTTGGGTAGGTCTATGCGGCTGGCTCTAGAATAGTGCCGGAGATGCCGAGGCGGCGATTGCACCATGGATTCCCGAAGTCACCTCACTCTGCCACGGTCTGATGTCTGTGTTTGCGCACGCCGAGAATTCGCTATTCTGCGTGGGGAGCATTGTCGGTCATACTCATCACTAAGGTAGCTGGAGGAATACCTTTTAGCTATAAACGGAGGCTGTGGATCCACCTTCAATAGAATACTGCAATACCCAACAGACAACACGCGATGGCCATGTGTTTGCTGGCGGGACAGGTTGTGAGTTTTTTGCAGGATTCCAGCAATACATAACAAGATGTGGCTACCTTCCCCGTTAGGTAGTGGCGCCGACGACAGCGATAGCGATAGTCATTCGCAAGTGAATCCTTTCTTCCTGTCCTGGGGTTATCAGGCAGGCTGCAGCCAACCACAGGCACACCCGCCGGTGCCGAGCGTCCTGAGGCGCCGAGAGAGGCTTGGTGCGCATGCTTCTACCCACCAAGTCTGACCAAGATTCGCTAAGCTCGCGCGGCTCTCCATGCCAAGCGCAATGCAGTCACTGTCGTAGTGCAACCTCTCCTCCACCAGCCCACCTCGCCATCCTCGGCTGCCCCCCATCACAGCCAATCGTAGCCTCCATGATCCCTTCTGGTCAGAGCGCGCTCCTCGTGCCGCACACGCGCCGAACAATGCCAATGATCGCTCCCATCTGCGCCCTCCGCCTGTGCGCTGAAAGAAACCACGAGGGCATGCCGCTTTGTGGCAACGATATGCGCCGATAACACTCCCTATGTAGTCTGGCCCCGAATGCAAAGACCTATATCACCCTGCGCCATGTCGCGTGCTGGTGACCGCCGCCGTCTTCATCGCTCCCCTCTTCCTGGACGTGTCCCAACCTGCCATCACCATGGGTGAGTATCCCACGCTCTCACGCACAATTACTCTACCTCGCTCGCAGCGTGGTTTCACTCATCGTCCATCCCCATGCTGACGCTGATACTCCTCCAGCTAGCAAAGACGTCGCCGTGGACGCCCGCCAAGGCCGCGGTTCTGATGCCTCGAGCAGCGAAAAGCACACCACTTCCCTCGACGGCCCCAACCTCTACCACGACATCCTCGCCAATGCCGGCGACTACGATGGCAAGCCCACAGAGGAGGAGCTCAAGACGCTGCGTCGCGTCCCGGGAAAGATGCCTGCTGTGGCCTACCTGATCTGTTTCGTGGAATTCTGCGAGCGTGCCTCATACTATGGTGTACAGCAACTCATTGGCAACTATGTCAATCGACCTCTGCCTGCAGGCGGTAACGGCTATGGCGCTCCCCCACGAGGCACTCAAGAGACTGCCGGTGCCCTCGGTCTCGGAACGCAAAAGGCGAACGCCGTGTCGCAGTCCTTCTCCATGTTGGTCTACGTTCTGCCCATCCTATTCGGTTGGCTCGCAGATACCAGAATTGGACGTTTCCAGCTCATCTGCTACGGTGTCATCGTTTTCGGTGTGGCCCACGTGCTCATGGTCGCTTCTGCTGCCCCCTCACTCCTGAAGGACGGAAGCGCCGTGACTCCGTACCTGCTCTCTCTGTACATTCTGGCTGTTGGCGCTGGTGAGTTGACATGCTTCGTCTCGTCTCGTCCTGCCCTTCTCTCCTAAAGTTGCTGACGCCATGCTGTAGCCATGTTCAAGCCCAATGTATCCCCTCTGCTTCTGGATCAGATGACTACGAGAGTGCCAGTGGTGATCACGACCAAAAAGGGCGAACGAGTGATTGAAGATCCCGAGGCGACGACCGAGAGAGCGATGCTGTGGTTCTACCTGCTCATCAACATTGGAGGCTTCATGGGTGTGGCGACCACCTACTCCGAGAAGTACGTGGGCTGGTGGCTGGCTTTCTTGCTCCCACTCCTGCTCTACCTTCCTCTGCCACTTCTTCTGTGGTTCCTGAAGCCCCGTCTCGTTTTGCACCCACCGGGAGGTAGCGACCTCGGCCGTTCCATGAAGGTTCTTGGTGTGTGTCTCCGCCGCGGCGGCATCATGAAGATTGGACGCCATGGCTTCTGGGATCTCGCCAAGCCATCCCACATTGCTGCAGCGGGCCTGAACATCCAGACGAACTGGAACGACCAATTCGTCGAGGACGTCAAGCGTGCCTTTCAAGCTACGGGAATGTTCTGCTTCTTTCCCATCCAATACATCAACGACAACGGTCTCGGTGGAGCTGCTGGCTATTTGTCGACTATGCTGACGACCAATGGTGTGCCCAACGATGTCATTCAGGTAAGGCTTGGTTTCCTTGTGCCTCGACAGAGCACGCCTCGACAATGACGCTAACATGCATCCTACAGAACTTTAACAGTCTGAGTATCATCGTCACTGTACCCATCGTCAACTATGGATTGTACCCACTCCTCCGAAAGCTCAACGTCTACTACGGTCCCGTGGCGCGTATCAGTACTGGTCTGATGATGTCTGCTGTGGGTGGTGCCGGCTACACGATTCTCAACTACTATGCGTATAAGCAGTCTCCTTGCGGCAACTATGGCTCCAGTGATTGCACCGTGGGTACCGGTGTCGCACCCATTACTGTCTGGTGGATGGCCATTCCCTACGGACTGGGTGGTATCTCCGAGATCTTCGTCAACGTTCCAGCATATGGTATTGCCTACTCTCGTGCTCCCGCCAACATGAGAGGTCTGGTCTCGGCTATCAACCTCCTGAACACCGGCTTCGCGTACGCCATCGGTCTTGCCTGCACGTCTATCATCACCGACCCTTACTTGACATGGGATTTCGGCGGACCAGCCATTGTTGGTGCGGTTGTGGCCGTTCTGTTCTACATCCTCTTCCGCCACATCGATAAGGAAGAGTATACTCTCAACGACTCCGCGGAGAACACCGACATTCACCACACTTTGGAAGGCACCAACGTTAACGAATACCGCTCGAACTCGATCAACGCGACTACGAACGAGGCGTCTGCTATTGAGAAGAACGAGGCCATGTTGATGTCGCCAAAGCAGTAACATAGAATCATATATAGAGCCATATAGAGCCAGATTACGACAAACATAATTGAAGACAACAACCTCTTTCGTCTCCCTCTCAGTCTCGAGCGTTTATATGCAGCGGGAGCATGGATTCTAGGTACATGGCGTGAGGCTTCTCTGCTGACTCAGCGCATGCACGTGACGTTTCAACATCATCTCCCAAACCAGACTTCACAACACCCTTCTAACAGTCGCGCTACTACTACTACTGCTGCTAATACGAGTACAGATTAAAATTGCTGTCTCTATATAGACGACAAGATTGTCTATACTCTTCACGAACTAGTACGCACAGGTATGTACTACGTATGTACCATCACCAGACACTTGTGATTATGCCAAGCAAACTCAAACATAAACGCCATTGAGAAGGTTTTCATGGATATGCCTTGCTCCGAAAACCTAGACGGAAGTTTAATCAGGCTCCGGGAGGTAGGGTTCGCTGTCTCATCATCATCAAGCCTGTGATTATTCAAGGGCCGAGGCCTCTCGGGCAACTAGGAAGCCCATCGCCCGACGACCCCGATGTGTCCCCCTATTGTTTGTTCAATCGGACCGAGAAGATCTCGAGGAGGAGGAGGAGGAGGTAGATGGAAGGCGTTTCGGCTTGTCGTATATACCCGTATGGCTAGGTAGCTGGTCCTGTGACTTGCGACTCTTGAAGAGAGGAAATCTGTCTCGTGGTGGGGGGGTTTTTTTTTTCGCTGACCGAGGAGTGGAGACTTTTTTCTTTTCATCGTAGATCAACAGGCTATAGATTGTTGGGTTGGATCTGGCACTGTACTGTACTGGAGAATTTAGTATTACGGTTAGGCCAAGAGATCGTTCGTATCTCTAATCAAACAAATGCGAACAGTCGAGAAGAAGCTTACCTAGGTAGGTAGTAGGTAGGTACTGTACATATGTACCTCGTTCGTCACAAAATGTCTATGTAGACAGTATCTATCTGATTCATCTCGGATTGTTCCTGAACTTTAATTGATACCCCAAAGAGAAAAGGCCTAGATCGACAGGCATATGTTGTGTATATATTTAGGTATATATATGTATGCCTGTGGAACTACGCACACTGAGAAAGTTTGAGGATATCACATACGAACCCTCGAGGGAAGAAGCTGCCCCTACCCCTCCCCTAGACAGGACAGGACAGGACAGGACAGCTATTCTCAAACATGCTTGCCTGTCTGCTTGCTTGCCTGTCTACCTACCCCTCAAGGAAGGGGAGGGGCCCGTTTCGAATGCATAGGGGAGATACAGGTACAGAGTTACAGAGGTACAGAGATACAGGTATGTAGAAGGGGGTAAGCCCTAGCCAGGTAACCGGACTAGACCTGTCATCATCTCAACAGGAACAACATACCCTTTTTTAATCACCCACGAATTTGGTGCTCACCGGCCCCCGGCCTCCCCAAGTAGCGTTTGCGGGGGACGTTTGTTGTATGTGATGAACTATGGGTAGATATGTTGCTCTTTTAGCCCTACTGTCACTCTGTACTGCACTGTACTTCACTTTTACTTGCTACTAAGGGTGTGGGTTTTCTTTTTTTGTTTTGTTTGATTAACTCTTTCGATTGCGACTTCGACTACGACTACGAATACGACTTCTTCCTCTTGCTTGAGGGATTGAGAGGACGAGGACGACTGAGATCACTTTTCTCCCCGAAAAAATGAGAATATGATCACGAGACCATTACTACTACTACTACTACGACCGCTGCCGCCGACGACGACGACGACCGCCGACTACGACGACGAAGACTTCACGACGACGCGATTCAGAAATCGACAAAGGTGTGGAGAGATATCGTATCAATAAAAAGAAAAACATCCGCCGACTCTCCTCCATCAGTCCAACCGCAAACCCGCAAAAGTCACAAGAAGGACTCAAAAAAGCAAAGAGAGACAAAAAGAAACAACAAAATATGGTCCTAATAGGCTGGGCATCCAATCCCGTCGTCGCAACAATTTGTATTCTCCTTCCGATTATCGCGGGCTTTTCGGTCGGATTGCGAATTCTGGCGAGATGTGTCGTGCAGAAGAATGCTGGGTGGGATGATGGATGTATTGGGGCTTCTTTGGTATGTTTTTTTCTTTTTTTCTTTTTTCCTTTTTTTTGTTTTTGTTTTTTTGTTTTTGTTTTTCTTTTTTTGGGTGGGGGAATTGGGATGAGAAGGGATGGATAGATGGAGGGAGGGAAGAAGGAGAAAACGAGAGGGAGGTTGGGTGGAAGAGAGGGTTCTTTGGTTTGGATCGGATTGGACTGGATTGGTAAATGAGCTTTACTGCTCTCCGTCTGGCTGTCTAGCAGAAAGAGAGGGAGAGGAAGAGACAGGGTTGTCCTTTTTTTCCCTCCTTTTTTTCTCTTTTCTTTTTTTGCTGATATGAAAAGAGAGGAAAGATTCACATGTGTTGATTTGTTTTGTGCTTTTTTTCTCTCTAGCTCTTCTCCATCGCCACCACAGTCACCATCATCGCACAAGCACAGACGGGATTGGGGAAACATATGTCGCAAATCAGCAAATCGGATGCGTTTCTGAATCAGAGAGATGTGAGAGGATTTTTCTTTTTTCTTCACTTCACTTTTATCTTGACCCCGACACACATACCCCCCTCTTTCCACATCATAGGTCCTACCCAGCTAACCATGTGACTCCCACCATTCATCTAGTTCTTTGTCATGATCATCATGTACAACCTCTCCCTCACCTTCACCAAACTCTCGATTCTCCTACAATACAAGCGACTCTTCCCGCAAAAAGGCTTCAAACTCGCCGTGCACCTCGTCATGGGCGTCGTCGTGATTTATGCGCTGTGGAGATTTTTCTCGGCGGTATTTACTTGTGCTCCTGTGGAAGCTTGTGAGTTGTTTCTTTACTATTTTTCCTTTTCTTTTTTCTACCTTACTTACTTTTTGGGGACATGGGGATGTGAGGGAGGAGTATGAGGAGGATGAAGATATGGGCAAGCCAAATGCTGACAGATTTTCTTTCTCGCGCGCGTAGTTTGGGATCATTCGATCAAGAATTTTACTTGTCAGGACAAGTTTGCCATTGCGTACGTACCTATTCCATCGCCCGCTTTGCTTCTGTTCTTGGCTGTGAGGTTGGTAATGTGGTGGAGCTACTAACATCATTCCTCACTCACAGCATGGCTTCCACAGCGCTGAATATGGCAACCGATCTCGTCATTGCCTGCCTTCCCCTTCCCGTACTCAACAAACTTCAGCTTCCCTCTCGCCAAAAATACGCGCTCATGGGAGTCTTTGCGCTTGCTGGTCTCGTTATCATCATCTCTATCCTCCGCCTTCCGTCACTGATCAAACTGTGGGAGACCAAGGATACAAGCTATCAGAATCCCATGGTGATGATATGGTCCAGCGTGGAAATCAACGTCGGCATCATCTGTTCGTGCTTGCCGACTCTGCGCTGTCTGTTTCCCAGGTTGTTCAAGGCCGCAACGGGGTACGCGAGCGGGAGATCAACCGGCTTCAGTGATGGCAGTCGGTCTGGAGGAGGAGGAGGAAAAGATCGCAACAAACAGGATCGGAAAAGCCAGGGATATGCTTACGTGTGCAAGTCTAACTCCGGACAAGGTTCTTTTGGCGGGAAGTTTTCGTCCAAGGTGTCCATCTCGACGGTCAACAAGTCTTTGGTGGAGAAGACTTCGAGACGCACGAAAGATCCGCAATTGCTGGAGTGTGTGGAAGAGATTGAAATGGGTTGTGCGAAAGATGATCAGTCGGTCACGACGGATGCTCCACGAGGGAGATGTGACGTGAATCTCGGCCAGATTGTGGTACGCACAGACATTGAGCAGGTGGCGCATGTCAAGAGTTCTGCTAATGCGAGTCGGCGAGGCACAAAGGATTCGGGCACATTGGAAAGAGAGCTGGTCTGATGAGATGGGGTGCCCTGGTGGCGCTAGTTCCAGGATAGGTCGATCATGTAGGGAACAGTCAGTCCAGTCAGACCTCTATCTGTGCTCGATGCGTCTTCTGAGTCAGATTCCGCCGTCTGATCACGACGTGAGACTGAGGGAGAGTCACATGGTCTTCTGAATTTTCAACCCGTCCTGAATGGCAGTCTCCTGTGCAGTCGCATATTGATCTCCACAAAGTTCGGCTCATTCTCCGGAGTGATGACACCATGTCTGACCAAGAATTCGACCACGACAGCTCCTGAATCCGGCTTGAATTCGCCCTTCAACAAGGCGTCTCGCACTTCTTCCACGCCCATGAGGGAGAATTCACTCACTTCGTCATCGTGCGGTCTGGGAATCACATCCGCCGGCAGCTCCATGTCATAGACGTACACATAGTCGGGACATACGAGACCTTTCTCGCCTGGGAACAGGCTGCCAGTCACAGACATATGAGACACCACACCGCGGCACTTGGCCAGTCTGCGCACGAGGTCTTCTGGGAGCGACGCCTCCTCGTCCGCCTCTTCGATGAGTGTGTCGAGAGGTGACACGCCAGACTTGACGCCTCCCGCAACGGTCGAGTCCAACATTCCGGGGCAGATGTAGAGATGCGGTGATCTCCTCGAGATCCAGAGTTTCATCCCCTCCTCCGAGGAATGCGTGTATGCGATCATGTGGGCGCCGCGGGTCGTGATGCCGAAGAGAGAAGTAGCAAAGCGTTCGAGCTGAACCGGACCGTCGTATCTCGCTCCGGCAATGGCGAAGGGCTCGGAGTGCTGGCCATTGAAGACATGGAATCGCTTCTGCTCAATGGCGGACGTGATGACTTCTTGGAGGGCGCTGTTGATGGCTTCTGCCGTGCGACGGCCGTTGGAGCTGTCCAGCACCGTGACTCGTCGGGGATGGTCGTGCTGGATGTGGAAGGATGAAGTCCATGGCATTTTGGCTACGACCTCGGGCAGTAGATAGCCATGAGGCTGGTCGTCTTGTGGGAGGTACAAGGCGTAGTATTCATGATGGGCCGCTGGGTCGTACGGGAAGCTGTGATCACGATTAGTGTTTTGACAGTGGCATGTGTGGACTGAGTGCTGGACAAACTCGTCAGTAGCATGAACGACGGAGAGGAAGGATTGGTCATCTTTGGTCGCCATCATTCCTCGAGGAGTATGGGATTCACCATCAATATTGATTCAGTGGCCAACGGTCGGCAGCACTTTTTTCGGAGTGTTTCGGCCGAGTCTCGGGATGGGCACAATAAGTCTTGGCATATATCTATGGTACCTCCTACCGCAAGTGATGATGACTTCCAGACACAACTCACAGTGCCATCAACTTGGATTGGGACGAATTGACTCGATGCCCACCTCACCACCTCACCACCTCACCACCGCCTACCTCTCAGCTCGTCAGCACACACATTCTGCATCGACGAGATGGAATCCGCCACGAGCATTCATTGCAATCCTTTCTCGCTCCCTCGCTTAATGGCACGAACGTAGAAGAGCTGGAGGCATCCGGACGTGGTCCGAGGAGGGATATTGCACCGTAGCCGACCATGTTCATGCGGATTGTGGTAGCCATGGTGCCGATGTGGACATCACTCGGGTGCGTTGCGAGTCCAAGTGGCTGCTGACGGCCTCGACGGGAGACCAGAATAGCATCTGGCCAATGGAAGATGCTGCTGGTTACAAGAGGCGCAGGTGTGCATATATGAGGACACACGATTATGAATATGCCATTCATGATCCATACCTGTAGTGATATCGCATGACTAGGGCTGGCCGGACGTGGCAGTTGTCGTATCGACTGCGAAGCGAAGTCGAGGTCGCGGAAGGGCTGCGAGCTGTATGGACGTGATGTGCAACCATCTTTATACTACTAATTGGATGCGCTGTACGCCCGCAGCACGAGTACAGCTTCTGTAGTTGCACCTCAACCGCATGATATGCCAGACTGAAGTGCATGTCTGTGCTCATGGATGTGCTCATGGATGTGCCGTCTAACCTCGAAACGCAGCGGGAACCATCAGTGACTGACACCGATCATCTTGATGTGCCCGAAAGTCCCCGGACCAGCAGAAGACGAGAGACGAGCGCAGAGCGGCGCACCAGATTTTACGACAATCTCCGTGTGACCTTCGAGAAGACCATCTCTGGCCACTATCGTACAGGGCGGACTTACGATACGGTGGGCGTATTGCTCCTCTCGTGGCAGGATGACGATCTGGACGTCTGGACTCACGAGATCGAAGAGCTTCGTGACATCTTCAAGCATCAATTCCACTTTGAAGTGAACCATTACCACATACCCACCACGACTGCGTCGACGGGACTCAACTATAAAATTGCAGAAATTGCCCATCGTTACGACACGGCGCACAAGCTTCTGATCGTCTATTATGGAGGCCATGGAGGGGGCGATGACAAGCAACGTCTCAAACTCTTTGCCCGGAGTAGACCCAATGATGATGGGCACGTCTTTGTGCCTTTCGACGACATCGTGCTGAATCTTCAGCGCTGCCATGCGGACATTCTCGTCATCGTCGACTGTTGCAGAGCCGCCCTTGCATTTGGACACGCCGAAGTGGGCAACCATAAATTTGAGATCCTCGCCGCCACAGGGCCGGATCAAGACACGGATGCGCCGCAAGGCACCAACTCGTTCACGAAGATCCTGTGCTCGACTCTCAAAGAGCTTGCCCGGGAGCCAAAAAGTTTCACTACATCAAAGCTCTACCGATCCCTCTACTTCCAAGCAGACCCCAGCAACAAACCATTTCTTTTTGATATGAGCATTCACGATTGGGGGCGCATCTCTCTGCAGCCACTGAAGGATTCCGTCCAAGGTGCAAATGGTGAAGGTGGTCAATTGCCACATCATCTTGAGTCTGCCTCGGGAGATGCTGCTCTTTACCTCGAGTTGCGCATGCGAGCAAAACCAAAAGTCACCACCATGAACGAACTCGCTCGAGCCATGCAATATCTGCCTCACGTCAAGGAGATCAGGTTCCTCAGTATGCATGCTCGACGGTTGGAGCTGGAAGACTTCATGCGAGGTGTACACCAGGCATCGAAATTGCGTTCCCTGGTAACAAATATTCGCCAGAAGATGGAGACCAAAAAGACGGCAGAGCATGAGGATCGGCCAGGACATGATATAGACGATCGAACATTGATATTCAACTGGGACAACTCGAAGCTGGAACAGGGTCATCAAGAAGCCGATGCTGGGACCCAAGTGGAAGCTGGACACGGCTCCTCGGTCGTTGCCGATACAGATTCTTTGGAGAATGCACATGCATGCCGCTGAGTCAGTCGAAACACGGCGTCAGGACATGCAGCCTGAGGAACGCACCGGGTCCCCAGAGAAGAGGGTCGATCTTGGTGGAAAGGTTTCACGTGGAATGTGTCAGCTGCCTGCAGCTGACTGCTGATGAAGATACCACGCACACCTTCGGAAGCAGGAATGGACCATACTACAAGCGAGTTTGCATCGCCCGTCAGCTCGCTTGGACAACACGGCTGACGGGCGTTGTCACGGGCCATGTTGCTGTGTGGCCTGCACACTGTTTGCGACGCCGCCCAATCGTCAAATGTCAGCAATGCGACTGAGCATAAGTAGAGCTGCAAACGCATGCAACGAAAACGCATCGCACTACATCACACAGACATTCGGCTTTTTTGGGTCGGGAACATGCCTGAAGAAATGGTAGGCATAGTGTCTTCGAAGATACACCAACGCCGACTGACACGAACCAGAATAATCACCTCTCGCCAACGATGATGGACGTCAAGGATGACAGCTCCGACTGGCAGACTTCAGACGAGGATCGACGTGGCAAGCCAAAGACTCGCTCCCAAGAACCGCCAGGTCCGGCGTGGCCAATGGTCGGCATTATGGTCATTTAGCTTCAATTTGTGCTAGCTGACATGGCTCTAGCCCCCAGTGCAAGATTGGGCCAACGTGAACAAACAGGTGTGGATCATAATAGAAGGATCCCTCACACGTGAAGGACCCTTCACAGTTAAAGGAAGGCGTGCAGACAATAACACCAAGAAATGGAAATACGATTTGGTTGATGCACAAGGCAATAAACGCATGGGAGTTCTCGAGAGCCAACTCAAGCGGTCGGGCACAGATGAAGAATCCGATAATGGTGGAGTTGGATCTTCGGCTCCTACACTTTCTGGGGCATGACCTCTCTCTGTCTCTCTCTCTCTCTCTCTCTCTCTCTCTCTCTCTCTC